ACCCAAAACAAATCAACGCCGCCCCCAACCCCTTTTCTATACTCCCGATATTTCCCCGCCCCTGGCTGCATTGTCATGTGACATTTTGTATGAGTAATGCTCACCTAATGAAGTTATTAGAGGCGCACACAAAGCCCCGCCACACCCACAACTATATGCTCTATACCTGTCCAAACATCGGCGATAACACCTGAAAGGGGGGTAAATTGTATGGGGGGGGAGTGGCGGTACAGATTCAGGGGCTAAAGTAGAGGAGCTTCATCAGTTGTGGGTATTCGAACACAGAAAGTTTATCAATTCAGGAACCATAAAGTTAAGGCATGGGATTTATATAATATGGTATATATTATACAAAGCTACGACAATCTCTAAGATATGGTTTTAAAATATTATACATAATTATTTTATGTTTATTAGGTAGTATTTCTATAGCCCGGAGTATTCCAGAATCGAAACGTACATCTATACTAATTCCAATCGAAATAGGTTGGAAGAGATGTCTGTCATGTCCAGAAATATATCATATTATAAGACATTAGATGTAGCTTACCAGTTGGTTTTGAAAACAATAAAATATAAAACTAGACTACATTTTCTATCAAATTAAAATATTAGTATTATTAAAATATCTTGTAACCATTGTTAATTGGCAAATCTTAGAACTTAAATGTCAATTAATTGTTAATTAAAATTAAACTGCAGAATATTTAATACATTTATTTTTACAACCTTTACAAATCGTTATCTTTAACTTTGCTAAGTATATATATATTTTAAACTTAACCATTAAGAAAATTATATAAATACTCTTTAAAAAATTAAAAAAAAAAAAATTAAAAAACGTTTTTTTTTTTTCGTAATTTGGAATTTTCCTTGATTCAATATAGATTTTTTCCTCCATCACTTTTGTTAGTAGCGCACTTCGGTGAGTCCAAACGGCCGAGTTCCGATTACTTCCTGTTGTAGCCCCCGAAATCAAATTGCTCCACCGCTCCATGACAAATGCGACTCCAATAAATGTTTATGATTTGACAAATCAATCGGGCTACTAATGTCACAATTTCGGCGATTGTCCCGCATTTGGGCATTGTCACTGGGCGTTCATATTCCCCCCGCGCAGTCCCCTCACCCGGAGTGACTTATTAATTTCGTTATTTGCTCGCTGTCCATTTTATTTATTCATAAATTTTATCAGCACAAATTAAAAACAAATTAGTCGACAGTAGGTAAATAATAATAAAGTGTAATAAAAATCAGTGGGACAGGAGACAGTCTGTCGATATGCGGCGATAAGCGGCGCAACCCGAAACGAACTTGATTTGTTTAATCGAATGTGAAATGATTAAAACTTAATATTCATTTAGTTTATTTTGCCCGCGTTCGCTCACTCGATTTGCTTATATTATTCCGGTTTTCCCCCCCTCTCCCGCACATGTTGTAATGACATTTTTATTGTTTTTAATGCGCTTTTAATAATAATTGATTTGCGATTGCAACAATTTGATATACCAAGTAAATGAAGCGAAGAGCCAAAACAAATTATGTCTCTGCTGACTGGGAAAGGGAAGGTGGCTTATTTTAATGGCGAAAAAGCCATAATGAAACATACATTACATTTTAAATGTAATTACCTAGAATGAAATTAATACGATCATGTTTTCCCCCGAAAAAGGTGACCTTAAATGCTGTTTTCTTCTTAATACCATTAAGTTTTTGATTTATCTAAATTAAGTACTATTCTTTCTATTTCAAATTTTGCTGATTTAATATATCCGCAAGCAAAATCGAGTTTATTTAATACTAATCATTATTTTGCTTTATTTTGTAAGATGTTTTTGATGCAGTTTTACTATGTATGTACATTTTTAGAAATGGTATTATATTAAGTGTATTTTAAAATTAATAATATTTTTTTTAAACAACTTAATAAATAGTTCTTATACTTTAATTCATACTCATCGAGCTCAAATAATTCGAGAGCAAACTAAGTATAAAAAGTAATATGTCTTCTTATACTTTAAAACTTATCCTTCGTGCAAGCATTTTACAATATTTGAATTACTATTAACTGACTGTAATATAATCCTGGTAAATTTGAATTTTCAAGTATCGTTGTTAAGTACCACCTAAACATATTTGTGTTTCCAATCATTTACATCATTTAAATTCCCAATATCAGTTTATTAGGTTCGTTGTGTGAAGGGAATTCCAACAGAGAGGCAGATGGAAACAATGCCACTACATAATAATCAAATCGCAACAAAGTGTCTCAACAAATTTTGCTTTCCAACAACTACTTACCACGAAAGATATGGTGTACGAAAAGGGGGCTCGGGGGGCCTGAGTGCCCCTATTAGCAGCGAAAAGTTGTTCGGGGAATAGAGCTGGGAAAACTTAATAGAAAATCAAGCGCAAGAAAATGGCGTCCGATAAGGCGATGAGGAAAAGCGAAGACGGGGGGAAATGGAAAAAGCGAGAGGAAAGTCAGCCAACCAACGCCCCGCAGCAAATTAAATGAAAATTTGTTTGTGTGTGGAAAAATCAAGTGAAAATTAATTGAATTGAGTTGAGTGCGGCTACGCCGAAATGGTTTGGGTTCGAGTTCGGGTTCGGTGGTGAGTGGGGGGAGGGGTCTTATTATATAGATCTTCATGTGGCGATAGCACCCAAAAATAAAAAAAAGAGGAAGCTGGAAATGGAATTTTCTTTTTTCCTTTTTTTGCCAATCACAAAGCAATGATGAAGGAGAGTCCAGAAAATGGCGGGGGAGGGGATGGAAAGGCCGGGGGTTTCGGGTGGTCACTCGCCCTCTCTCGCTCTTGCCCCCTCCAGCACTCACGTAAAGTCATACTCCATCCCTTTCTTGCAGCCATAATTCATTTTCCAAAGACGGCAGCTGCGCATTGAAACTGCCTCGGAAAAGTGGGTGTATTTAAAAGGGGGTTCTCGGGCCCCATTCCCCTGCATATTTAAGACATTATTACATTATAATCGCATAAAACAATCAATAAAATGTCAGTTTTTGCAGGCAGCGCTGCCGTTGCCCTCTCTTTCTTCGGCACTCCCCCTCCTCCAACCATTCTTCTCATTCTCATTCTTCTCTTTGTACTCTTTCTTCTCCTTTCTTTGCTTCTTCTGGCTAGCCGTCTTCTTCTTACTGGGCCTTAAATTGGCCATAATCATATTCATATGAAATTTCCCCCTATTTTTTCGCTGGCCACGCCTGTCCACAAACTATGGTTGTCCCGCTTGCTCTGGCACAAGTTCTAGCTGTCTGTGTGTTGTCTGGATACTGCCCTCTCTTTCCCGCTCTCTTTGTGGGCCACGAACACATACGCACACACACACACTGATTCACTTTAAATCAATTTTTTTTAGCGGTTTTCATTTCATTTTCCCTGTTGCGCATTACTCGCTCTCTCTTGCTCGCTCTACGTGTCTCGCTCTCTTTCTGCTTAGCCTCTCTTTCGCACAATTTAGTGAGGCAGAAAAATACCATTATTGTATTGGCCATTTGTGGGCCAGCGAGGGGTTAAATGTGACTGCGGGGGGTTAAGCGCGGGTGTTTCTTTTTTTCGGGAGGGGGTGGGATGAGTGGGTGGTGGGTTTTTGCGGACGGCGCCTTGGCATGTTTGTTAAGTGAAACCATTTTTCTTTTTATTGCCTCAACTGCGCTGCCGACGTCGACGTCGCTGCTTCTTCGGGCTTTTTCAGCTTTTTCGCTTTTCGTTTTGTTATTTCTCGCTTTGGCGCACATAAATTTGAACGTTAATGATTTTTGCTTGCAGTCGCGCATGCGACCCAAAAACAACAACAACAACAGCTGACCGTCAAGTGTTGAAAATGAGTTTTGTTGTTGCTGCAGTAGTTGTTGCTGCTGCAGCAGGTGTCGCCATCTCACTTTTTAGCACGGACTCAAACCACGGCCAGCCAACCAACAGTGGTGACACTTTTTCCCATATTTTTTTTTTGCCTTGTGTGGCCCCCCTTTTAACCCATACAAATGCGCATTTTTATTAAACAAACGCGAAGAAGACAAAACGAACTCCATATTTTTCATTTAAACACGCCTGTCGCGCCATCCCGCTCGCACCGACTTGCCACTTTTGCACTTTTGTCTCCACAAAACTCCACAACTCGCTCGGCGTAATTTTAATTCGAATCAATTTGTTTGTCGCCGCCGCTGCACAGAGTTCAGACATTTTCCCAGTGGGCCGCCGATCCGCTCCACTGTACACCGGCCACGTGTTCCACTGTGCGGATTCAAGGATACTGGGTTTTTTTTTCCTGTGTGTGTATGTGTCTGAGGGACTTGTGTATTGAGTACCAAAGTTAAAACGAAGTTAACCGAAAGATCCTACGGATCAAACTGAAGTTAACGCTAACCTGAAGCTGAAAGCAAGTCCTGATAAAATCAGCTGATCAGTGTGTATACATTTACAGGACGTTAACGAATAACCTGCAGCTTTAACATATAATGGAATTAAACTAAAAGTGAATACAGAAGTGGATTACAAAGTTGTAACGAAATATAAAGATAACATTGAAAGGATCAGGTTGATCAAGACGTATACCCTGAAATTAAAAAACAATATTATTAAACTCAAAGAAATTAACAATAATTATTTAAAAAGAAACCTTCAAAATAAGTTAATTAAAAGTTTGTACAAGGCCAACACCTATGGATTCATAAAATTCTTGAGGAAGATATGTAACAAAGTTTGCAAAAATGAAGATTGCAGTTTAAGTCAAGTGAAAAACGCTGTATGAACTAAAGAAACTCAAGTTTCCAAGTCGGTGGAACCAAGGGAAAAGCTAAAATAAAGCAAAACAGTTAACAAGAAGTTGTCAGAGAGAAATCAATCCATAAAAATTTGTCTTAATTTTTAACAATAAGAAAAACTATTCAAGGTTTTAAATTAACCCCAACTTGGAATTGAAGTAAGAGACAAAGCAACTAACTAAGATTGAACCAAAACTTATTCAAAGTGAGTCTAAAAATGGATCAGCTGATCAAACAGCTGCAGCTGGCAGCCGCTGCTCAGGCGCAGGTGCGAAATCCCAGTGCAATGTCCGCTCATCCTCATTCGCATCCGCATCCTCGCCAACATCCGCATCCGCATGCGGCATCCGCCTTGCAACTTTATGCGGCAGCAGCCGCCGCCAACCTGCGAGTGCCAGGATGGTCGTCCTTCCTCAGCCTGCCCATCGAATCCCCGGGGGATTCCCCAAGATCCGCAACCGGAAGTGGAACCAGTTCGTCCTCCGTCTACATGCTCCGCCAGATGGCGCTGATGCAGCGAGCCAATGCAGCCGCCGCAGCAGCCGCAATTCAGCAGCAAAGAGATCGAAATCGGGATCTGGCTGAAGATCAGAATCAGCAATTCATTAAATTGGAATCACTGGAGTCCCTTAAAAATTCAGGAAATTTCACGACGGAGCAGGAGAACTCAGGCAGAAATCGGCACAACAACGGCGAGGGTAAGTGAATTCAAAAAATGAATTATTTTATGCGTTTTACCAAAAGATAAGTCTTTTTTTTAAATTATGAAACAAATTGAAAATGTAGTAAAAATTTATTTTTTTCAATAAGGAGACTAGCTTTCTGCTTGCCACATATTGTACACACTTTTTTTGTTATACTAAAGATTTTATCATAGTTTTTTTTTGCTCAGCAGAGGAAATTTGTACATGAAAATTAATACATATCGTTATCAATATCAACATTCAAATTTTGATTTAAAAATTTTGTCAATTTAAAAATGCTATAAATATTTTCATGATATATAAATGACGATAACCTATTAGAAATGTAATTAACAATTGTTTCCCTCCCATTATTAGGAGGCATTAAGACTGGTTATTGATTTTCTTAAAGACATAAACATAAAAATACAATAATCAATTGTACCATATTGTATTGCCCAGCACAGAAATTCATCAGTATTATTATTAACAATCAATCAGCATTCAAACAAATGCATTTAAATAATTTAAGCAGAATATATTATTAAATGTCTTAAACGTCATATACGGTTTCATATTGAAACATAACTCTATTGAGAATCTAACACTGATATTTTACTATACGAAAAGAAACCCCAACTTTTGCGGTTGGTCTCACAACTAACTAAGTATTTCGCATTTGGCCAAAATACACGAAATTGCTGGCCAAATTTAATTACGTGAATAATCAACAAGCAGCAACAACAACAATTACAAGCTGGCAAAAACACAGATACTCTCACACACACACACACACACACACAGAGACACATTAAAAGCTGGCCTGCAGGCAAATAATGTTGTTGATTTTGTTGTTGCTGCCGCTGTGTTGTTGATTAAAAATTGATCAAAAAACATAAAAACATACGAATTATGCATGCGCGTATGTAAATGCCAGTGTTTGTGTGTGTGGGTGGCAGCGAATTGATTAAAAGGAGCAATTCGATTGAAATTTTATTGGTAAATTGAATAAAGTGCGCGGCGGTGTCCGGCCGGAAAACTTGTTTTTCCATTCGGCCATTGGGAAAATCGCATTATCTGCGCAAGCTCGGCGCAAAGTTAATGAATGTAATGAATGAACAAATGAGTACCAGGACATGGGGCATAGAATGTGGGTGGCTTGGCTCATAAATAACGCCATTTCGGGAGTGTCCATGCCGGGAATTAGCGTTAAACAATGCATGATTAGATGCGGTCAGTTGACAGGAAATAGGTAAATGGATCCACTAGTTCGGATGCGGTTCCCGGAAATATTTCACCAAATTTGCATTTAATTAAAAACCATATATTTGTTTAATATCGAAATGTCTTTGCTGAACACAATCTAAAATGAATATTGTTGGTAAAAATACTGATAGTAATTACCAAACAAAATTCAACAAGCTTCAGGTTTTTGAATCTCCAATAAAGCAGATTTTCTCACTTAAGAAAATGGTATCCTTTTCAAATTAATTTCAAAAAATTACAAAAAAAAAGTTTTTAAGCAATGATGTAAATTATGCAATTAACCTGCATGCAGGCATAATTTAGTAAAAACCACCCAAATATTGTAGCTAACTTAATTCGCTTTCCTAAACGACGAGGTCAATGAAAAACTGCAGCAATTTGTGAATGGGACATGAGGAAGTGCGAAGCACCTGGCATCGGAAAATGGGAAATGGTGCATGGGAAATGAGCAGTGACAGGTGAAGACTTCCTAACCGTATTTTTTTGTTTTCGCCCAGGTCACGCCCAATCCGGGAAACGCCCGTCTTGTTCCCTTTTGTCTTTTGGCAATTGAACTACTTTTGAGGCGCATCCAATTCGAAATGGGAAACTCTTCGAATTGGCCGTCTTGCCGGGCCTCATCCTCCTACTTCGCCACCTCCTCCCATTTCTCGACGACGGGAAATTAGCTGCCATTAGTCATTTTTATTGTTTTCGGTCGCGGCCCCGAAACCAGAAAGAAAAGAGAGCTAACACAAGTCGGGGAAACTGAGAAAATTGTAAAGAGAGCGGCGAGATATCAGGGAAAGTCGGGGGAAGACTTGTGGAAATTGGGCAGCCAAACAATTTGTGGCAGCAATTTTTCTTAACATTTTCGTGAACCCAAACTCAAACCCAAACCCAAACCGAAAAACCCAAGCCCTAAAAAAGAAAGAGAAAAGGTCGAACGAGAAGCGAAATGTCTTAATTATTTTTGGTAGCTCCCTGCCCGTTCAGTCCCACCGCGTGCCTAAACATACAATTTTCGTTTACGACATTTTAATTAAGTTTTTCCCCATTTTCCTCTGCTTGTGGAAATTGGGCAAATTAATAAGAACTCCATTGGCACGCCCCGTCAGGTTTCCTTTATTCGGTTTTCTCTGTTGTTATTGTATTTTTGTATATTTTCGGGTCTGGAGATCGAGTCGAGAAAGACCCCCTCCCTGGCAGCGATCATCAGTCCATCGGTGATGAATGAATTGAGTTGTGGCCCCCAATCCCAGGTAATCCCAGGTGCTCCCAGCTGATCTCTGGTGATCCGCTCCAGTCGATGGCCGCTCATTAGACAGCGCTGACCGCGAGCGCTTCTGGTAATTGCCTTCATTTCAGGGGGACGTCGAGGAGTCGGGGCAGAACTACTGGGAGCACTACTAGACCCGTAGATTAATTGTGATTGTGTCGAGTGGAAAATGAAGATGGAAACAGGTACAGCTGCACGGCGAAAAACTGTCTTTTACTAGAGTAAAGTCTTAAATCTTAGAAATACAAGTAGGTAAATTATAAAAACCAAAGAATCGTAGAACACACTCCCAAAAAGGATAATAGGTGTCTGTTTCTGACTACTAAAATACTTTATAGTCGCTCAGATCATTTTGAATAATATATATTAACTTCGTTTTTCTATAAAACATGGCTTAATAATTTTGAGATATATGTATAGTACCTTCACTTAAGTCAGAAATATGGTTTGATCATAAGGTTTCGGAAACACATCTGTGAAAGACACCAATCCCGGTGAACCATTTTTAACCAGCTTTAATTTAGACCACCTAAACCATTTCTCGCAGTGCAGATGATAGGCTCTTCATGGACGAATTGATGAGTGCTGATCCGAAGATTTCTTTCGCCCAAAAGTGAAAGATTGAGTGAGTGGAGTGGAGGGGCCGAAAACAAGACTGGAAGCCCGAAGAGCCGAAAAACGAACAACGAGGCCCCATCAACATCAGCGACTAATGGGACTCTTGTTCGCATCAAAAGGGATAGGTTTAGGTATGGGTATGAGTATTGTTAGGGGTACGGGTATAGGTCCAATTTCCACCGAGATTTTCCTTGGCTAATTAATAAAACGCTCAGTGGGCTCGTTGCACTAATTGGTCCGATCGTCGGGGCCCCTGATGAGCTTTTGACGAGCGCTGGTTTTTGGCCCGGGAAATGATAATTATTTAAGTGGGCTCCCATTTAGGCGATTGCCAAAAACGAAAACAAGAAATCAGAGCAGAAGGCGAGTTTGGCTGCGCCTCCTTTATTTCGCTGTAAATACTCCACCCACGTCGTCCTTGCATTTGCATTAGCATTTGCATAATTTATGAGGGCGACAACCCTGGCCAGTGGCCATAAATTCACCAGAATGGCAGTCAGCCAAAATAGAAGGCAACATCTTTTTTGTAGGCCGACTGCGAATGCATTTTGGCAGCTCGCTTAATTTCCCCCACTCCCATGTGGCTGTTTTCCAACCACCACCCCCCGCCCCACCCTTATTTTATTTTTTCATTGTTTAGCTCTCTTTTTTGGTCGACTAATAAAAATCAAAAGGCGTTTTGTTCTCTAAACTTAAATTGAAAACACTTTAGGCCAGTCCTGCCCCAAAAAACCGTTCCCCCGCCCAAACCAAAGGATAAACACTTCAAGGGGCGGATTTGGCTTAGTGCCCCCCTCCCCTCCTTTCCTTTGCGGAACCCCCTCCCCTGATTTTCGCCGTTCTACCGTTGTTGAATTACCGTTTAGCACAAAGATGGCGGCGCTAGATAAAAACATTTTTTGCCCAAATAAAAACAGTAGGGAAAAAAAGAAAAAGCTTGTAGGAAAAGTAAAACCAAAAAAAAAAGCATGATAAAGGGGTATATAGGGGGTGTTCGCGTTGTTTTGGGCACTTGACTTGTTTCTATTTTTTGTTTCTTTGCTTTTGTTTTTTTTTTTGGCCATTTACAGTTTTGAGGCGTCATTTTTCTTAAATAGCATTACAAGTGACACGCCTTCTACCGCCCTCAAATCGTACAACACGTTTTGCGATTAACAAATTAGGGTTAGACCCACAAAAGTGGTAAATTTATTGGTTGTAGCGAAGGGTTTTCGCCACTGCTTATTATTTAATAACTGCTTGTGGGAGTCTGAGGGCAGTGGAAAATTATATGGAATGGTCAATCAATCAGACGAGCCCCTCACAACATTTTCCCTACTCATTTCCCCACTTTGTTAGCAATCTGTGTCGACAAGTGTCAAGAAATCAAGGCAATTACACGACCCAAAGCCAAAAGAAGGGGGGATTTTTGGGAGGAAAACATCAAAGAGCGAGGAAACGCTAAGCGGAAAAACCGCAAGCACGTAGAATCGAGCGTTTTACCGCTAAAGCCATGCTCAGCCCACCACCCACTAAGAACACCACCCAGAAATACCCACAAACAGGCAGAACCACCCACAAACACCCTCAAAAAAAACACCCACACACGTCCCGATTTTTATGTTATCTCCATGGACTTGAGCGACCTCCCCTCTCGACGACATGAAAATTATGTAAAACTTAAGTAAAAGATGAGCTCGTCAAGAATTATGACACCCCAGGGAGCCCAAGGATGTGTGTTTGTTCGGTGGTAGCAACCCCTAAAATCAAGTGGGCTACTTTAACTAGAGTTGATGCGAAGTATACATGTTCTGCGATACGGAAAATCAATCTTTTTAAAGATCCAAAACTGTAAATAAAGTGGAAATCTATAAAGATCACAAAAGACAGTGAAAATAAGTACTATAATAATTATGAAAAAATTACTTAAACAACTGGTTTGGATTAACATTTGTATAATATCGATATTTCATAAAATCGTTTATATTTTAATATCAAATCCAAAATTAATGCTAAAACTAAAACTGATATTTTGATCATTCCTTGTCGGAAATAACAATACAATTAACTCAAGCCTATTCAATTTCCTGTCGTTTAGGGTATATCAAAAAATCAAAGTCACCGCTTAAGGCACGACCAGAAAAAAAAAACTGTTGACCAAACAACAAAAATCCAGCGGCATTTAAGTGGTAGCTTCTTTTGGGTGGCGCCCAACACCCACACACTAACACACACACATGCCAGGATATCGGGATCCACAACCCAAACACAAAAGCTCCACTCGGAGGAAACCCCAGGACGCTTGTTGGATTCTCTCGTAAATGCCTCATGTGCGTTTATATTGAAACAGATTGCTCTGCCATTTCATTCCATTCCATTCTATACCCTGCTGTATCTGTATCTGTATTTGTATTTGGAGTAGATGTGTGTGTGTGTGTGTGAGTGTTGTTTCTGTGTCCTTTGTGAAATTGTTGCGGTTTGCAATTTGCTGCAAATGACACCGAGTTGGTGGTGCTATTCGTTCCTTTTCCCCGACATACTTGTCTCCCTGCTCACGATTGTCCTTCTACTTTGCCCCTCCCCCTCTGCTTTATCCCCCCCCTCCCCTTGGTGTGGCGGCAAAGACGAGCATGGCGGCCATATTGCGTATACGCCATGTGGTTCGCCCAGGACTAGGACTCCCCCGCCATTGTGCGTGTGTGTGCGTATGACGCGCATCAACCACCCAGAGGAAAATGGAGCGGAAAGGGGAGCAGGACAAGCAATTGCGTACCTTGGTTACGTCCTTTTCCCCCCCTCTTCTTAGCAGGCGCTTTTCCTAGCCAAAAAAAGAAAAGTCAGGGGAAGGGAAAAAAGAGGGGGACGGGAGGAAGAAAAGCCGCACGACACTTCGGGGCTAATACAATTTATACACTTGGCTTGGCGTCGTTTCGGTTTGGCTCAGTGCCATGGTCCAAAAAAGATGGTGGGGTGGGGGGTGAGGGGAGGACTGGGGATTGGCAGGACCCTGACTTCATTCCCTCTCCCTCTCTCACTCTCTCTCTCTCTTTTGCCTCGGCTCGATTGTCAGCCAGTTTTACGGTTGGATCAATGTTTATGCCATTATACAAACACACACACACATATATACACAGAAGCAGGAGCACACCGAGGCATTTATCCTTGTTATACACCGTCCTGTCTACTGACTTTCCTCGTCCGCCCCCAATTTACCTCCCCCCGCCCTTCTAAGCGCCTTTCTCCGTCGGATTTCGTTTGTAAATTGGAAAATTTTGTTTTTCATGTCCTGCATGGCAAAATTTTAGATTCGACTGTCGTTATACTTAGTTCAAGATGAGTGTTTATTCCTAAAACATTCCAATATTTTAAGATACATATTTCATTGTATTACCTAAACTGTTGCAGTATAAATGTTTTACCAATAAAGTAGTAAGTAAATATTGTATATAATAAGCGGCAGATTAATTTAACTAACTAATTTTTATATCTGCCGTACTCCTATATATTTATATTTATTTGTATATTCTATATATGTAGGTAAAGGCTTTTCCGTATAACTTCTATCTTTATAACCGCAAAGCTAAAAAAGTTTAAGTATTGTTAAAGAACGCCTAATCAAAAAGCGGTGGTGTTAGATTAGTTCATTTATATTAATTTAAGATAAGGTCTGTTTTTAATGTTGTAGTCTTTTATTTGAAATAAGTTACAAAAACAGAGCCCTTATTGAGAGGTACACCTCAGTCGAATCCCTGGCCCCATTGCTGTCTCGCTGTTGCTGTAGTCACAATATTTCTTGTATCCAAGAGCGTTCCGCTCGTTGGCTGTCTGCCACCCCCCCCGCTCCCCTCGTAACCCCCATCCGGAGGAGCTCCACCTCGAGCTGCCTCCACAACGTTGTCGTTGTATCTAATAAACCTTAAATGAAGGCAATATTGTGGGGTTGTTTTGGGTTAATATTGAAACGATAAAATTGAATTGAGCCGTATGCCCAGGGAGGTTTACAAGGGGTGAGGGGAGTGAGGGGGCGGGACGAGGAGCAGACGTCCCTGAAAGTTTTTCCCTTTTCGTAGTTGTTGTTGTTGTTGTCTACGTCTCTGCTTTACTTTTGCTTTTCCGCTTTCTTTGCTTTTTCCATGCTTTGCTTTGGTTTTTGGTGAGTTGTAATGACACTTTTAGCTGACTTTGAAGCCATTTCCTCTCGTGTGTGAGTGCTGGTGTTCATTTCCGTTTCCGTTCGTGCTTTACGGAGCCCCACTGTTTATTGTTCTCCACGAGTCGATGCGGTTTTTAATCAATTTTTGGGACACGATTGACTTGGCATTACTTTGGGTTAGAGCAAACGTGCGTGACTCTTGGAATGTGAATGCCAAAAGGAAACAAGATATAAAAAGAAGGATCTAATCGGACTACAATAATAACATTTAATATCATCTATAAGTCGGTCTATATAATATAATAACAGTTTATACGTATAGAGTTTGCCAGTAAAAAGTTGTATTTATATACATATAAAGAAATATTAAAAGATAGTTCTTGACACGAATAGTTTTGATATTAAAAGGAGATGTACAGCTAAGTTGTTAATCATTAGTTAAATACAAAACCTAAATTAGTAAAACCAAAATGTTCGGAAAAGGAGAATACCTATAATATTTTATATATGTAAACAATTTGAAGAAAAATGAATCAAGTTTTATAGCTACAATAATACATTTTTTGGGAATAATGCCAATTTCATTGTACTCTGTTGTTATGAAAATATTTCACATTTGAAAAATATATTTTAACTTTGAGTTTTAAAATTCTGAACTTCTAGATGTGATCTGAAGTAATATTAACGTATTTATAATAATTGGAAACATGAACCCATATTTCAAAGGTGATAAAAAATATGTAAATCTGTTAAAGCGGAAAAAAGTAGTTAAGGGATAAGATTATTATTTGAGTAGATAGGGATAAGAACAAAGTGGTTCCAAAAGTGGAGGCAAAAGAGAAGGGTAGGCAGGGATAATATTATTCGTATTCCTATCTGTTTCCGCCGCTGTTTTAGCCATGTTTTTTTTGGCCAAATGCCGTCGGCGATTCGCCCGTCTGCCTTGCTCTGTCTCTCTTTCTCTCTTGTGCTCACTGTCTCTTTCTCGCCGATATGGTCAGCTTTGGCAGCTGCGACTTTTCCGCTTAACATGTTTGGCGCTGTTGTTGCTGCGTTTTTTTATTAATTGAAAAGTTAATTAAAGGTGATAAAAATTATACATGCCACCGATTTTCGCGCTGCAGGCGTTCGACAGCAACAAAAACAACGAAACACGTTTCAATTACACGCACACACATACGCACGCACACCTGTTTAAAATACACATACACCTACCATTTACAACAAGTTGCTCCCTCTGTCCGTCTCTCTCTAGTCTCTCTCCCCTTTCTCTCTTGCCCCTCTGCTGGCAGCGACGCGGCGTCGCAGTCGACGTCGCCATAGTTTGTGCATTCCAGTGGAATGAGATGAGCGAAAGAGATAGTGCGATGGCAAGTTAATTAAATCCTCATGTATTAATCACGGCACCTACCTCCCCTACTCCGCTCCTCCCCACCCCCTCAAACCCCCTCTTTTGCCCTCTCTTTCGCTCTATTAATCGCCATCGCCCGAAAACCCGTTGTGACTGAATCCTGTACACTAAACAAAAATGTTAAGATTCGAATCATAAACTATGTGTGTATAACTTCTTAGCGTTTTAAATGTCTAATGTAACCACAAAATAGATATTTGTAATCCTTACCACATAAGTTTGTTTAAAATATTTACCCTAGTGCTTGAAGTCAAGCTTTCTTTCAGCTTTGGTATTATTATTTTTTTAAATGTTTTCTTATACTTTAATTTTGCATTGCCTAGACTTAATTACACCTGCTTACTAGCCTCTTTTTTCCATACACTTAATTAAAGCTGAGTTAGGTTTTAAATATTAAACCTAAATATATAAAATATATGGATACAACGACTGTTTCCTATGCATAGTTTCACAAGTTACATTTTGGGAACAGAAAAACTACTTTTAGCTTTCCATAAAGACGAGAAACGGGCCCAATAACGTTTTTATAGGTCGCAATGTTCTACAAATTAAAAGATTTTTTTCTTGTGCAGCCCAAATCCTCGCTGCCGTTGCTCTCTCTTTCACCCGCCTTGATGCTATCTCTTTTGCTCGCGTGGGCCTAAAACTGCGCTTGCGTGATTCCGATGGCAAATTAATTCCTTGGTAATTTGTTTTGATGTGATGTGCGACTTGAAATTGATTGAGATTGTGTTGTTGCTGTTTATATAGCTGCCGTTGTTGTTGTTTCTGCCGGGTAAGAATTCATTAAAAGCAGCAGCAGAAATCAATTTTTATGCTCGCCTCTTTGCTTCTTCGTCGTCGTTTTTTGTTTTTTCCTTTTTTTGCCGTGTTTTGCTTTTGCTCAAATTTCCAGACTTCTGTTGTTTCCGTCCAGGTCAGACATAACTTTCAATTAATAAACCATTGTCTATATTAATAGATTTTGTGTGTGCCATTTGCCATGGTTTTTGGCTTTTGCGCCGACATTTGTTTGCCCAATTAATTATACAAAGAAACCGAAATTGGTCTTCAAATTTTGGGGATTATGGTCATATAACTGGATAAGCTTTCACAACGCAACAACTGCCGGAGAATACAAGTGGATTTTCACATGCAAATTAAAATTAATGTTTTATTGCACATTGTAATAATAATAGTAGTATGTGTGGCAATCTTAATATTTCAATTGGCTTATTAAAAGGTATAATATAATCTAAAAGCTGTGAGTTAATTTGTTTTCTGCATTCAAGATAGAAATAGGTATAATTTTCTAATTATTCTCTAGCTAAATTGTTAGGGAAAGATTAATCCCCATACGTAAAAAATCAATACTTTTTCCATCGGTTCAAGTTTTGTGTACTGGGAAATGTAAATAAATCGTATTACTTCTTAATGTATTATATACATATGTATGACTAAAGATCATAACTACCTCAATTTCTTCTGCAAAAAATGGCATCCCACATCCTTAAAATCAGTGAGTTCCATCATTCCTCAACCTTGCACCTGCGCCACACATACACACACGCAGACTGCGCGAAAGAGACAGACAGTTGGACCACGCCTCTCTTCGAAGAGAGCGGTACGACGTCGCTTCGTAATCAAATTAAGTAAATTACAAGCTTTCAAATGTGCAAGACTCGTGTTTTACCAGGCTAATAACTGCCGAAAACGGCGGAGAATCCCAGCAGGGCCAAAACGAGATCCCCGAGAATCGGTGGAATGGCCTGATCCGCAGCTTTATAGGACTCAGTCCAGTTCAGTTCCCCTTGCCCTTTCCTTACCCTTTCCCACAGACAACTTAAGAACTCAATTTGCGCTCTCTCTCCCTCTCGCACGTCCCTTCACCTCCTTGGGGCCTGGTGCTATCTCTTTCTCGGGCAGGGCCTGATCTTTGCCGCGCTTCCTTTCTAAATTGATTTTGAAACCAAAATGATCGTAAATTTTGATCGTCTTTGCAGCCTCTGCAAATTACCGGAGCTTTCGGTTCTGTTGTTGTTGTTGTTGTTGTGGTGTCGATCTTCAAGCGGGCACCGCCCCAAAATCGTTGTTGTTGCCTCTTTTATGGGCCTTGATTGAGTTGTCATATTTTATTACCGAAAATTTTAGACAACGTTGCAAGCCCAAGCAGCCGAAGGTTTCATTTGCCATAGCGAATGGGGTTCGGGATCTTGAGATCTCCAAGTCTACTTTGACGTTGACGCCGGCTTCACACCTGTGTTGGTATTGGTATTGGTATGGGTGTTAGTGTTGGTGTCAGACGCGGTACGAGTATGTGTGTGATATTCAGGTGATAATATGCCCGCCATTTTCGTAATGGAAAGTAATTATTGTTTGCGGCAACGAATTACAGTAATCGTCATAAAATGTTTCCCCATGACTGCCCGCAGCGGCAGAGCAGCGCTGCAAACGCCAAAAAAAAGAAACACCCAACAATCAACGGCCGTAAACAGCGGCGAAAAAGCAGAGCAACAGAAAGAGATGGGACGAGAGAGGGACAGAGACAGGGATAGAGAGCAGACGGCAGACGGCAGCCCTCCTATAATCAAGGGAAATAACATTTTCAAGCAGCGTTAAAACTAACATTAATTATGTCCGAAACGAACAAAACGATCGGCCAGGGCACGGGCGGAATGCGGAATGAGGAACGCTGAACGTGGAACGGAGTGGAAGAGAACGCGGATCGTGAAACGAGGAAGCGCAACACCGAAGAGGAAGCCTCAAAATTGGGCAAAAAACAAAAGTGGCACAAGGCAAAGATCGTTTATGCGGGGTATAGTTTTAGAGGACATGCCCCGTAGTGATTGAATTCATTTTCAAGAATTAAAATCGGTTCTTTCCAAAGACGTTACTTTTAAAGAGACTTTCGTAATAAATTTGGCGCCCAACGTGTGGCACTATTGGTCCAAATTGAACGGAAAAGCCTAATTGACCAAGGGCAAAGGTCGATGAAGTAAGTATTGAGAAATCTCGTTACATTTATTATATTTTAGAAACGCCTTATAAATCAGATCCTTTGTGGCTATATTTCATAAATCGAACCTAAGGTAATGCCTTTTTATTGATCAATATTACCCAATCATAATCCATTCTGATTATATAGTTTATAATAAGGTTATGTTATAATTCCTTTCTGAATTCCTTGAGAAGAATCTGAAAATTAGTCACCAGCAAAATATGTTATTGTGGTAATCTTAAGATCTAATGTTAATAAAACGGCCAGGATTAATTATTCGGTTTTTCAGTGTACAAAACGGCTTTGTTCAGTTTTCTACATTGTTGTGATAATTATTGTAGTAATCAAAGCTAATCACAAATATCAAAGCATAAACAAGGCACTGTCAATGTGTTAAAGCACTACGTAATACACTAACCAAATCAATCAGCAATAAGTGACTTTGAGCATGCAAGAATGGACGTCATGCTAAGTGCCAAGAAAATCTAGTCTGGGATCCTTGCTGAAGATATCAAATTAATAACTGTCAAGTAATATAGCGTTTAAAGCAGCTAAATGAAATGAAAATTAGCCATAGACGGAATGCTAGCGCAAAAACAAGAGAAATGGAGCCAGCACATGCAACACTGTAAGTGGCTTTTGTGGCGCCCCCCGATCTGATATATATAAATATGTAGTTATGTATGTATGTATGTAGAACCCACCGGCGATCGATGGAAAGTCGTTAGAGCCACGAACATGGCAACAAAGCAGGGGACCGAAAAGGAAAGGACTGAAATTGGAATGGGAAGGAAAACGAGTGCAGCCCCCGTTCGAAGTTACGCCCCAGAGACCGAAACCAAAGGAAAACCTGACCGAACCCGAACCCAAAACCGCAACCAGACGTAGGCGCATCCAATCCTGTACCCAACAGCAGCGGCCTATAACCGAGTCGATCTGAGCCGATCTGAAGGAAGACGATCTCTAACCAACGAACCGACGAACAACGAACGACCGAACGAAACGACGTTAATAAGAAATTAATGTCTTGATCATTTTCGATCGTTATGTAAATCAATCAGGCAAATTATAGCTCAGGGGCTTGCCACAATAATTAGACCCTATTCGTAATAATGCGCCACAAGCTGCCAGCGAGCGAGCGAGAGGGCCGATACCCGGATAGAGATAGCGATAGAGCGATCCTCTTGGCGTGCAGACGCTGACGCGCCCCTTCGCAAAAATGAAAAAAAAAATATATAAAAAAAAAAAAACGAAAGCGCAACAAGCAAAAAAGAAAAAAAAAAAACCAAAAGATAAAAAGAAGCAGGCAAGAACGAGGTAAAAAATGTGGCATGCAACGCCTTGATGTCTTCTTCGACTCGAAGCTGAAGACTGCAGACTGAAGACTCGAGACCCCAGAAGATCCAAGATCCAGGGACGTCTTCATTAAAACAACAAAACATTTATGCGCCGCTTTGGCATGTCGATCGTAGCCGGTAGATCGTTTGAGAGCAGTTCGTCATGGCAGTCGACTTTGCTCTGGGCCAAGGGGTCCACGAGGGGTCTGCGAGGGGGTTGCCAGGGGTTAGAGGGGGCAACTGGCAACATCGTAACAAGATGCGTAAAAATTATTGATTTTCTTTGACTTGATTGTTGTTGGCTATCAAAATTTAATCATAACATGCAGCACAACCAGCAAACAGAAGAGAAGCAAGGGTACACTCGGAAAAGTAATCTTCTAATGAAATTCGTACTTTCTAACTTTTTAAAATTGTGATCTAATTAACATATTATAGCTCTTAAACCTTAATTTTGTATGATTTTTGCTTGCAAGGTGTTAACATCTATATGATTTTTATTTTACATACAACTATGTTGTTTGACAATCAGACTTAATCTTAAATGTCAAAATCTCAAAAAAGAAATCAGAACGTATAAAAGGACTTTAGGTTTATTTATCACATAATCATCTAATAGAAATATCTTAGTAAACATATAACAATTAGTTATAAAAAGCCTGATGGGAAAGTAAAAACTTCGATTTAATTACAGAGTTTAGTTTGCCTTAATTATAACCATATGAATCCAATATACAACGCTCTCAGAGATTTTGTTTGAGATTCTTGCCTCTGTAAAATCAACTTTTTTGTGCTTTCATATGTCGCACAGGATTTCGTTGAGTGTAGGAGGATGGGAAGGAGGGGGCAACAGGTACTGGGCGATGGAGATGGCTAGCATGTTGCCAAGTTAACCACTCGGCCACTTCCACTTGAATTTTCAATTTTGCATCGCAGCAGCAGGGCAAAGTAATTTGCCGCGTTGACGTGCCTGGCCTGGCAGATGAGCAATGACCCGGCCCCGACCAGATCGGCAAAATGCAGAGACCCCGAGAGGAGGAGTACCCCAAACCAGACCGAAAGCAATACCAATACCAGTACCAGTGCCAGTACCAGAATACCCGGACAGCCTTTTGCTGTCGATTTCACTCGCTCGTCGTGTCGATCAATTCGTTTTAATGCAAACAACTCGTATAAATTCATGTGGCAAGTGGGCAGCCAGCCGGTGTTTCGGTGCCCTTCGTCCCTCCGGCCTTTTGCGATCCCTTCCTGGAAACCGGCAGAGCCACCATTGACCATCCACCAGGCAAAGTGCAAAGAAATTCATTAAATTAAGTGCCACACATTTGTGGCCCACTGTGCGGTGCCTTTGGAGAGCGGAGCTCTGCGCTCCGATTGCGGTTATTATTGCTCGCCCATAAAGCGACCGAAGGAAATGAGACTGTGGACAAGGACTTGCACTTGGACTCGGACTCGGACTTGGACTTGGCCCTGTACCTGGGTATTAGCCAGGATAACAGGGGGGGCAGGGGAGAGGGAAGGAGAACCCCGCCACATCGCACCGAGTTGAGTGACGGCGTCAGAGTCGGGGCCTAGACAAATTACTGGGCACCTCGCAAATGGCGATTGTCCGGGTGTCTACTGTAATGCGGTTGGCGGAGTCGTTGGCTAATGATGATGGACTTGGACTCGAGCGATCGGGTGGCTCTAGGGGTGGCTTAGGTGTCTATAAAAAGGGAATCTCTGGGGTATTTCTTGTTTGACTTGGCTTCAAAGCTTTAGGAGATGATCTGTAAAAGTTGTCAAAGACTTTAGTTACTTGACAAAATGTCTAAGTACAATAATGTATTGACTTTCATTATAATTTATAAGTTGTCGAACTTGTTCTGCTAGGAAGGACACCTATGTCCATGCCCCTGTATACAAATGCTGTAAAACAATTCAAATAATCATTTGTCTGCATTCTTAATGCCTATCTCTTTTTAAAGAGACACCTCAATAGATAAAAAGATATATCTGCGGTATTTATTCCAATTCATGAAAAAATTCTCCTCTTTCGTTCCAACTAGGTTATGAAGTTTTAGGAGAGAATCTGTCGAAGTTCTAAATAAAACATAAGTTTCTTGAAATCTCAAAATATTAACTTTAATTTATTATTGAAACTTACACAATAGATATTTGCCAATTACAAAAGGGAAATACTCATGCATTTAAACCAATTCATTTTTTAATTCGTCAGCTATAAAGTTGTAGGGAATGATCTGCCAAATTTTTGTTTTGTATTATTAGAGAATACAAAAATCCCCGCTTACAGGCCTTCAGCTTCCCAAACCCTTTTATAACTGCCAGCTTCCCACGTTATCGCCCAGTTTAGAATGCGGTGAACAAACAATTTAACACACTCCAAAGTAGTTGCATTACCAACTTGAAGTCAGCGGCGGGAAAACTCGGACAATCCATCAATGTGCCCAGGAACTAAGCGACTTTGACAGGCAATGAAAAGCGTCGGGGAAAAAGGGGTTAGAGTTATAGCCTCTATGTCTATGGAGTGAAAAACAAAGGCCTCCGTTCGAGGGAAATCCCCGTGTCAGGGGCGCGTGTCTGACTTTATGCCGGATTCTGGGCACCTTTTTTTTAGGTGACAATTCCGGGGGTTGACTTTGCCCAAAACAAACCCAAACTGAGGGTCACACAATTAGCAGCCCTAATAGTTTATGTGGCCTAAAGCTGACTTCTAACCATTTTTTTCCCAACTGTCTTTTTGATTCACCTATTTTTTTTGTGAGTTTTATTTTTGTATTTTTTTGTATAGTTTGTTTTTTTGTATTTTTTCCTGGTGTGAGTCAGGCAAATCAAATCATGTGACAAGCTTCTAATGAACCTCAGAAAGCACCCTAAAATGCTTTTTTTCTCGTGATTTTCTGTTCCCAGTCAGCGACATTTGTGTGGCCTATAAATGCTAATGAGCCCTCACATTTTTTACTTTCGCCTGTTTCAATCTCTTTTTTTATAGATTTTTACGGGCATTTTTTGGGTAATTTTTTGTGGGTCGTTTTGGAGGTGGAAAGTGAAAAGAGCCGGGGGGAATTTGATGCGCCCGCTCATCGTTGTGGACCAGTCTGGTGTCCTTGTGCTCATCATCATCATCGTCCCGAGGGCCTCCTTCCTTCATCTGCGTGTGCATTTTGTTCCACTTGAGTTTGTTTGTTTAACGACCTTTGAAATTAGGCAAAACTAAGGGGCAAAGGATGAGGTCCTGTGCTTGGGGTTGGCTCTGAGATTGGGTTAGGGTTTCGGGTTTTGTGTTCTGGGTTCGGGCTTGTAGGTCTCAGTCTGGCATTGTCGACTGGACAGCAGACAGCAATTTATACTGTTTATATGCTAATTTCGTCGATCGCCTTTTTATTCAGACGCCGCCTTTTGCATCTGATTCAGCTGCAGATTTGCCATTTGCTGGCCTAATTTAAATTGGGTTAATGATTTTAATTAGCCAGCTTCACGGGGGGTGAGACATATTTAAGGGGGGTTGAAACTCTCGAGGAGTTTACAAACAAAATAATTAAATGGAATTAATTTACAAGAATTAAAAGTAGGACAAAAGAAGAAATCGATGACTTGAATCAATTAAAATGTATCCTAATGGGTAGGAAAAAGTCTAAGTTGTTATGTATATAGCTTCTTGAATATTTCTGTTGAAATTAAAAGTTTTTCTGCGAATTACAAATATTTATTAAATAAATTATTTGAATGCAAGGGAATTATGTTTCTTGGGAAATATTGGCAAATAATTTGAACTCACTTGAATTATAATCCCCATATAAATATTAAACAATAAACATATAAGGGGCATTGAAAAATACATATACATTTTTATACCCGTTACTCGTAGAGTAAAAGGGTATATTGTATTCGTGCAAAAGTATGTAACAGCTAGAAGGAAGCGTTTCCGACCCTATAAAGTATATATATTCTTGATCAGGGTCACTAGCCGAGTCGATATAGCCATGTCCGTCTGTCCGTCTGTCTGTCCGTCTGTCTGTCTGTCTGTCCGTCCGTATGAACGCTGAGATCTCGGAAACTATAAAAGCTAGAAGATTGGCATTTTGCATGCAGATTCTAGGAGTTCCTACGCAGCGCAAGTTTGTTTCAAAAAGGTGCCACGCCCCCTTTAACGCCCACAATCGCTTATATACGATTTTACAAATTTAAATATTTCGGAAAAGTACAAATGCAGTTTTATTGTGTTTATCAATACCTATCGAAATGTAGAAGAAATTTTTTAAATCGGACCATTCGTTAAAAAGTTATGCGTGATCAAAGTTTCTATCTCCATCTCCCTCGCACTCCCTTTACCTGAGTAACGGGTATCTGATAGTCGGGGCACCCGACTATAGCGTTCTCTCTTGTTATAATTCTTATGTTTCATATTATGAATATTAAATTTAATATAACCCAGTAATGTAAGTAATTACTTATTTAATTTTTCAGAGTTAAGCATATATACTTTAAGGTTTCAACGTTATTCTTCTCGATAGTTTTCTTTCAATGTAACCTTGTGGCATCTTGGCCATCAATCCTTGGGGGTATCGTTCTGTTTAGCCACCTTGGCGCCAGTTCTAAATGCCCGGCAAATGCTTTAACCATTAACTGCCACGCCCCATATCGATTGCGAACCGACCATATGGGGCTGCTAACGTGCCCCGGCCCACTGTTAATCCAAATCCCCGAACTCAGAGCGACCCAAAACAAAAGCCAAAGACCTGTTCCAGTTGGAATCTTCGTGGCAAATTAGGAGGACAAACCCCCGAAATGCTGCGGCACACAGAACTATGCCAGATACGAGTCCAGATCCCTCTCACTCCTTCCTCTCGGGGAGTCGCAGAGTCAACAAAAACCATAATTCAGATAATTTTATTTATAACACCCTTGAGGAATTATATTTTATTTACTCTTTCAAGTGTGATGATGAGGTTGGCAGTGGGGGGGGAGTTGAGGGGTAAGGGCATTGTTGGATGGACCGATACCGATATGCCCAAAGTCCTTGTCAGAAACCTGCCCCTTTGTTGTGTTTTGTGTTCGGTGTTTGGTGTTTGTTATTCGGTGTTTGGTGTTTGGTGAACTCTATAAAATGTCTGGGTCGTGTCGAACAGGGGTTGAAGTCGTGGCCGTCTCTTTCTTTTCGACTACACCCCTCTCTTTTCGTCCCGACTCCTTCGATTTGCTAGCAGATGTGTTTCTAAATTGTCAAAATCTGTGTGCATTTCAGCATATGAAACTCACGTAGACCGCCGCTCTATGATTTTTATTGTATTTTTGTTTTTTTGGGGGGAAGGTGAAGTGGCCCCCCGATGCGTCTTTTATGGGTCCTTGGTCCTTGGTCCTTGGCTGTGGTTCGTTTGGTGGTTCGTGTGGTTAGCCAGTGGTCAGTGGCTCCACAAGTCGAAGCCCAAGAACCCCATCTCTCCCATTGTAATTGCCCAGTCAGCACTGGTAGCACTGGCACTGGCAAATTTTTGCAATTAAATTTCACTTAAAACTGCAACCAAACGGAGCAAAGACAAGGCGGCAAAAGGGATAGGATATGGAATTGAGAGGGGGGTGGGGATGGGGAGGGAGAAGGGTTCGTAGGAGTAATTTACTTCCTCCATTGGAGCTTTAAACATATCCGAGCAACACCCACCACTTCCTAATTGTGGAAACCAATTTGCGCCGCTATAAATTAGAAAGACAAACGACGCTCCTCCTCGACTCCCATATTCCCATATCCTGCTGAATTTTCCAAAAGGGGGCGGTGGTCGGGAGGGCGATTGCTTGAATGGGGGCGTGGCCACTTCCTGTTCCTGTTTCGGTTTCAGTTTCTGGCCTCTCGCATATCTTGGAAATTTGCATAAATAGACTTTAATTGTTTGCAATTATAAAACAAGACCGAAACGAGCGGCCCCGCCTCCACCGGAATAGCACATGGATATATGGATACATGGGTGCATGGATTCATGGGTAGACCTCGTGCATGGGACTTCCCCAGTCGGTGGGTATCCAGCAGATACTATTCCGGTTAATTGTGCCTGCTATCACTGGCCGACTTCCGATCTAATCGTAGTGCTATGGTGGTGTTCAGATTTAGTAGGTACTTTAAATCGCACCATCCTTATGCTGCCACACACATTTAGATAGTTTAGATTTATACCAATTGAACTTGGTTTATCGATTATTGGCTTATTATTTTCCCTGATTTCCTTCCTAAATAGACTCTAGTCATGAGGATGAGACAAACAGCGAGGAGTCGGTCTTTATCAGAGCCACCGATCACGATTCACGGGGCGATGAAGAAGCCAAATCCAATCTGGAACCGGATGAGGATATGGAATCCTCAAAACGCAGACGCTGCCGGACCAACTTCAACTCCTGGCAGCTGGAGGAACTGGAGAGAGCCTTCCTGGGAAGCCATTATCCGGACATATTCATGCGGGAGGCCCTGGCCATGAGACTCGATCTGAAGGAGGGTCGCATTGCAGTGAGTCAAGTTAATAAAAGAACCTAAGAATAAGTTCCGACACATAGCTTTCTATTTTAATATAGTTCAAAAACTGTAATGAACAGGTCCTTATTTTTTGATCTAATCTTCCATCTTCTTTCTGTTTCAAATAATTCAAATAATATAATAACTCAAAAAAAAAAAAAAAAACTATAGTTTATTGCATATTAACAAATGTCCCAAGAATACCTTACTGATACCATCCACACTCCATTGCCTAACGTTAACCAAAGTTCCCTACGCTACCATCCCTTTCATTTCGATCCGTTTCGATAACATTTGCGTGAGCATTGTAAAACAATTTGGTGGCAACTGGAACTCAATTACTCAATAAAACCAATTACCTGACTATTTTTATCCATTATAATTCATTTTATTTCATTTGCAATTGCGTTTCGTGTCGCTCGTTGTTGTAATGATTTCAATTGCATTCCCAGAGCGGAGCTTAACCCTTTGTCGCCCCCGTGCGAGTCCCACAGCCCCACTCTTCACCCCCCCGGCGATGGCTGACTTTGCATGTCAGTCGTGTGATTATCGTGGCTCTTTGTCTATCTGGCTATAGCCCTCTCTTTCGGCGACATTTGGCTACGCTTTTTTGTCTAAAATTGTTTCTTGACATGACATATCAATTTGGCAATGCGAACGACAAGACAGCGACAGTCTGTCCGTTCGTCATTGCCTTCAGTCAGTCACAGGTACAGGTAACTCCCCGACTTTTGGAGGTACAAAAAATGAGGGGGGGAGGGGGATGGGGGGGTACCTCTTGTTAAAGCCGGGAACGAAGCATTGCATGCCGCTGTTCGAAAACAATTTGTTGCACATTAAAAAATGCACAATGCATGCAAATGACTTCAAATTGTCGCACACACACAGGTCGCCGCCCACTGCAACCCCCCACCCCTGACGCACCACCCCTCATGCCCTCAAACACCCCTACCCCCCACCCCTCCCCTCGATACGGATGGGTTCCCCGGCAAACTGCACGTCAATTAGCGACGCCATCTTGTTTATGACTCCAACTAACCAAAGCAACCATCCCCATCTCCATCCTCATCATCACCGCCATCATCATCGGCATTTGGTCACGATCTCCACCGCGATGATAATGATGATCCATCTCCAGAACGCATGACATATTGCCCTTGGTCTGGTTAATCGTCCGCATCTGAATTGGTGACTTATTGAAATGAAATGGAGGAAATAGCGATTATCTAGTAATGGATATTGGAATGGGGGTACCAGCACATACTTTTAATGTTTTGGAGCATTTGTACCATCCGTAGTGGGTAACTATTTTTAAATTGAGCATCCATACAAATCGAAATCATTTTTTGTTTCTGTTCCAAATCGGCCATGTAAAACTATACCAAGCCTCCTTTTTATTTCTGCCAATTTCCGGCGATTTGGTCAAGATAGATGCAACAAAAAACATTACAATTTTAATCATGTTGGAAATAAACTAAAAAAAAAACTAAATCAAAAGAAAAACCAGCTACAAACTTAATAAACTTTGTTGTTTTTGTTTTATGTCCTTATTTACCCCAAAAACACAAAAAATTGCTATGAAAAATATTTTGGCCGAAATGCGGAAAAAATCAGTTTGATTTTTCTGTTTTTGTATCCAAGCCCTGGGAAATAATAGTCGCATATTGGAATGTAAAACCTCGTTGGATTCGTTATAACATTTTCAATCAAGTGGCCTTCAAAGATTTAAAGTTTTCGCAAAAAATCATAATGGTACCACTCATGGCACTCACATCCATTTTGGTCAGAAGTTTGTAACGCAGTTGGGAAGACATGTCCGACCCTATAAAGTATTTATATTTTTGATCAGCATCGCAAGACAAATTGATATAGCCATGTCCGTATGTTTTTATATCGTGTGCCAGTTTTTTCTAAAAGAGAGAGAGACTTCTATAAGTATTTTTATAAGTGTACGCAGATCAAATTTCACAACGACTCATACATCGTTAGATTCAAATGCCCACAGGCTATACTGTGGAACTTATTTTATATATTTTACAAATTTATATTATTTATATATATTTGAATACTCCCCTAATATTTTCTGCAAAGGCCTAACCGATTTCCCCGCAGGTTTGGTTCCAGAACCGTCGTGCCAAGTGGCGCAAAAAGGATCACACCAAAAAGGGTCCTGGCAGACCGGCGCATAATGCCCAGCCGCAGAGCTGCAGTGGAGCACCCATTCCGCCCTCCGAATTACGGGCCAGAGAACGGTGAGTAGAAGATGGAGAGGTGTAGCCGAGATCCCCGTCCTGATCCACGCCAAATCCTCTGCTCAGGACTCAACGCAGCAAGCGGATGAAGAAGGCCATCGATCGGCAGGCGAGGAAACTGCGTTCCAAGGGAATCGAAGTGGACTTCGCCCGGCTGAGGGCGGATTACCTGGTGGCCCACAAGGACAGCTGGCAGGAGGATCAGGATTTGGAGGATGTGGGATGCTACGACGATGACGATCTGCCCATCGACGTGGTGGGCGAGGGGCAGGAGGATGGCACCGGCGACAGTCAGGACAACTCGTTCTGCTCCTCGAGAACTTACCAAAAGAGCAGCAGCAGCGAACTGGATCCCGATGATTTGGGGGTGCCCATCAAGCTGGAGGCGGCACCTCCACCATCGACCACATCGCAAAACAAATCCCTCTACAGCTCCCCCTTCAGCATCGAATCCCTATTGGGCTCATAACGAATATCGAATGGTATATGTGGATAGCGGTAGGCTTACAATTTCGGTGGCTAGCTAAGAACTAAGTGCGAATATAACCTGTAAACCCAAACTGTTCACCTCTGTCTGGTATTTTCTTCTGGGGGTCAAGAGTGTGCGAGTGTGAATTTGAGTACGGTTAGGAATACGAATGCCGAAATGCGAGTGCATTTTAATTTCCAGCAAACTGCCCGAAGGTCTTCGCGGGGTAAGGCATAAAAACCAGAGAGGAAAAGGCAGCTCCAAGAGGCGGAGGCAGTGCATCCATCAAATTCACACGCAGCCCGCACGGTGGAATGCATCTTGGGAAGGCAGTGGTAAAATGAACCAGCGATTGCAGAATCGATCGAGTTACATGGAGTTTATCAAACAATTTCCAAATAAATGATTTCAAATAGTTAATGCTTTTATGATATACCCAAGTGATATACATTACAACAATTATACCTAATATTGGCCAAACATTTATTGTAAGTTACGCCAAATTTAAAATTTGTTACAAATGGTATTATATATAGAGAAGTACTGTAATATATCATTATACATTTATTTTTAAAAGACTCTTATATAGAAGAAAAATAACATTTTCTCCACTTACTCATATCTTAAATTAGCACTGTCTCTATTCACTTAAGTCAGATGAACTCTAACGTGATATTAAGAAAGTAAATTTGTTCGAAACACCAGTTAAACCAATGTCAAAAGTTAAAATTACATTGAGAAATCGACCATTATTCAGGTATACATCGTCTTACTCTGGTTCACTGAAATAAATTCAATTGAAATAGTTATTGCACGCTTATCGCTGGCATTATGTGCTTTTCACACCAACCACTTAATCCACCATGGTGCAGCGCAGCAACTGTATCACCCAGCGCATCATCAGCATCAGTTGGAATCTCGCAGTTTCGACCTCGGGGCGAATTCAAAAATGCAACTCGCGACCGTTGGAGCAGGGACTGTGAAAGAGAGGGGCATATGCGGGGCGAAAGAGACGGGTGCAAGGACAGCGGACAGCGGACGCAGACCGACTCACTCACAAATGTAATACACACATCAGGCAAATAAATTAGAAGGCAACTCCTTCGGGAGAAGCGTCAGCCAGGCCTCGCCCCCCGTTCGCACTCGGGGTTCAGTTCAAGGTGCCGGGCAGTCCTACAAAATGGAGCCGAGTACGAGTCCGATCCCGATCCCAGTACCAGTGCCATTCCCAGTCCCAGTCGCAGTCCCAATTCCATGGCCCAAACCCGAAACCCAGGTGAGTGGGGATGCAGAGTGGCGAGTAATGCCGACAATCCGTCATGCAGGTGTGAATGATTCATTAATTTCTCGCCTTCATACGAATTTTCATTTCAGTTAACATGCAAGCGGAACCGAAACGAGCCTCAAAGAGTTACGCACACAGCGAGAAAAGCCGGTCTTGTTTATAGTGAAGGATCGTTTGTTGAAATTAACTTCTAGTCTCTCTAACTCGAATTTTTCTGTTGGCAGCTTGTGGTTCGAGTTATGGAAGTTGACTGTATTTTATATTAATGTATAACTTAAAAATATTTCTCATTAGAATGATATTATTTTATAAATATACACAAATATTATAAATATACACATTTATGTCTTTATCTTTAGGGGATTAATATTCATTCATTTTGTAGGTAATTTTATTTTCTTTATTAAAGTTTTTAAAAATTCTGTTGCTGAAAATAAAACTGAGAGTTTAAATTTTAAATACCTTTAAGAGAACATATGTCTTAATAGTTAGTAGTACATTTTTAGTCTAGAATTCTTAAAGCAAATAAAACTTAAAATTATTTCAATATCACAAAGTGCAAGTTATAATTCCAATTAAACAAAAATGAACTAAAAACCCAAACAAAATAGTTGATTCCAGAGAAAATAGGCTTGGCTCTTAGAGACGAAATCGCTATAATTGCATGACATCCTGTACAACTCATTGGTAAGGTGAAAAAAATAGGTATCAGCTGGAAATCGGTAATGAATTTTCCTCCGTGTAGCGATGATCGGTAAAGAGGGTAAGACGGGAGAATGGTTTTGGATGTGGAGGAGATGGGGCCGGACTTTAACGGCGACGTATGCCTGGCAGCTCTCTTGAGGATCCGCTCGACTCCATATAGCCCACTGCTGATCCTCCGAGCTTAACGTCTTCATTACGCACGGCCACGGCCCACGTTTCCTGCCGCCTGCCGCCTTTCTCTCCCCAAAAATCCAGAAAAAAGGTGCATGAACAGAAACTAAGACAGCGAAGCCAGTTTGTCTCTGTTGCCAATTTCGTTTTGCATTTTCAATTTCGTGGCATTTCCTTTGGGGAACTGGGAGTCTGGAGATCTGAAGATCTGCAAATCTGGGCACCTGGGCATCTGGGGATCCGGAGTGGATCGAACCTGAGAGAAACCACCAGCGGGTGGCCGGCGATCGCAGCTGGTGGGGATTGTCTGCTGAGCGGCGATCGTTAATTAGCTGATGAACCCAAAGATCAAATGCCAATTAACCAATTGAAGTGCACAAAAGGGGCTCTAATTGAATTACCCGACTGGATTACTCTGATATGTTTCATTTACTATTATAAGTTATTATCATAATGGAAACTTTATAGAATGAAGCTTATTAATTTGTGACCATTAATTGAAACCGATGATAACATTCATTATTTAAAGCACAAATTTAAAAATGAGAGGAGTTTGAAAAATTAAATTTTATTATTGATTTGAGTTCGATATATTTATTAGAAAATAATGCATATTACCCCATAACAATGTAATTCGTCTTAGTAATTGTGGTTGAAAAACAGGAAACGACCTACAATTTAAACACAAATTATATAATATAATTTATCATTTATTTAAAAGCTGTAGTTATTATTCCTAGACACATTCAATGGCATTTATTTAATACAGTTTCAATCCGTGAGCTCCAAATTGTGTTCGACAAAAAAGCAACTCATTGTTAATACTTAACTGGTTTCGTTGCACAATCATTTTCATTCAGGCAATTCAATTGCTCAAATAAAGTTAATTTAAAAGCGAATTCATTCATTGGATATAATGTTCGCTTTTTGCAAAATCAACTTCGCTTATTATTCATTATTGCGTTTATTTAAAATGTTATAGTCTTTTTAAAAGAGGTATTAATAATTAAATAAACATAACATGGAATGCGTAGAACAATCTACTTAAATTAATATAAGTAAAAATTATGAATACAGTGGTCATGAATCAACAAGAATTCTCCATAAATTGCCTTTAATTTTGGTGGTAAAAAACGGTGAATGATATTTTAATCATCTAATTTAAATTCCTCGAAATTAGCCATGACCTACGACGAATGTTGTCCATAAGTTGGGCAAAGTTTTGGGTATAACCGATATGCATGCGAGGATTTCACACGAATTGCCGACTTGCAGTTCGTTGCGGGTCGTAAAAAGCGCTGAATGATCTTTGCCTGCTGTTTGCCGTTTGCTGTTTGGATGGATCTTAATACAACAACAATTCATATTTTTTATTACACCTACTTTGGGACCCAGAAAAGCGACGTCGAGCCGATCGTCCAAAAGAGCGGCCCCGAAATGAAGGCGTTAACCAACTTTAATACATTTATTTGGGCCACAAAGCCACGCTGGCCAGGATTGGGTCTCTGGATGGGTATGGGGATGGGGTTTGGGATGGAGACTCCAACTGAAACCGAAACGGAGACAGAGACTTCCACCTCGGGAACTGGGGAACTTGGCAACTTGGCAACTGGGGAACTCAGGAACTCGGCAACTTGGGCGCAGGCGCAGCAGACGCTGCCATATCTGTCCAAAGTAATAATTATGTTTCACGTTGTTATCCTAATTTACGTGCCCCAGAACAGAGACCTAAACAGAATCCCAGTATGAGGTGCACTCAGAAAAATGGGAATACATATAAGGACTTCCTTTCGAATTAAATTCACTCTTATTAAAGAAAATCTTATTCAAAATAGTTGAGTAATGATAGTCAGAAATAATAAATATAAGCTACTTGAATCTAAGCTTTTCTAAAATTAATGATTGAGTGGTGCAAATAAATTAAATAATAAAAGATAATTTGTAACTAAAATATGCGTAGGCATTTGATATTTTGGCATTTTAGAAACATTATTCTTTTATAAATGTTGTAACCAAAATAAAGTTACACTTTGAAGAAAGCTGATCCTATTATCAGTAAATGATGTATGACTTCAACGTTTGATAAGCATTCAAATGATGGAAAGCTAATATAAAATGGCAAGAGTAATGTGAAATTATTTTTTTTGCAGTGCTTGAACCTGAACCTCCGTCAAAAGCGATGCCTGGGGCTCAAACTGAAGCTAAAGCTGAAGCTTCAGCCAAAACTGAGGCTCATCATCGTCGGCTGGTCGGCGCATTTCACTGGAAAAATATTAAACACAAAGCGAGATACTGAAAATTGATTTCTCACCTTCGTGCACGTTATGGAGATGGAGGTGGAGGTGGAGGTGGAAGGTGGAGGTGGAGATGGGTCTTTGGAGGTGTCCCGCTCCGCCGTCCTGTCCTTGTGGCTTATAATTAATTAATACGTAGCTGCACATGTACAAATACAGGTATAAATATCCGGATTTGGATATAGCACTTCGTGATTTGCACGCCCGCCGCGTTTCGTTTCGTATTGGACTTTGGTTTGCTTTTGTTTGACGGCCTGGTGCTCTCTCGCAAAACATTTCAATAATCATAATCTCAGAGGGGCAAGGTAAGGGGTATATCCTCTATATCTATGGAGGAAGGGCCCTGCTCCGGGTACCTAAAAAGAATGGGAGACTGAAAGACTGAAAGCCTGAATGCCTGAATGCCAGACTGCCTGTCGCAGTGCCACCTCCCCCTTTTCCACGGTCTGCTCTCCTCCACTCGTAAATTAACATTTATCTGTGAATTTATTGCATCATCGAGAAAAGTTTTCAATTCGCTAGAGAAGCAGCCGAGAAACGGAGGGGCGATATAGGAGGTGGGGATACCCAATCCTATACCCATTCCCATCCCCATCTCCATCCACATCTCCATCTCCAGGCACCTGTTGGTCAATGGGAAATTTATTTGTCATTCCTCTTGCACCATTTGTCGTGGCTTTTAATTTGCTTTCAAAACGCAGCTTAGTTTTCCATTTCGAAATCTTCGCCTCTCTTGTTTTCGGAGGGGTATTGACTTTTTGATTAGATTTGGAAAACTTTCATCGGAAGTGTTTCTCTAAAGTTATTTCTTTGTTAAGGTGTTCAAAAATAAGTTACCCGATGAAAATAAATTATCCTAGTCCTCAAGTCTAAAGGAAGTCTTGATTTTTTAACGCTTCTGCATAATTGATTTAAACGATCGAATTCAATCAATTATATATATAAATAAAACCAACTTTATTTTCTCAATAAAAACTAATGCAATATTTTCATTGCTTTTATTGCTGTAATTTGTTTAATAATCCGTGGCTTATAATTAAATATTTAGTGTAAACAAATTATTAAAAATGTTTGCAATTAAAAAGTTTATTTAATAATATTAATTTGTAGCTGCCAGATGCCTTGAGCTATTTATTTGGGATATTTTTAATACAATAGTTCAGTTGAGTAACCTAATATTATATAATTTGGTTTAAGTTACTTCTTAGTATTTTTCTATAAATATATTTTATTTTTTTACTGAATAGTTAATTTTATTTTTTACATGCAATGCACAATTTTCTAGTTTCAGCCATATTCCGGAACAGCATTATTAAATACTTTTATGCACCTAATATCGTTTATATAGGGCAACCAGATATCGGTATAATTCCCCACTTTCAAGCAACCTCCTTTGTTAATATTGTTTTCTTTGACTTGTGTTGGGGCTTAGGCTCAGTTCGTTAGCCCGAATGTTCCCCGGAAAATCCCCTCTTTTCCCAACTCGACCGACGTGACATTTTAAAACGAGCATGGCATATAAAAATTTGTATGATATGATTTTTATAGACTTCAAATCGATTTTTTTATGATCATCGCTGCCGCTTTTTATGCGCTCACCACGGTTTTATGTGACAGCAGTGCAGTGGGGGGTTAACGGGGCGGGTGTTAACCCATTCGGCATCCGGATGGCTGCATTTTTATGTAATTATGTAATTAGGTGTTAAGGCAAACAATTTGAGAGAGTCACAAAATATTGATGCTGTCGATGATGGCGATGATAATGGCCGGCGAACGAGGACCGTTAGGTATAGGGAAGCTCTCCTTATCGCTGCACTCGGATCGAACGACATATGGTATATATATCTTATTTGCTATATACTATGGCGATCGAAGACCCAGTCAATATCCGGTCGTGGCCGATTGGGCGAACCGACTGGGCCACCTGTTGTGCCCCTTTTTCTATGTGCGCCGCATTTTTAATTTAATTTTTTCCTGCATTCTCCTTCATATGCAAGCTTAAATTATTTCGTGCGGACTTCAACTTCGAACCTCATGCTCCTGCTCCTGGCCGTCGGTGATTAATAAAGCCAACATCCAGACCGGATCGGACTCGGGATCGGGACTGCAACAGCTGGCGGCAACAGCCTGGCCAATTCCCAATTCCCAGTTTCAGTTCCCAGTTTCAGTTCCCAGTTTCAGTTCGCAATTCCCATTGCCAATCCCGTTCGTGAGAAGTGCAGAGGCCAGGCCCAAAACTGTCCGCAGTTGACTTTCTTTTTTATGAACTAATAATCATTTGCCCAGACACTAATTGGCGAGAGTTTACACGTTTTCCTTGATTTTCACTGGATTTTCCATTTTTTTTTTTGGGAATTATGGGCTATATATTCATTTTATGTATTGTTTTTTAAGTGTTTTAAGGTACTTACAATCTTATTTTTTAACTAGTATATATACAATAGAAATGATTAAAGATATTATATATATTATATGAGTATTTTGAATAAAGTCAATGGAACGTAAATACAAAGTTAATAGAGTAGACAAACATATAACAATTTCAGGATTTCTGAAAGAATGTTTTCCGTGGTTAATTCACATCTACATATATATAATTGCAGTTTAAATAAACTATTTTATTACCTCAATGTTTTCAAGAGTTTCAAAATGAAACTTTTGATTAAATAATAAAACCATTGAAAAACAATTTAGTCTTGTCGATTTAAAATTGCACTATAAAGTGTTGACTTTATATTATTTAGCATACAATTATTGCTTATGCTTTAAAGCCAAGGGAGAAGTTTGTTTTTGGGTTAAGATAAAACACAAAAGGAATGGTTAATTTGCAGTTGAATTTATTTCCTTATAAAATTCCTTATCTAATGCGAACTGTACACTTATGGTAGGCGTTAACTTATGGCCAGCTATTTACAAGTACCCCGTGTTCCCCCCGCCTCACTTCTTGAGCACCGCATTGGCACTCGTGTCCTGGTGGAACAGCCCCATCCGGTGGTACGCGCAGGCCACCCGACATCCCCGGGTGCAGAACTCCCGATCCGCGCACATCGAGGTGGCCAGACTCCGCTGGACGACCTCGAGGACGCGGCAGTAGTCGTGGCACATGTAGCACTCTGGCCGGGATCGGCAGAGGAGGGGGGCGTGGCCACCGGCAGGGACTGGCGGTAGCAGAGCTTGCGGCACTCGCCGATCCTCTGGGGTCGTCCTTCTTCTCCACTTCCACTTCCGGCGGATGTGGATATGGATGCGCCCAGCGCATTGCCAGCGAGAATGGTGATGGTCAGGCACACGATGATCCTTGGTACTGTCATGTTACTTGTGCCTCTTAAATGTGCGGACTTCCTTGCTTCTCTGAACTCCTGATCTTCGAATGCGGTTGAGTGTGAATCGATCGAGGTTTCCTGGACTTCTGATTGTCCCCGTTGCGGCGGGATGGCCTTATATACCGGAGACGTTTCATTCACAAAACCGGTGGAAAAACCCGGCTCACTACCTGGTCACCACTTATAGTACCTATGATTAGTCTCGGAGGGATCTGGATTCAGGTAATTGACAACACGTGTGCGCAACGCATCGCCGACGCACTTTCATGAATGATCTGCCCTGCTGGAAATCCCCTGGAATTTCCCGCCATTCATGGCCTTACCTGAAAAATGGGTTGAAAATCCCGGCGCCGCCATTTGGTGACAGTTTTATTATTGCGTAATACGTTTCTAACCGATCCACGGCTCGTCTGACTGCTCTACCTACTTAAGGAACTAAGTAGACAGACGCAAGTTAATTGGGAAAGTTCTAGGTAAAACCGCACTTGGAGTCCTATTGATAACCCGCCATGCCAGACAAATTAGCCCAGAAGAATGCTGAAGAACTGTACGGTACATATATGTATGTTTCATTTATAAAATAATGTTCTCAATAAAATACATTTAATTTATTTTATTGAAGTATTTTAAAAGTTCGCTTTAGCTATATCAGTTGACTTAATAAAATGTTCCAAGTGTACCATATTTCTTTACTATTTCAATCATGTAAGACAAATCATTCAAAATTAGATTTGATCAAATTATAATAAATAAAATTTAAAGAATTATCATATAGGAGACTGATTAGCTAAAAATAATAAGAATATTGCATAAAATATTTTAATCAAATTGTAAAGAACCTTTTTCTACAACAAGTTTTTGTTATTTTCCAATTTAAAAAGTCATTAAAAATTGTTTAAATTGTTTACTTCTAGGCCATTGTCTTTTCATATATAGTAAGTACATTATCACCAATCTTGTTGTCTGGGAATTTCTTTTCGGATGAATTTTCTGAGTAATATTGATAATGAGTTTTTATAATAAGTGAGCAGTGTAAGTAAGAAACACCCTTGTAAAAAATTCTCATAACATATTTTTTTAGAAGCAATTAGTTTTTAATAATTGAATAAGCTCAATGTATTCCTGTAATTTTGTATAAACCTGTAACATTTCTCATGTGAAAACTGGTAGACTGGCGCCACCTAGGAGTAACGAATCGATAAGAGCCACCTATGTAACGAAGTAAATTGGGCACGTAAAATGCTTGTAAGATACATTTTATAGAATGTATATGAAAATTTAGGTACAACTTTTTTTTGTTGTAAATTTAAATATTGTAATATATTCCAAATAACTACTATGTATCATATCTTTTTGAAAAAATATAGTATATTTCTTTTGCCAATGCGGAGGCTCAAACGCGACTTAGGATACCTAGATAAGATACTGTCATTATTGCTATAAATTGTCTATATACTATTTTTCCTTTTTATTTGTCAAACCAGATAAAGGGCACATAAGCAATATGGATTAGAAATTTTCTACGGCGTCTTACTTTTTTTGTGTCCATACCCATTGACCCACTCTAATGTAGATAATTTTTATTTCAAAATATTTTGAACATACATATTTGGTGCCTGTGTATCAACTTGCGCTCTTAGGTGTTTGGGCCTTATCATCATTTCCGAAAAGATGAGCGACACAAAGTAGTCGAGGTTTTTCCACGTACTCCACTGAAATCCCTGGGATCCGTTCTCTTTTATACCATCCCTATGGTATTTTCTATTTAGCGAGCTGTAATTGAAAGTGTTTTTAAGGCAATGCGGATTGAATGAGCTCTGATAAACAAATCACAGTCGACATTCCAAAGCTCAAACCTTCATCTGCCAACGTTAACATTTTAATTACATAGATTTACAAATTATAATAAACATATTATTTTTATTTACTTAGAGAAAGTTGTAGAACGGCACGTAATTTCAAAATATTTTCAGCATGCAATTTCCAAACTCTCCAAATCCAAAGAACTTAAACTAAATAATAAAGGAATAAAATTTGAAGCAAAAAGCCTTCTGTTTTTTAAGTAATCGTAAACTTACAGAAGTTCGAGTTAGTAATAATTTTGATGGAACATACCTTATGCAGCAACTTTTACACCACCAACCACCGGCGGGATCTACATCGCAATTAGCTTTCGACTTGTTATTATCCCGGTCGAATGTGCAGAATCTGTCGTTCAGGTTGTGCGATAGAAAATCTCCGGCCGGACCATAATGTTGCCCCAGGGATTTCAGACTATACCCATCGGACTCGCTGCCGATCTTGAAATCATCGTAATAAATGTACCGGGAGCCTCCATTAAACACGCCGAGCTTGATGTAAAGTTCGTGCGGTACGTACTTCGTCATCAGGTAGATTCTCTCCAGGCCGAGGAAAAACTCGGCCTTTACGTTTCCGAATCCGTTCTTATAGTCCTCCCAAGGTCGATCGAAGTTCTCGGAGCCGTCGAAACGTTTTTGAATGGTCATCCAACCGGATTCGTTGCAGGGCACCTCGAATTGTTTCAATCCGTGGGATTTTATTTTGTAAATGCCACTTGGGGTGCCACTGGGACATCTGTCTGTTCCATTACACACCATGAGATCGTCGGTGACTTTAGTTAGTTGTTGGGTAATCGATTTCACTTGACTGCTTAAGCTATTGATCTGAGTGTGTTTGAAGGCAATGTGTATGCCTTGATCCATAATTTGTGAATCCTTCACCTTTATGAGATCGTCTTTGAGTTTGAGCTCACCTGTGGCAGCCACCAACATACTCTGCAATTCATTATTATTCGCTATCAAAGTATTTACTTGGTTGATCAGTTCCTTTTGATCCTTAAGTTGCCCAACTTGTGTCTCCAGTTCTTTCCTCAGATCACTGATTTGTGATTCTTGGGACTTGATGTGACCCCTAGAATGTTCTATTTGACGCTGAAGTTCCTTAATATATTCATTATTATGGATTGGTTCACTTTGAGAATCGATTAGTTTATTTTGAATAATTGATAGTTCTTTTTTGAATGTGTCTTCTCGTTCAGCTAAAATTAAGTGGCGTTGCAATTCCGTAATTGTTTCCAGCTTGCTATTTAGAGTGTTTTTCAGTTCATTGTTGGAATCGGTTAATTGCTTAAGCTGTTCGAGATGATCGAACATGGGCTTCAAAACCTGCAAGCAATGTCCATCACACTGATTATCCATATAATTTACTGGGTCTGCGTCGGCTATGGAAAGCCATAAGACCAGACAAACCGGCAACCAGTACGATTTCATGATGTCTTTTTAGAACTGGCGACTCCAAACTATACTAAACCTAAATTATAGCAATTGTGCGGCTTATACACCAGAGTTCGATTGAGATAAGAACGCGTCTTGATCCTATAAGGTCAATTCGTATTGTTCGAGATCTTTAAAAAGCTCTCATTATCTCTAAAGCGCATGGTTGTGTTAATTCCTAAAAAGTTTAAAATTTACGAGTCTATAAACTTATTTAATAGCAGCTTTGAAGCTGTCCAAATTCTCTTAATAAAGATTTACCCAATAAAAAATTTGTGTTTCAAATGTTGTACACTTTCTCATGGCTGTCAGAAGCTGAAATCGCTCACAGGTGTGCATTAAAAATATCAAAATTAACAATTGTTGTAGAGTTGGATTTTTTAAACACCAAGAAACAGTCAGTTATTCTGTTAAAATAAGACCTGTACTGTTTTGTATGCATTGTTTACAAATTCTTAAAACAAAACGTATCATTTCTTGTAATTCTCCCATATGTATGCCCCAAGAAAACAATCGATGGAAAATTTCATTGTTTAATTTTTATTATTAAAAATTTTCTTTATATTGCCTTTGTTGTTTTGCTCATTTGCTGTGACCGTTCGTTTCCCTTCCTCGCCCTCTTATCATCTGCATTGCTTTGTATTTCTATCGTCATTCGTTTATTTTAATTTCCATAGACAAATATTGTTTGTTTAATGTTCAAGGAGGAGCAGAGTCCAAGACGGACTCGAATTTGGCTTGGCTTGGCTTGGATTGGATTGGATTGGAGGAGGTTTTCTTATATCGTATACGTAATTTTACGAAAAAAATATATATAAATACAAACTAAAAACAAACCATACGCAATAGTGTACAAAAGAGTTGCGCTTAAAACATAAATAACAAAGCCGAAAACAAAAATTAGTTAACAATTCAAATAAATCTAAATACAAGTATTGGTTGTTGGTTTCCCATCATTCATCTGTGTGAGTTCCACTAATTGCTATTCTCAACAACTTCGTTTGAGTACATGACATGGATTAAACTAAAGTACAATAATGGTTGGTTTATACATGTTCGATCTCCACCTGTGGGGGATCCCTTTCGCTTAAGGACCTTTGGGCACTGGCATTGTGATGATTGAGCAGCTTCGAAATGGTTTCAGATCGAGTGTGCGTAACAGAACCTCAACTATATGGGGGCTAGGCTATATCAAATCTATTAAATATCAAACTGCAAATCGTCTTCCATTCAACATTCGACGACTTATTTAAATCACAGCTAAAAGGCAAGCATAAAAGTAATTAATTGATTACACAAAACATCAACGACCTTGTCTCTTTCTCTGTCTGATTCGTGCCCAAAGGGGAGGGGGTTGTGGTTTTGGTTTTGGTTGTGGGTGGGACTTGGATTACTGGCTCTCAAACATACTTATGTACAATTCTGTTATTCGTTTACTTGACTACGCATAATTAATTTATATAATCGTCATATTCTGGTTTTTCTGCGTTCCTTTCATTAAATAGTTAATATTTATAGTATAGCACCGAGTACAAAAAAATGATCAATAAACAGAGTTTTGAATTTTGTTTTCTTGGTTTCTCCTGGTTTTTCGTTTTTCGTTTTTTTTTTTAGCAAAACTAACAATTTTTTTCGCTTTGCTTACTCATGTAACTTTTTGTTTTGTTTGGTGTTTTTTTTTTGCTGTTCTTGTTATACAGAACATTTAACGGTTGTTTGTTTGTTTGCTTTGTCGCTGTTGTTTAATGTTTCGTTAAATTCTACTACTTATTTAAGGTAATAATTTCTGTTGCTTTCGTTTACGTTTTGTTGTCACGAGCGAATCCATTCTGTTTTGTATTCCCTTCCTTACATCGTTCCATCGCCAGATATCTTAAAAAATACAAATAAAATAAAATAGGTAATTGTAAAGAATTATTATCCTTGAATAGTAATTAATAATATATAAATTAACATAACTTTCTTAGGAACAATTCCCTAAAATTATACTGTACATAATGTTAGTTAATTTTAAAGTTAGTTATTCCAAGCATTTAATAAAATTTGAAAAATAATTGTAATTTCATTATGCTGCGTTAAAAGTTATTTTTGTTAATTGAGGACCAACTCACCTGCGAATGCGAACTGTCGCTCTCCACCTGCTCGGAGTAGCAGTGCTTATAGTTAAGATAGTCTAGAAGTCTTCTCGGTAATGGCAATGTCTGTATAAGATCCTTTCGTATAACCGCCTTTAGTATAACAAATCTGAAAGGATAATAGACAAAGACATTGTATATTTACATAGTTTTTAGTTCGGTAAGTTCGGGAGAGCATCCCATGGAACTCTTGGATTCGCCGGATAAACCCACCTGCACATGTGCTGCAAGCTTTGTACATGCTTAAACCTAGATACTGGATTGGTTAATTGCACACGCATTGGTCCGTGCTCAGGCCGACGATGCAGAAAGAATAGATATCTGTGGAGTACAATTTGGATTTAATTGATGGAGTTGTGAATCCAACTGGGCTGCACTAACCTGCCGCTTCGCGAATGCTCGACAGCCTTCTCAATGAACTCGGTGATAGTTTGCGACTTGAACTTGGCGTACGAGCCGAAGGAAAAAGTTCCTGGAGAAAATATACAAAACATAAATCAATCTTGGTTGGATGTACGTAAGTTTTAGACATACAAATGGCTTAAGGTGTCCGAAATAATTTATTTAACTGTTTAAAAGGTTAATGGGCTTCGTGATATCAGAATTGGATATATTTTATTTATTGGTTGTAATTTTTATAGTTGATTTTGCTAAGCGTTTTAAGAAATTTAGAAAGTATTCACTAGTTTATATTTGAAAACACGAAACTTATCAGAATGTGAGAAAAGACAAAGATAACATAGCCTCCTTGAGTCAAACAATCTGTTTTGACAATCCTTAGATATATATTTAAGTATTAAGATTATATTTTAGTAGTTAGATTTAGTTATATTTAAGTAGTAGGTAGGTACATGTTTAGGTCATAATGGCTTCAAAATCGCATGAACTCACCCTGATCCTGCTCGATCCGCACATGGCGCACGCAGTTGTTCAGCTTGAAGCTCAGCGAGAAGATGTAGTGGTCGTCGGAGCTGTCGCGCACGATGAAGGAGCCATCCGGCTCGCTGGAGAGCACCTTCTCGGCCGCCTCGCTGGACAGGGGACCCCAGTACCAGCCATACTGCGGGAAAAGATCGGGATACAATTAGCCCGATTACGGGGAGAGGAATCAGTGAAACAGGGAACCTACGTCTTTGACTTTCTCAATGCTGGAGGTGAACTGCAGCGCACGCGGCTCCTGGACCACGTTCGTCTTGGGCTCCTCCGGTTCCGGTTTCACGGCTTCAATGGCATAGGCTGCAGCTGTTGAAGGGATGGACTGCCATTAGAGGTTCATCTAAGCAGTGCCAAGCCACTAGCATACTCACCCTTCTTTGGTAGTGGTGGCAGGGCACGGGACTGGAACTTCTTGCGCAGATCGGCATTCGGTTCGTCCGCTTCCGCCGTGATCAACGTCCCGCCAACGCCGCCGTTCAGTTCGGTGGCCAACTGGGTTTGGCCCGCCGTCCCCGGAGCACTGGTTATCACGGCCGCCGGCGGGATCAGGGGCGCTGTGGCGGCTGCATTCGCATTTGCACTGGCAAGGGTGCCCGTCTGGTTGCCACCCGATCCCCGGCAGCGACTATGGTTGCTCCGCCGGAAGCGGAAGATGCTGCAGAAACGCTGCTTCAGATTCAGCGTGAATTGCGACTTCTTCTCCGAGTGCAGGACGTGCTTGTTGTTCGGCGGTTGCTGGTGCTGATTGTGGTTGTGGTGCTCCGTCGGCGGCTTCTCCAGCTGCTGTTGCGATGGCTGATGGTTGTTGTTGTTATTGTTGTTGTTGAGCTTATCGTTGTCCAGATTGTGCTTATTCTGCTTGCTCAGATACTTGCCACCGCCGCCACCGCCACCACTGTTGCCACTGCCACCGCCAACGCCGCCATCACTGCTCGCCCCGCCGACTCCATTGGCCGCTCCCGGGGGACCACCTCCTGCCCGGGTGGTGCCCACACTGCTCCGCGTCCTCGCCGTCGTGGTGGTGGTATTGGTCGACACACTCCAAATGGTCTCGTTGCTCGACTTGACCATCGGCTTGGGCGTGGGCTTGCCCGCATCCGAGTAGAGGGTGTGGTAGAACTGCTTCACCTCGTCGAGGGTCATGTGCAACGGCTCCGACTCGCTGACCTGGCCCATGCCCACCACGCCCACGGGCGTCCGGTACTTGCCGTGCTTGCTCTTCTCCCCATCCCCGTCGCTGGTCTCCGTGCCGGCGCCCGTGCCCGATCCTCCGTAGCGCTGCTTGCGCTTGTTCCGCTTGTTCCGCCTGCTCGCCTTGTGGTAGGTGGGAGCGGTGGGCTTCTGCTGCTGCTGCTGCTGCTCCTGCACCAACTGCTGCTGCTGCTGCTGCTCGATCATGTCCACGGGAAAGGCATAGATGTCCGAGTCGATGGGCACGTTGTAGAAGTCGGAGATCTCGCGCGTGAACAGCGCATCGTGGGACATGGCCTGGGTGATGAAGATGGAGTCGTCCGGCTTGTTGGCCGACGAGACATTCAGCGAATTGTGCGAGCTGCTCAGGCGGCTGTTCAGCGAGTTGCGCGAGTTGGGCCGCTGGCCATGGCTGTAGCCGTAGCCCGGCTGGTGGTGGTGGTGGTGATGGTGGTTCCCATGCCCGTGCCCGTACCCATGCCCGTGGCCGTGGCTGTGGTGATAGTGACAGTGGCTGGTGTGGCCCAGCGGACTGTACAGCGAGGCCTGCCGTCGCTGCAGGCTGCTGTTGTCCACCGGCTGTCTCCTGGCCCCGTAGTACAGGTCGTAGTCATGGATCTCCGACAGGCCGGCGCTGTTGAACCGCTGCTGGGCAGCCGCCGCCTTGGCACTGGCTATGTTGTCCTGCTCCGTGGGTATGGCCTTGAAGTAGCGGGTGTGGTCCTGGTAGTACGGACACAGCGTCTGCTTGATCTTCACTATGGACACGGGCGGCGGCGGCGATGGCAGCGGGGAGCAGCTACTGGCCTCCGACTGCTCCTCCTCCAGCAGATCGACGCTGTTGCCCAGCGAGCTGCTCACAATGTTGTTGGGCTCGTCGTAGATGTTGTCCGTATGGCTGTTCAGTATCGAGTCGCTCGAGTACAGATGCTTGTTGATCGCATACGACTCCTTGAGACTCATCTGGCCCAGGGCCTGGCCGTCCAGGGCGTCCAGCTTGCACTCGGCCTTGGCCAGCAGCAGGACCAACTCCTGGCTGGGCGGATGCGGATGCGGTTCCTCGGGCAGGACGGCCGTTGCCAAGCCGCTCACCATGGTGGCGGCGTCGTCCTTGAGATGCTCGAACGACGACTGCGAGGAGGTCCAGCGACGCAGGCTGTTCACTATGTTCTTGGAGATCGACCGCACCAGGGTGGTCTGCGGCGAGTCCTGGAACTCGGGCGGCGGATCGATGGGCGCCAGCGGACCCTTTTTCAGCGTATTGAAGTTCTCGGCACTCATCCCGCCCTCCGAGCAATTGTCCAGCGAATCGAACTGCGACACCTCGCCATCGCTCTCCACCATCTGCAACAATCACACGGGATTAGGGGGTTTGAGTCACCCAGGGGAAATGCGTGCGACGTAAGCTCACCTCAATCTCGAATTTGCACATGCCCAGCCGGTAGGAATCCCCGCTGGAGATGGAGCTGTTGGTGGTCAGGGGCACACCGCTGTCATCGCTCAAAGAGGCCGCCGCATTCAGCTCGATGCTGTTGGCGCTGACCAGTTCGTGATGCGGCGGTGGCATGATGCTGAAGCTATCGCTGCTGCAGATGCTGGACACGCACACGCCTCCTCCACCGCCGCCGCCTCCTGACACGCCTCCGCCACCGACGCCGCCCACATTGCCATTCGAATTGGAGCTGCAGTTGGAGTTGCTGTCCTTAAGCTTAATGGACGATTCCATTTTCCGGGCAAGAGACTCAGGTGAGAGGCAACAGCTAAGTGAAATAGATGAAAGGAAGGTTCGGGTTTTTAAAAACTATTAAAGATATCTCAAGTCATTATATTCTCAGTGCAAACGGTTTGAATAAGCTGTCGTAATAATACAATCACAAATAAAGGGATTAAAAGGAGATACCCGGTGTTTAAAAACTGTCTATAGGCATTTTTCAGAAGATATCTTAGGAAAAATTGTTGACGACTCAATCAAGTTATGGGAATTGTATATACATTTTTAGAGTAATTAAAAAGGACACAGCCTAATGTAAATGTTTGTTATTATTTAAATTTAGCTAACAAAGATATTGTTACCGAAGTATTCCAAAATATAATAACCATTTCTGGATTGTGGTATTTTGAATAAAGGTTGATTGATATGTTTGTTAAGATAAAAACTAGTTAGTCTATTAAAAATAAAATTCGGATTAATGTTAGATATACTTATGTATAATTTATTTACTGTAAGAAAGTAAACTTTCTTTCCAGGTGAAACTTCTCAAAAGTAATTTGTAATATTTGTGGATTTCGCCATATATAATATTTCTTAAAACGCCGCTTACTGCGAAAAAAAAGTTCAACTTGTCAACAATGTTTTGGCCACTTTCTGTGGACGGTGTTTTCCTGTTTTATTAGTCCACGACAGGATTGTTGTATAAACAATTTTTAAAACCAATGAAAATAGTATTAGCAACGATTTTGGGGGTTCGATTTTGATTAATTGGATGACACACATCCCAACCTATGACCTTTGGGTGCGGCGGCTGCAACTTGCAACGAATGCAATTGAAGGTCAATGACAGTTGCGTGCGCCGTTTTTCGTCCTGTCGTCCTGGCCGCCCCCTCACCGCCCCCGCCGCCCCCTTTTCACCTACGCTCGTGCTTGTGCGCAGAAATTGAAGCCAAAAAAGCAGACGAGACTTTTTTTTGGGCGTAGAGATTTAGGTGGGGATTTCGATTTGGCAAGAAGAGGAGTCCTTTCAAAAGGAGATTTTGCGCGAGATTTTCAAAGGGACATAAGAGATTTCAAGGATGGATCTTTGCCAATTGGATTTTGAAGTGCGTAAAAAGTACCGCTGTAGTACACACACACATGGGCATAGAGTAGCCGGAAAAGGCAGCCGCCCCCCGAAAACCGCCCACCGCCCACCGAAGTCGTGCGTCGTCGTTTTCGTAGTACGACGTTTGCTAGTATTTTTTAAGCCATTTTATATAGGTGCCGCCAGCGAGAGGGAAAGAGAGAGGAAAAGCGACTGAGTGCAGCAGCGATAACAAAAATTCTTATTAGAATTTTGTCACTCTGCATATATACACAACTCGCACACACACACGCACACACTTTGCTTTGCGAGAGAGCCCCGACACCTACGCACACACACACTGGCTTAATTTAACACCTTTGCTTAATTTAATTATTGCTCTCCTCTCGCGTACACACATAAACACACACCAGCGCAGGCCAGACTCGCACACACACACTAACACACCCGTTTGCATTCATTACAAATACAATTCCAGTTGCAATCGCACTTGCCTTTCGCTGCCTCTTTCGTTGATTCTCCTTCCTCCGATTCACGACTTCCGATCCGATTCCCGATTGCGATCCTGTCCCCACTTGCAATCCCGATTCCGATCTGATTCCTATTGGCTGCACTGCGCGCTCAGCACTGCAAGCACTTGATTGTTGACAGGATTGATTGCACGCATCGCAATTGCAATTGCTGCACGGCCGCTGCTTTCAATTTCGATTTCGATTTTCAATTTCATTTCAGCGTCAGTGTGACCGCGCCAATAACGATAAAAAATACCACCCGGCCCCAAAATAAATTAAATACCGTTTTATCTTCATGAAATACCAAATACATTCCAAAATTCGAATGGGGGATTCCCCAAACGACTGAATCGCTGAAAATTCAACAGAAATTTTCAGCACTTGAGGGAACACCCAAAAATATTCCTTTTGAATTGTCAAGAAGCTACCCGCGTAGCTGATTTATTTATTAAATTAAAACTTTTTTTTAATCACTGTTTAAATCTATCAGTATTATAAACTATCACTATTTAAATTAGTTATATTAATTTACTAAACGGCTGGATAGGTCTGGTTTTTTCCGCAATTTAACAGTCTACAAGTGGCTTAATTGCTAACATTTTTGAGAGTTGAATTTGTATGGAACAGGTGGCTTACAACTCAAAAATTAAGCGATTCAGTCGTTACAAATTTAACTGAAACTTTTAGCACTTGAAGGAATGGCCCTGTTGAATTGTTAAACAATTGTCACTCGCGTAACAGAACTATCTTCACATTTTTTGAACTTAAAAACATGGTTAATTTTATTTATCTGTGTAACTTACTATTGGGATCTCCGAAATGTATGATCCGATAAATTTCCAAGTTTGAAAGCAAGTTATAAATCATCTTCGTAAGACGTAATATGGAAAGACGTTTTATAAAAACTAAATTTAATAAAAATACTATTATTAAGGACACTTTTCACTGCCCTAGTTTCAGTATTTCGACCAGATTGAACATTCACAGGCGAGTTGAATATCCCACTGCAAGGAAAGGGCCTAAAAATGCCAGAGCAGCTGTTAAGCCAGGATTCATACCGCTGCCAAGATATTTAATGGCCAGACTCAAGCCATGGTGGATGGCTAAGATAACTCAAGGACTTGAACCGACTATTCGATAGACTTATCGATTACGTAGCCGTTTTTGATTTTAAATTTGAATTTAAACTAAATTTGTAAAATATATATATACCTTCTGCACAGAAGTTTTGACATCATCTCTGATTTCTAAAAATTGAAATTCCACAAACAATGTAATACATTGGTTACATTTGGTTGAAAAAATATATAAATTATAATAATATTAGATTATATGAATAATTTTAATACAATAAATATGGAAAATATTTAATTGAAAAATTGTATGTAGTTCTGATAAGAACAAAAAGGAATGTTTAAGCTCATAAAACTTTGACTTTTTAAAAACGACTGTAGCTAATTTATTATGATTATAAGTTTTATAAATTGTTTTATTACTACTAAAAATGTTGTTGAACCAATTATTCTGCACTGTGAAGGGCGTTTTAAATAATTTCAACTGAACATGTCACCTTAAATCTTTGTGTATGATTAAGTTTCTGTAGTTTTTCCAATTGTGATGGAGTACGATTGTGTACCAAATAATTAGCACTTTAAAATTTGCATAGTGGTCGGAATTGGCAGGGATTATCTGGGATGGGAGCCGATGCCATTTTTGGCCTCTGACCGTCGCGGTCACCACCTGTTGCTACCTGGTGCCTGTTACCTGTTACCTGCTGACTTTGGCCGTTACTTTCACTGCGGCCAACACGTTTCGCTGGGCTTTGTGATTATTTGCGCTGGCCTGTGCTCGTCCACAATGCAGGAGTTATTAATATTAAAATGACAGAAAGACGACGCAAATGGCAGGGCTGCCTTCCCAATAATCGCATAAATTAGCCATTCTGTGTGCAGCAGTGGCGGAAGTCGCTTCTCCAAACATTTCACCACCGCTCTCACTTTCGTTGCGGCCTGACAAATATTTAATAATTTGTGCTAAAATGTGAATTAAATGCCAAGCGGCATGCATAACGCATAATGCTGGTTACCACCTCGGGTAACTGAAAACAGAAAACAGAAAACTGAAAAGTGACAACAAGTCGGGACTTACTTACGACAAAAACAAAAATGCGACGCCGTGGAATGTCAGCGGAATGCGAAAAGAAAACGAATTATATGAGCTGGCGGTTAGAGAGAGAGAGGGCTAATGGGGCGCAGAGAGAGACAGGCGACAGACAGACACTCGAGCGGCCTGAAACTTTTGGCCAGCAATTGAGATCGAGAACTGGCCAACATGCCGATCCGATCCGATTACAAACATTGGCTATATAAGTGCATGGCTATTCTTGTTGTTATTTAGGTAATGCTGGTATTTCCACACGCACACAAATGACACTCACAACAGCAGTCAAAATAATAGCATGGAATTTTTTGAAAAGCCTTTAAAAAATGTTTTTTTAATATTTTGAACTTTCACGAAAAACTAAATGACTATTTTACCGAAGAACTTATTCCTTCAAATAACAAAGGAGAACTAAAACAGTCTTATTCATTCCCTTCTAAACATTTTTTTTATCATTATACCTTTCAAGCAAGAACTGAAATATAAGATTATTTTAAGATAACTTTCGAGAGAATGTTTTCCCAGACTTAGACTATTGGAAATACATAAACTGAATCTGAAGGTTCCACAAAAATCACTAGGTATTAAAATCAATTAAAATAGTATGCAGTCAAAAATATATTGTTTTCTTTGGGAACAAAACAGACAAATTGTCTGTATTAAATAATTCTATGTTGAAATTTCAAACCAAAAGTTGTTCTTTATATGTTGGTAAACTTGGTATAAAACTAATAATAATCACTTTATATATATTTTATATTTAAGAACTGCTATTATTTTTCCCACCATTGTGTTTAAGCTGATGCAGTCGAGAGCGCGCCCAAAAATGCAATTGAGAAAAACCCACGCCATAAACAGAAACCCAAAATAGACAAAGGCATTAAAGTCGATGAAAATCAACAACAACAAGTAGACGCTGCGAGATGCCAATGCCGCACACAGATACACTGCATCTGCATCTGTATACGTATCTGTATCTTTGTTTGTGTTTATTTTTACCTGCGCAGTCGCAGCATCTTTGGGTCAATTGTACACTGTGCGAAATCGGGCATTAGCTGCGCCCTGATTAACAGCGGGCGGTGAAACTGTCATCTTTAATCTATTATTGTCAAACTAATTCGGACGTCATATGGGCGGAATTTTCATTTATTTATTTAGAATCTGCATAGGTACATAGTTTCTTGCCCCATTAGGTAATTGCTTTTTTTCAGCTGGGCGTATTGTTTTGCCAACCGATTTCAGGGAACTGTCCGAATTCAAATGAACCATTTTAAATACTGACTTACTAATTGCTCTATATCACATGTGGTAATCCAGGCCTGAAACTGGAACTGTTTTAAAAGGTGTCTAAGTGATGATCTGCAGGTGAAAATTAAACACTGGCTAAATATCAAGTAATGATAATTTACATATTTTGTTATCTGTTAAAAAAAACTTGAAAATACATCAAGCTTAAATTCAATATCAATTTGATTCTGTCAAATGGTTGAGATTAGATACAAAAAAATCTTAAGAAAAACTACTAAATCTGATTACATAATCTTAGTAATATTCCACTAAAATATTTGAATAGTCCTCATACGTAATCCTTCAGTGTAAAATGGTATTGAGGAGGCTGATCCCAATATGTTGCAAATAAAATATGTTGCTTAGTTTTGACAGAGTTACGATCTGGCGCGGAATGACTGCGATACGGAAAAGATATGGGAGCACTCCCCCTGCTGGGCTGCCTCCTCTCCCCCCTTAATGCCGGTTCCAGCCCACCGCCCACGCCTCTGTGCCTCGCGTCCTACCTTCCTGCCCACTGGAACTCGGAGTTCCAAATCCACTGGCCCAGGCAGCAGCACCACCACGATCACCACAAGTCAAACAAAAACAAGAAAATATCAACAGGCTGCTAGCACTGTGTTGTTGGTTGCCTTTTGTATACTCTATCTACGGGGTGATCTACATTTATCAGAACTTTGACGTCTTCGAGTCTTAAAAAATATTTATTTGTGGCGTAATAAGCGATTATTTTCGTCCTATTTTCAATGAAAATAATTTTGAAATATTGTTTCATTACATACATTTATTAATCGACTAATGTTTGGTTTTATAAATAGCTATTTATCATCATGGATCAATATATTTGTTTATCTTCTTTATTTACACGAACTGAGTTGCTTTAATATTGGGATATAATAACATATTATTTGTTTTGAAAGATACATATCTGAAATTTGACAGATGGCTGTATAATGGATTTTCCGGGGACATAGCGAGTTTTACATGGCAATGGTTTGAACGTTTAGTTAGAGCATTTCGTAGTTCGGATATCGAATCGTGCGTTCCTTTCTTGTTTTCGCGTTATCCAGCAGGTAGAAGTCGTTTCCTTGCCTCCTTCTCTTATCTCTCTTTCCCCCTCATTTTGTTGCATTGCAAGGCGCTCGAATGAAACGCCGACAGCGACGCAAACTGCGACGCAGACTGCGACTTGAGACTATGGGCATGGGTGTATGGATGTGGGTATAGGTGTGGGTATGGGTATGGCTATTTGGTATTACCTGAAGTCGGGCTCAGCCGTCGACGATTTTCAGTCCGCCAGCGAACGTTGTTGCGATCACAACGTCTCAGTTCTCAGTTTCTTCGCTTCGCTGCTCAGCTTCAGATTCTCAATTCTCCAGCTCAGATTCTTATCCGGCGCGCGTGTGTGTGTGTGTGCAGTGTGCGTGTGTGCTGGACGCCGTGTCAGTGTGTTAGTGCTGGCCCGTTGCTAAAATTATTATTTTTTTAACGAACGTTGTTCTTTTTTTTTTTTACTGTGCCTTCCAAACTGGTTGCTGCTCTTTTAACTGTGTATTTGTGCAGCAGCAGTAGCAGTAGCAAGAAGAAGCAGCAAAAGAATCTAGCTGCGGAAGAAGAAGAAGCAGAAGACGCAGAAGATCACAGATCAAAGAAGGAGAAGAAGAAGAATAGTAGCAACTGTAGATTGTATAGTTTATGCTATTCGGAAATTTTCGGTTGATAAGTCCCGAAATATAACCGAAGCAGAGATTGATTTCGAAACAGGAATCCGGAATACACCACAATGCCCTGCTCGGCCGTAACCCTATCTATAGCGACGATCTGCGCGATCATCGCCACCGCCCTGCTGGCGATCGCCTTCTCCACGGATAATTGGCTGCACTACGATGTCTGGCGCAACCAGATACAGGTGAGTCTTTAGTTTTCGAGTCTTCAATCTTGGCAGCCAAGGCCCCAGACCAAAAAAAAAAAAATGGGGGAGGGCTACGAGTCGAATTAAACCAAGGCCCAACCGCTTGGAATACATAATCAGCCAGACACAGAGCCACCGAAAACTACGGTGCATCTGCGGCGACTGCGTGGCAGAAGCCGCAGCCAAAGCCGAAGACTCTGCCGCTTAAAACGGAGCTTAAACTCCGGTTACGAACTCCGCACATTGGGTCAAAAGATATTGCTAAATTTGAGTTAATGGGGGCTTAAGCAACGGCTTAAGAAATCTAGAAACAGATCTGGCTTAAAGTCATACACCACTTTTCATAATACCTAGTCTAGTTAAAAAAAGGTTTAATTATAGTACGAATGTGCAAAAAGAAAAAAATTTGTGAGACTGCATAATTTAATTTTACTTGATTTTATTTAATTTGAATAAACATTTTAATAATACATTTTATTTAGTGATATTTAATTTAAATAGAAAACAGTCTGAAAATAATTTATTGGTAAATTAACGATGTGCCTTAATTTCCGAAATTGATATTTATGGAACTCTTGAAAATATAGAAAATCTTTGTTTTTTAAACATGCTGTAATAAAATTAAAAGTTTTAATGTGATTCTGAAAAGCACGTTTTAATATCTAGTCAGAGTGCTAATAAAATAGATGTGCAGTTTTAAGACCTGAAAATAATAAAAAAGCAAACAGTCAAAAATGTATTACAAAGATTTACAATTTAAATGTTCTCAATCATAAAAACTAAAAAATAAAAGAGTGTAAAAAGAATTATAATAAATTAAAAATTATGAAGTAACTTTAAGAGTGATATTTTGTTGTGGATTTAAGAAATTCTTTCGTAATCTGGGTCCCTCTTCCAAGAACAATATCTATGGCGATGCTTAGATAAACAAGATAATTGGGATGCACTTGCATTCATTTGTGCACTGCAAACAGGTGTGTGTGTGTGGCCCACTGTGCGGAAGGAGAAGGGGAAAGAGGAGGGAAATAAGAAGGTAAAGACGAGGTGGAGAGACAGGGAGGTAGCAACAAAGGCAACAGCAACAAACGGTGGTAACAGTAACAGTTGCTCGGTTTGTGTTTGGCCAAAAGAAAATAAGGGCAAGGCGGTGGAGAAGAAAGGTCGAAAGCAAACACACCAACAACTGGCATTGGAAAGAGAGGGAGGTAAGAAGGGTGATTGGAAAGAGGGGGAGGGGGAAAGGGGGAGTGGAGGGTGGGCAACGGCCGTTAACGTTAAAACTTTCTACGCGAGCGCTTAGCCAAGCCAAACGCGATGAATGAGAAGCGAAAAAAGAAGAAGAGCCCAGTCAGAAGAAGACGAGAAGGAGGAGGAGGAGAGGAGTAGCAGGCACTATTACCAATACCAGCACAATTTCACATTTGTACACTGCAAAAACAGACCATCTTCTAATAATCAAACTTTGCTTCTGTTATTAAATCGAAAATTCTTCAGTTTGTAGTACTGAAATACAATCTAACGGTTAGAGTGGGAGGTTTTCCATTCTCACAAATTACTAGTATTTTAAATTGCAAGCAATTTAAATTATATAAAGCAAGTTTAAAACATCATATATTCCAATTAGGGTTGCGTTTGTCCTAATGAAGTGTTCTGAAAAAAAACTAACTCCAAATTGAAGGTGCAACTGAAAGAGAGGGAGAACATTAGACGCGAGAGAGATATAGTATATATATGCATGTAAAAGCAATACGAAGATCGTTTGAGTGTGTGAGTTCGCATACCATTCATTCCAAAACAAGTTACCCAAAAAAAAAAACAATAAAAACAGCTGAAGAAGAAGAAGAAAACGAATCAAAGTGTGCTGAAAATATTTGCACGTTTTTGACTTTGCGGCTCCGGGTGAAGTTGTCGCCTAATCCGAAAGTTTCAATGGAATCTAGGGAACGATAATTACGGTGAGATCTACTGGTGGATCGGATCTCTCCCTTCAACGAAATGTTTAGGCCACTTATAAAGCCATCAGAACTATGTAATCGCCGCAGAAGAGAATTCGTTTGCCTTGACCTCCCCCATTTTGGGTCATCGTTCCCTTCTCTTTATTTACGTTACTTCCCCCCTCCCTTTTTTGTTTTTAATTTCCGCCCTTAGAAGCGGCTTTGAAAAAACCGCTCAGGTGCAACAGGTAATTTGAGATGGGCTACCTGTACAGGAAACCATCGAAAGACCTGCAATCTTATAAAGTGCATCCCCAGGGAGTGAAAAATTAAATGCCAAGATCGATTATGAACGGTCCTCAAAAGGGAATCCCGGGATGTCGGCATACTCTTCTGAGTATTAATCAATTTCTTGGTGAATTACCATCAATTTTATTTAGCAGAAATCATTAAGACATTAAATTAAAAAACCATATACCATTTAATTGGAATTACACAGCTTAGAATCTTTTCAGAAACAAACTAACTAGATTAGAATCTTGACCATTATGATTGCTTATTATAAGTGAAATTAAGTGTTTGTTCCGTGAAATATAACAAATGGCAATTACTTTATATTTTATTTAGATTAATAAATGTATTATAAATTATTATGTATTTCATTAAGATTAATCAATATTTATTTTTCTGCATTTATGCAAATTATGTAATATTGGATTGGTATTATATTGCATTCTTTTCTCTACGAAAGATCTTAAGGAATCTCCATAAGGGTGTTATACAAATGAATAATAATTTACCCAAAAGTATGATTTTTTCTGTAAACCATCTATTAGAAACCTTAAGTAACCTAGAACTGGGTTCAAATACTTAAATGATGTTGTTAACTTAAGATATATCCCTTCCTCTGTATTTGTATTCTTCATAGATCTTTTAGTTGAACAAAGTTCAGGCACTTGAACACTAATGTCCCTATCTACCTCTGGCTTTCCCCCACCGATCCTGTTTCTTCTCCTTTTTCATTATCTTTCAAGTACTCGTACTGGCTGGCATGCCAAAGCCATATCGCTTTTTGTTTTGTCTTAGGCCAAACCATTTGGCTTTGGCTATGGGGTTTTGTATCGTATCCACGCCTATATCGCAGTACCCTCCCCTCTCACTACCCCTTCAAACTGGTTTTCAAGTTGAGTTTTCACTCGTTTCACGTTTTCGAGACAACGACGACGACTTCGACGACTCAAAATTGGTATGCGGCTAGTTGGCCGGTTTGCTTTGCCACTTCGCTTTTTGGCCCTAACTCGCAGTTGTTGTATCTCTTTTAGGTGGAGGGGTTTATGGGGGGGAGTTGAGGTGCTTGGGATCCCCGGGCACCCAAACCGAATTGATGGAACTGCGTTTGGGCCTCGTCTTTAACTCGAATCTCGGGGGTTCGTTGTTCGATCGGTGAAAAGAGAAAACCCTTCTCCCAACGTTGCAATAAAATCGAATATAATATTAAATTATAGCTTTTTGAAAAACGAAGCAGGAATAAGATGACCCTAAAATAAAACTTCATAAAACAATTGTATAATCCTTAAAAAAATCATTGATATCCTTATTTTATTTATATCTTGGTTTCAGAATGATATTTAAATAAAATAGTTTTTAAAATATAACAAAAAAATGGATTCTAAAAAACGAGTTAGAATTAAGTTTCCCTTATGTTTTAAATTTAGAAGAGTTTAATCAGATTTTATTCATGGCGCTTTAAATATTTAAATCAATTTTGGGATGCATTGGGAACGCTTTTGAAATGAAAAACTCCCAATAAATCAAACATTTGTGTGACATATATTTTTTTCTGTGGATATATGCACTCCATACCTTTGTTTACCTTACTTCTGTGTACGATTTCATTTTACACTCGTCTCACTTTGGGCAATGCAATGCCGACGACGACAAAAAACTAAAAACACAAAATAAGAAATAAAATATATAAAGAAAAAAGGCAGAAAAACAAAAAAGCGAACCCAAAACCGAAGCCAAATCAAATATCAAATGAAAAGCTGCTGCTGCCTGATGTTCAGTTGTTTAGTTGTTTAGCTTTTCAGTTGGCTCTTTCCAGTTGGCCGTTTTCCCTGCCATTTGGCGATGAATGAATTTCGTGCTGGGCCTTTACGCTTAGTAAGCGCTTTGTCAGGAGAAAGAAGAAACACATGTTAATTCGCGATGTGAAATTAATTATTTTCAGCTGGGGTTGCGCATACGCCGCGTGTGACAGAAGATTTCTTTTCACCACCTTTTTTCTCGCTGCCGTTTTAACCGAAGTGGAACCCATTTTATTTCTCCACATGTATTGACGCCATCGTTCAGTGTTTAATTTATTATTTTATTGCTGACATCATGTGAAATTCCAAATCGGTTAATCAGCACTTGGCCATATTCCCGCGATTGGCTTAAATTAGCATAAAGTGAATTGCACTTGGCTCAGAGCGACTTGAATTTCAGGCAGAGCGAATAGAAATTGGTTTGATTTTTAGCCTGGGAGAATTCTGGGAATAAAGGGAGATTATCGAGGAATGGTTGATGTTTCCGGTTTCCAAACTGTTTTCTTTTGGTAACGGAAGAAGACGAAATTGTTTAATGAAATTCAAAGAACTGGTTTTTTTTCTAATTGAAAAACAGAGAATGGAGAGTTTTTGTTGTAATCACGATAATTCTTCAAATAGTTGGGTATTTATATGTTATTTTAATAAGTTAACAATGAACGTAATTAATCAATAGAAATGATCCAAACAGCAGGTGATCGTTAGATCATTATCAGACTCACATTATACAAAATAAATCTTTAAAAACACCTTTAGGCCCAGTTTTCTGTCTATATATCGGAAAATCAGGTCCCGGCAATTGAAAATTAAGGCTATGCGAAATTTAATTTCTTCGCAATTATCCGCATGCGAGATTCTTGGGTCTCGAAGATCTCTGCATCCGAGGTCTCTTATTATGGAGACCGCTTGAGCGTGCGATTCAAAACGCTTTCGCTTCCCATCCAAAAAAATAAAAAGAAATAAAAAATGGTAGAAAAAAAAAAAAACGACAAAAGCAAACAAAGTTTCAAGCGATAATCGTGTGCGTTTTTTTTATTCGCTACTTCACTCAATAAACAAACCATTTGATTTCAATCGGTTTCAGGTTTCTGCGCCCATTTACGCTTCTCGCTACTATTATTACTTTTATTCATTATCACTTTTTATCCACAAATGTGGCGACTGACTTCCGTGTCGCGTAGATTCGAGTCTTCCATAAAAATATAATGGGGCTTCTTTGGGGGCTGTAATTGCGATCTGGCAATCCGTGTGGGCCAAAGTACGCATACGAGTGTCAAGAATGCGATGTGGAATTGAAATACCTCAGCGATCTTCCCCCAATGTCGCGCTCCCACGACCTTTTTTCGACAAATCGAGAAACCAGAAAAGAAACATTCACAGAAATAGAGAAACCAGTTGTTCGGCGACTAAAATTGATGTCTGTGCATCGGAATTGTTGCAAACTGTTTTTTGTTTTGTATTGTCTTAGGTGCAGTGTGTTATAAATTATTCATTAAAGGCTGCACCGCGAGAAATAAGGTCAAGAAGAAATCAAAAGATTAAACTCAAGACAAACACAATTGTCTTCAACTACAGCTGTTTTTTATAAGATAAGTCTATGACTATAACTGTTTTTTTAAAATATATATGTCTTAATTATTTTTCAAATAATTTCCAATTAGCACGCTTTTATACACTTTTTTGGCAATTAAAATTCCGACTTAGTTAATTATATGTATTATTAAAATTCTTTCATATTTTCATAAATAGTTAACACTGGGCGGAAAGAAATTCCAATGATATATATTCATAATTATTCTCAGTGGTGGCGGGTGCAATAAAAATACAACCACACCCCCGGGTACTAAATTCAGTAAAAATTCCGTTGGTTTGCGACATTTGTTCGGCCTTGACTTCAGCGGATTTTGCCAGTGGTTGTTCATATTTTTGGTGGAGGGGAGTAACTTGGTCCAGCTGCTGGCATCCTGCTCTCAAGAACCAATCCAGTTAGCCACTCTAGGGGGGGCTTTATCTGGTTTTTGTCAAGCCGCCCCATACCCCGGCTTACACATGTTGCCCGATTGGCTAATCACCGACATCCGTCGTCGGCATTCGAGGGGTATGAAATGGGGGGGGGTCAGGGGGGTGTGCGGAGTTGGGTCTAGTTTTGGTCTGCATTGGGGCTCCAAACTAGTTTCGCATGTGCTCCAGCCCGGGTGTCATAAAAATATTTGTGCCTCGCCATTTGTCCAACTGAGCCACTGAGCTCTGGAAACCGAGGAAACTGAGGCAACCGCCGGACCACTAAGCCACTGAACCACCAAACAAGCCAACCAAACCAAACCACCAAGTGGTTCATTGCAGTTGGCTGTACGCAAGTGTTTCCGCAAATCTACCGAACGGTTGGAATTTCTTCATTCAGAGAACCTGAATCATAGGATTGAAAGCAAGATCACATCTGGTCTTAAATAGAGCTTATTCTGGTTATCTAAAATCGATTATAATTAGTTTAAGTAGTTCCATGGAATATGATCAACTAACCAGCTTGATTAAAACATTGTTAGCCGCCGATTTATTTAAGAGGTACATCGACCATTTTTATTTAACTATTCATCACACATAATCGGACACAAAAATGAAGATTTAAACCATTTTTTTCCGAGGCACTCCGTTTAGAAATGAGTGGTAAATAAAGGTTTAGTGTCACCTTCATGGGATTATCTTTTCAATAACAAATTAAAACTTTTTGGCAGCCAAATGACAGAGTCTTTCAAAAGAGACTTTCTTTCATATGGTCGATGGGTAATTTCATTGAAGAAAGTTTTTGTGTTGAGCTGAAGATGAAATCGTATTGATTTGGGTTACCAATAAAATGCATTGTATTATCGTTAGGCGATCTGACGAAAATTCCCCGGGGCTGCGGATAAAGTTGGACACGTTTAAATGATTTTAAGTTATCGGTGGATCGGGCTGCGATATGAAATTATTCAGGTAAATTGCAGTTTATTTTCCCTTTATGCGCTGGGCCGATCGATGAAGCACTGATCAACCTTGAAGCACTTTTCGCATTACAGTTTTGTTCGCAATCAATATCTTGCCATGCGTAAATCTATAACCACATGGATATATATAGTATGCCGCATTAATCCAGCTAACCAACCGATAATTCGAACCGCTCTCGTTTTCCACCGCCATCTCCGCCGTAGGAGGAGTCCGAGTTCGCGTCTGGGTCTGGGGCTGGTACACACGACTGATTACCGATTTCTTCACATTTCTCGACAGTATCTCTCAGGTTTTCGTTCACAGCCGAATGCATTTCTAATCCAGCTCAGTTCGGCCCCCTTCCTGATTGAATGCTGGACACAATTTGTTAGATATATATACATATATATATGAATTACAAGTCTGGGGCCCTTAATTGCCCAAGACTTTCATAAGAAAGTTACAAAATTAATCCGCTGAAGAGGCGCTAATAAAGAGAAGTCTTTGATATTTCTTTTTTCTCTGGGACCGAGTCAAGCGAAAACGTTTCACAAGAGTGGTTGAGTGGAGAGAAGAAAATGGAAATAGAAATGGAAATGGAAGGTGGAACGCCCTAACCAGTTCATGGTGCCCTAACCATCGTCTCCAAACGAGGGTTACGCAACCGAAAATCATTTTCCAGCCAGCCTCCAATTTACATAAGCCTGCGATCCGATATATGTATATATATTAGTGCATTTACAAATAATAAACGATGAAAAACTAAAAACTATTTTCGATATAAGCTGGACCTAGCCCCCTTCTGCAGCCCCTTGTTTTTTTTTTGGTATTTCCCATTGTTGTTTAAGTACCGGACATACCGTAGAGTAAAACACGTTTTTCAACTCGCAATCCCCGCTCCCCCTTAACATTTCTTTTCCCCTCATGAAAATGCATGGCAGTAATGAAGAAAAACTCGTCTCGTCTCGTCTTTGTGCGATTTCCCTCGCCACTTGGGAAGGTGGAAAAGCCAACGATCATCCGCGTAAACCGAAATCGTAGAATTTCTGGCAAACTGCCAAAACGTGAGGAACGTGATATCACTCGGAATAGTTGGATTTCACTCGGGCTTCACGCAGAGAAATTGGTGGGGAGGAATTGAAATATTAGACATCACTACGTGAAATTCTATAATGTACAAAACACGGCTCAAGATTCAATGAGCAAGAGGTGGCAGAATATTGAATTGAATGGCGATTAAATAAAATGTGTCATATTTTAATTTATTTTGAGATCAAATTTCGGGGTGAAGGCTAAAATAATGATGACTTTAGATGATTTTGGATAAAAGCTGACACATGATAAATGCGATTTTGTAGAATGAATCACAGAATTTCTATGCTTATTTTTACCATAATTAAAGATCTTTCGTTTCACTACTTATTAAATAAACGTACAGATTGATAATTGAGAATTGTATCTTCAAATAAGATATGCTATCTGAAGTTAATTAAACAGTCAGATTACATAAAGGTTTATATATCACACCAAGAAGAGGATGTTAACTATAAAATAGGGAGATAAACTTGATTAAATACATTTTTTAAGATTAATCTTTTGACCTTTAAATTCCTTTAATCAGAATTATCACTTACCGATTTCTTACCTTTAAAGTTTTCATATTAAATCAAGTTCAAGCTGCTTATAGTGATTACGTTTACTGAAGCAAATTGCTTTCATATCAAAACGTTTTCTCACTTCAGGTGAAGATCATATTTTCTTAAAAGGTAGATCACTTAATTACCAGGTTAACACACATCTTACTTACCTAAAAGCCATTAAGCTCAAGGCCTATTCATTAACTGAGTTACCAAATGATCTCGACTGAGATGCGACCCCTGGTGACAATGATCGGTTAGAGATCGTTTAAGCCGGCTGCCTTACAGCCAAGAAACGCACTGTATTATGCATTATGCACACCACTTGGGCCCAGCGAACCTTGGGCCGTAAACTCGCTCTAGAGAATTGCTCAACCCAGCAGCAAAAAACCAAAAAACAATGAGAAACCGCGGAACGTGTTCAAAATGCCACTCGATCTGATACGATGGCTATATCCCATATAGCATACATATACCCATATGCCATCCCTTCCAACCCACGCTATCCGAACATCCGTATATCGTTAAGATGACCGGATGATGATGATGATCGACATCGGCTTTCAATGCGGTTCAATGCTGACTGTCTGTATTTCTCACTGTGATTGTGATTGCGATTGTTATTGTTATTGCGATTGCGACTGGAGTCTGAGGCGAGGTAGTTGAACAAATTATCAAGAGTCGCCCACCAGGGACGGAAACGGGTTTATTAATGAGCATATAGAAAATTTCGATTGAATAACAATTGGCTGTGAGCTCGAGTTTTGGCATATACTCTAGGCGCTAATCCCTTAAGAAGGTTAACTCGTAAGCTGAACGAAATCAAGTGCAAAATAGGCATGTTTATCAATCTTATCAAAAAATTAGGTGTGCTTGCAAGCTTTCAGAAACCTTTCAAAGCTATTAAAAAACACCAGAGTCCGGAAATATGTAAAACATGTAATTGAGAAACTGACTTAAAATGTTGTATTCATATATAAATAACAAATTAAAGTCGTTTGGTATAAACATAAAAAATAAAACATTTTTAAGATGCATTACCACCATTTTGAAATAGTTTTATAACTTTACTTGAAATAAGTTTGCAAAACTTAAACTAAAACAAAATAATAAAATTCCCCATCTGCTCAACTTAAAATATGTCAACTTAATGGTCTCAAGATGTACTAATTTACAGTATTACTATAATATAACTAACCCATCTTTGTTATTCTCTAATCAATTTCAGTCCTTTGCCGCCAAACATTCCGATGCAGATTTGCTGTTGCACAACATGAATGTGAAGTACTACTACTACACGAGGACACGAGGTCTGTTCAGGATTTGCTATCCCAAGGAGCGGCCGCCGGCAGCATCGGGTGAGTAATCGACTGCATGACCTATAGGATATATGAGATATCTAATCCCTGATCTCCTCGACTGCTTAGTGCCCACCTATCTGTCGCCGATCGAGACGCACTGCTCGAACATCGACTACTTCCCGCAGGCGGAGGACGAGAAGATCGCCAACGAGGACGCCACCTCGCGCCTCCATCTGGCCCGCTCCTGCATTGCCCTGTTCATCATCAGCTTCGTGACCATCTTCTGTGCCTTCTGGACCGGCCTCTCCGGCTGCTGGAAGCGCTCCTCGGGCGCCATCACAGCCACCTCGATTCTGTTGCTAGTCACCTGCCTCCTGGCCGCCGGCGCAATGGGCCTCTGGCACACCGTCGAGTTCTTCGAGAAGGAGAAGGTAGTCGGAGAGGACTACTTCCAGCAGTGGAACACGGTATGTTCTCCCATCCCTGAGAATTATATGGCAATAGCTAAAATACTCAGCTTATAAGTGGGAACTATTTTTACATCGGAATATTTGAGTTCTGAATATCACATTTAAACAGTTATAAAATCAGATCAAAATTTATAATATATGATGTAAAATTAGTTTGTTCTTCTTTCCTAAGCAATGGCTTATTTATTTCTAATGACTTTTATGCGCTTTATAGGTCCTGCGCGACAATACGAAGATTGCCTACGACTGGTCGTACATCGTGGCCTGGGCAGGAATCGGGACCTGTCTCCTGGCGGCCATCCTTCTATCGGGAGCGGCCGTTTGTCTGCGCAACGAGCGCGAGAAGGAGGAGCAACTGAACCTGCAGTACCTGATGCCAGGTGAGATCGGGATCACCAACCTCCTTAGCATTGAATGTTACTAATAACCCCTCATTTCGATTTCCAGTTTACTCGCAGAAGCAGCCACCCTATCCGCCCTACGCCAACTATGCCCAGCCGCAGATTTACCCAGGACCCTATTATCATGGCTCGCAGTACGGCCCCTATAACTACTAGGTTAGGGACTGCTACTAGGAAAACCCGGAGCAATCAGCAATGGAAGCCGAGGAACACAAGCTTGAATCAAACTCTCTGCGAGCAATATCAGCATAGAAATCACAAATGACCAGGAGGGAACCTGGTTCTCCAACATCCCCTCCCCAGTAATCAAAAAACTTGGCGATCAAATAGAACAACCGCTAACGAAATCTTAAATTACATTCTGACAATGACAATAATATAAATCATCAATTTTTTTTTGACAAGAATTTAGTTTGTAGTCTTTATAGAGCTATAAAAATATGCTTGTATGTATAACTGATCGTGGGACTTGAGTCAAAGTTGCGTCCAAGTTTTTGGTGCGCGAATTGTTTTCGCATAGTTTTGCGCGAAATATCTTAGAAAGACGTCGGCAGAGTATATGGATGGATATATGTATATGTTGACCACGGCGAGAAGGCGAATAAAAGACGAAACAATAAAGAGTTAATTTATTGTAGCACGTAACGTACATCTAGCGTATCTAAAATAATAATAAACAAAATATGTATCTAAGCTAAAAGTTTCATTGTACAATGTATATGAATGTAATAATGCGCGACAAGCTTCAAATTGTCTTCCAAGTATAGTGCATATTGTATGTAGAGCTGTACGTTTAATGAATAAAAGTTTCTTACGTTAGAATTTCAATTTTTGTTGGCGGGTCTTAACTTTTGATTTTTGAATTTTTTCCAGAGCGATTGTGTTTCCATTTCAGCACACTTTTCTTCGAAAATTTGGAAACGGGTTTCATTATTGTAAATGACGAAAAATCGACCCAAAAATAAAAACTAAACTAAAAACACAGTTTTTTAGAGAATTAAACCACGATCATTGGTAAGTATGCCACTTTAAAATCGAATGTCTGCACGAAAAGTTATGAGCTTAGAAGTTCAGTTTTTATGTACTTTTCTGCAAACCCATTTTTCGAAATTTTAGAAAGGGGTTTCATTATTGAAAATAACGAAAAATCGATCCAAAAATAAAAACTAAACTGAAAACACAGTTTTTCAGAGAACTAAACCACGATCATTTGGAAGTATGCCACTTTGAAATCGGATGTCTGTACGAAAAGTTAAAGTCCAGTTTTTTGGCACTTTTCTACAAAGCCATTTTTAAAAATTTGAAAATGACGAAAAATCGACCCAAAAATAAAAACTAAACTGAAAACACAGTTTTTTAGAGAATTAAGCCACGATCATTTGGAAGTATGCCACTTTGAAATCGGATGTCTGTACGAAAAGTTATGAGCTTTAGAAGTTCAGTTTTTTGGCCGTTTTCTGCAAAGCCATTTTTCAAAAATTTCATTGAAAATGACGAAAAATCGACCCAAAAATAAAAACTAAACTGAAAACACAGTTTTTTAGAGAATTAAACCACGATCATTTGGAAGTATGCCACTTTGAAATCGGATATCTGTACGAAAAGTTATGAGCTTAGAAGTTCATTTTTTTTTAACTTTTCTGCAAAGTCATTTTTCGAAAATTTGGAAATTATTGAAAATGACGAAAAAATTGACCCAAAAATAAAAACTAAACTGAAAACACAGTTTTTTAGAGAATTAAGCCACGATCATTTGGAAGTATGCCACTTTGAAATCGGATGTCTGTACGAAAAGTTATGAGCTTTAGAAGTCCAGTTTTTTGGCCGTTTTCTGCAAAGCCATTTTTCAAAAATTTGGAAAGGGGATTTCATCATTGAAAATGACGAAAAATCGACCCAAAAATAAAAACTAAACTGAAAGCACAGTTTTTTAGAGAATTAAACCACGATCATTTGGAAGTATGCCACTTTGAAATCGGATATCTGTACGAAAAGTTATGAGCTTAGAAGTTCAATTTGTTTTGCACTTTTCTGCAAACCCATTTTTCGAAAATTGGGAAATTATTGAAAGTGACGATAAATTGACCCAAAAATAAAAACTAAACTGAAAACACAGTTTTTTAGAGAATTAAGCCACGATCATTTGGAAGTATGCCACTTTGAAATCGGATGTCTGTACGAAAAGTTATGAGCTTTAGAAGTCCAGTTTTTTGGCCGTTTTCTGCAAAGCCATTTTTCAAAAATTTGGAAAGGGGATTTCATCATTGAAAATGACGAAAAATCGACCCAAAAATAAAAACTAAACTGAAAACACAGTTTCTCACAGAATTAAACCACGATCAATTGGAAGTATGCCACTTTGAAATCGGAAGTCTGCACGAGAAGTTATGAGCTTAGAAGTTCAGTTTTTTGCACTTTTCTGCAAAACCCATTTTTCGAAAATTTGGAAATCATTGAAAATGACGAAAAATCGACCCAAAAACAAGAGAGAACGCTATAGTCGAGTGCCCCGACTATCAGATACCCGTTACTCAGGTAAAGGGAGTGCGAGGGATATGGAGATAGAAACTTTGATCACGCATAACTTTTTAACGAATGGTCCGATTTGAAAAATTTTTTCTACATTTCGATTGATAAACACAATAAAACTGCATTTTTACTTTTCCGAAATATTTACATTTTTAAAATCGTATATAAGCGATTGTGGGCGTTAAAGGGGGCGTGGCACCTTTTTGAAACAAACTTACGCTGCGTAGGAACTCCTAGAATCTGCATGCAAAATGCCAATCTTCTAGCTTTTATAGTTTCCGAGATCTCAGCGTTCATACGGACGGACAGACGGACAGACGGACAGACAGACAGACGGACAGACGGACATGGCTATATCGACTCGGCTAGTGACCCTGATCAAGAATATATATACTTTATACTATAAAGTTTATAGGGTCGGAAACGCTTCCTTCTAGCTGTTACATACTTTTGCACGAATACAATATACCCTTTTACTCTACGAGTAACGGGTATAATAAAAAGTTAACTGAAAACATAGTTTTTAGAGAAGTAAACCACGATAAACCAAGTATGCCACTTTGAAATCGGATGTCTGTACGAAAAGTTATAAGCTTAGAAGTCCAGTTTTTTAGCACTTTTCTGAGCAAAATTCTTTATGGCGGGAAGCCGGAACATTCTACTGTTTATTTTTATAAATCATTCCCAGATCATTTTTAAATAAATGTTGTAAGAAAGCACAATTTGTTACTTATATAGTATTATTTTTAAAATCCACATCTTATTATTTACCTTTCAATTTTATTTCTTTTTATTTTTTTGGGTGTAGAAAAATGTCTTTAGAAATTTATTATTTACGAATTCAAATCGGTTAATGAATCGAAATTGTTCGCGGTAAACTATTTTATGAAAGCCTTCAATGCAGTGCCCACACTCTTTTTAAATAATAATACCAAATTAATAAAAATACCCTAAAATAAAAGTAATACCATATTTTTAATAATCGCCCCGAAAATGGACAACCGATAACCGATAGATTATATATGTACATGTCAATTTTAATAAACAAATCCCTACAAATAACAACAAGATGAGCGGCGAAAAGGCCGAGAAGGCCAAGATCAGTGCCCAAATCAAGCACGTGCCGAAGGACGCCCAGGTGATCATGTCGATCTTAAAGGAGCTGAACATCCAGGAGTACGAGCCGCGCGTGGTCAACCAGATGCTGGAGTTCACCTTCCGTAGGTGCCGCACAAATGGGAATTTTCTTTGAATTTACTAAACATTGCAGTTCCTTTCAGGCTATGTCACCTGCATACTGGACGATGCGAAGGTGTATGCCAACCATGCGCGCAAAAAGACCATCGACATGGACGACGTGCGCCTGGCCACAGAGATGACGCTGGACAAGAGTTTCACCGGGCCACCGGCGCGTCATGTTCTGGCCAAGGTAGCCGACGTGCGTAACGGCATGCCCCTGCCGCCCATCAAGCCGCACTGCGGTCTCCGCCTGCCGCCCGACCGCTACTGCCTCACCGGCGTCAACTACAAGCTGCGGGCCACCAATCAGCCAAAGAAGATGACCAAGTCTGCGGTGGAGGGCCGTCCGCTGAAGACCGTGGTCAAGCCTGTGTCCAGTGCCAATGGGCCCAAGAGAGCCCACTCCGTGGTGGCCAAGCAACAGGTGGTTACCATTCCCAAGCCCGTTATCAAGTTCACCACCACCACGACCACGAAAACTGTGTCCAGCTCTGGAGGATCAGGCGGCGGCGGGGGTTCGGGTCTGGATGTGAAGAGCGAGCCCAGTAGTGCAGGCGGAGATCTAAAGATGGAGGTGGACAGCGATGCAGTAGCTGTGGGCAGCATCGCCAGTGGATCGGGATCTGGAAATGCCAGCGGGGCAGGAGGATCTTCCGGCGTGGGAGTGGCCGTCAAGCGGGAGCGCGAGGAGGAGGATTTTGAGTTTGTAGCCAACTAGGGGAGCGAACAGATTAACCTTAAATATATTTTGAAAACCAGACCTAAACATAGGCATTTGATTGAGTACTTCGGGGGATATTTAAAGGTCCGAAATAAGAAAAAACCGATGAATGTCGGTTAATTAAATTTTGAATATTTGTGCACTTTAGGAATTGTAAACAAAAATATGTTTTACAAATACTTTGTTTAAATTAGTCGTATAGTCCAAAAGAAACCGAACATCTTTAACAATCGGGGGATAAACCTTGCTTGTGGGTTCGTAAAAATGATACATCGGTAATAGATTTATTTTCAAATATTAAAAATATAAGTGTTTAATATATAAATGCAAAAATCGGAATTTAAAATTAAGCGTAAAATATATTTTAAACTTCAGTCGCTAACAAAAGTATAATGAACGTGTTTAGAGTAGAATGTGGTCATCATTTTAAAGCTAAGATGATGCAGCAGCCAAGGTCCATGATCTGCAGGTACTCGGATCCGCCATCCTGCAGGCGAAAGCAGCATTCCTAAAAGAAAATTAAATCATTAAACAAGAGGCAAAAGGACAGGGCTACGGGGCCAAAACGTACACCCAACTTATCGCAGATCTTGGCCTTTTGTGGATCATTCAGCCCCGGATGGTTGACAATGAATTCGACGAACTGTTCCATCATCTGGCCAACGCTGTAGGCGGAGAAACCGATCTCCTGCACGAACTGCTCCAGGCGTTCGTAGTTCCCCGAGCGACAAACCTCCAGGTAGTCCTCCAGATAGTATTCCGGTATAACGCCCGACATCTCGAACAGATCGGCCGTGTTGATGACGTGTTCGGGGCCCTTTAAGCGGTAGCAGGACTGCAGGGTGGTAATGGCCCGGCGCAGATCTCCGCCAGAAATCTTAACAATGGACTTGTAGGCATCCTCTTCGATCTTGACGCCCTCCAGCTCGCAAATGTGCTGCAGACGGGCAATCACCTTGTCTTCGCCCAGGGCCTTGAAGCGGAATTTGGAGCAACGCGAGGTGATGGGCACAATGATCCTGGAGACATAGTTGCAAATCAGGCAGAAGCGGGTGCTCCGGCTCTCCTTTTCCATGGTGCGACGCAGAGCGGATTGGGCGGCATGTGTCATTGAATCGGCCTCGTCCAGAATGATGATCTTGTAGGGCGGACACGGCTTGCCATCCGGACGCACACTGCTGGCCGAGAGCTGCGAGAAGTTCTTGATCTTGGTGCGCACCACATTGATGCCCCGCTCATCAGAGGCGTTCAGTTCCAAGATGCGGTCTTTGAACATGTCCCCGAATATCTGCCGGCCGGCAGCCAAGATCGTACTGGTTTTGCCTGTGCCGGGAGGTCCGTAGAGCAGCATGTTGGGCAGATCTCCGCCCTCGACGCACTTGCGCAGCACGGCTACCACCTCGGACTGCTCCACCACATCGTCCACGTTGCGCGGACGACTAAATAGGACAGTTGGAAAAGATGTTAGCCACTTTATTTAGCATGTGCTTCGGATTGCAACTCACTATTTTTCCACCCATGGAGCCGGCGGCTTGCGTCGCTCCACTGGACCTCCTTGACTCTTCTCCCCAGCTCCCGCCGTCGATTTTCCCGTCTTTAAAAATGCCTGCATATCGCAATTACCGAATTAAAACAAAATAATAATTATAAGTCCAGCAAAAAGCAAAAGTTTGCCGCGTCCTGAGCGCGCTCTTATCGATAAACTGTAATCGAGGCTTGCCAGGTTGCCGGCTGCAGGGTTGCCAGGTGGAGTCATGCAATTGTACACTACGAAAAAATAAGGACTAAATAAATTATTGTTTTCCACATACAAATTTTGTATTCTGATGCTTGGAGGGGAAATAGAGTTCTTGATATTAAACCTAAATGGTTTAAGATGGTTTTTTATTATTTTGTTTTCTGCGTTTCTTGCTGTCTTTCAAATGTTATTATTTTGAAAGTACTGTATATGTTTAGTATATTATTAGCCATTAAGTAAATGTCATTTCAGTAAACAATTTTTTTGAGCCAAGAATCTGGTATTGTGATGGATATGTTATAATGTAAAAAATATATAACACAATATATAACACTATAAAATTAAGTTTCAAACAAGGTTTGTAAGACAAGACAGTATTTTCAAAAATAATTAAGATTTTTAAACAGTAACGGCCGTTATTTCTCTTTGTGTGGCAACCCGTTGCACCTGGCAACTCTGGTCTGGATCGCCACTGTTGCACACTGGCCCCTTGTGTTATTGTTTTTGTGAACTTTTTTGTTTTATTGCGGTTAACTACAGGTTTTATACAATAGCCCCACAATATCTGGCAGGATATAAATAGAGCGGATTTCGCAGGCGGGTTGGACTAACATGATAAGCCGCCTAGCGCGTGCCAGCGAGTGTTTTATACATAAGAGCGCGATTTTGATTTGCCATTGCCATTGTTGTTTGTTACGCCTCCTACCACAAACCCACAAACAAAAAAAATACATAAAACCTTGCCAAAACGTTGTTGTTATGTAAATTCACGGAAGCAGAACGTTGGACACAAAGGCACAACCATCATCTGCATCCGGAATCCGCCATAATCTGCGTGCTCCCCTTTGGGACACAAAGCGAAAGGTCGGAGCACCCGCAAGCATCACGCGATTGTGAAAGTTTCACCTGCCCAGAGTTTGTTTAGCACTTGTTTACCTTTCGAATTGTGGAGTTACTGAGTATTTACGCCGTCTGTTTTCCAGATCACCCCTGCTCGGAAATGGCCGCCAAGGCCGATGAATCCTCGCCAGCAGTCACTCCCGGTGGCAGTAGTAGTCCCAGTCCCGTGCCCTCCAGTGGACGTCACCAGCTGCGGCCCGTGAAGTTCGACTATGCGGACTCCTTTGCCTGCACCTACGTCGTGTCCGTGGTGGCCGCCTCCATCGCAGAACTGGCCACCTATCCCTTGGATCTGACCAAGACGCGTCTACAAATCCAGGGCGAAGGAACCGCGCACCCCGCCGGAAAGTCCAATGTGAGTGGAACCCGATTTTCTGCTTCCTGCTTGTCGTTCTTATCGTCTCCGGCTTTTGGTTATCCCTAATCCCCAACCTAATCCCAAACCGAATCACAGATCCCTTTGCTCGCAAACTAATGCAAACATGGAACTGCCTCTCTTATTTAGCGCGATAAGAGTGCCAAATTTTGAATGTATTGGCGCCGAAAGATAAGGCGAATATAAGTGGGCACGGCCATGCTGATAACACTCGGCTTGCAGGGCGCTTTTGCAGGCGTTTCGGTATCAGTCACAGCTTCAGCCCAGATCAGATCCATCCCCCACCTTGGTTTGCCCATCAACCACCATCCATAGTCGTAATCGTATGCCCCATTTTGCTTTCCCATTCTTGTGTGAATCGATTTAAAAGGAATTGTTTGTCATACTGCCAATTCTGAGCAATTTTGATAAGCTCTGTTTATGACTAAAAGAAAATATGATAGCGATAATTACAAATAAAAATATAATCTTTATAAAATAATACAGTGAGCTAATAACAACAAACCTTTTTTGCTTTAAAAAATATGAAATTAAATTCAAAAAACAATTCTAAGTAAGAAAACATATGCATAAGTCGGTTTAGGTTTTTTTTCGTTAAGATAAAATAAAACATTATATTTGTCATATTTTCGGGCGGCCAATATGTTTTCATATATATATATATTAACTATTTAAAGATAACGATTAAATTTATTCTTGTTAATCTTGTTAGAAAAGAAAAACTCTTGGAGTTCAAAAAAATTAATTTTTTTTTAAATTAAAGTTTTAGAAAAGTAAACCGTACATATTTCATAGTAAAGTACTAACTGGATTAGTTTAAAATAAATCGACCAAAATATAAACCATTGGATCAGAGATAAGAGCTAGAATGTCTTGGGCGGAATAGCAAGTCTTGCATTGCACTCCAGAGATCAAGTCATCCCACTGCCCACCCTTTCCCGTTTTTGTGTGCCCGTTCCATGTGAATCTTGTGTTTTTTCGGCCTACAGCAGATACAGATACTACAATGAACCACCCTCAATTACCGATTACCAACGATTACCATTACCAGATGCAATACCGCGGCATGGTGGCCACCGCCTTCGGGATTGCGCGCGAGGAGGGCGCCCTGAAGCTGTGGCAGGGCGTGACGCCAGCGCTCTACCGACACGTCGTCTATAGGTGGGCATTCCCAAAAACCCTCATTCCAGCATCTAGATCATCGCCACAGCCAATCTGCCAGCAGCTGTTAGCTATCAGCTATCAACGCCAGTCACTCAGCCAGTTAGCCAGTTCTAATCCGAGTTCTCCCTGTCCATCCGCAGCGGAGTGAGGATCTGCAGCTACGACCTGATGCGCAAGGAGTTCACCCAGAACGGCAGCCAGGCGCTGCCCGTTTGGAAGTCGGCGCTATGTGGCGTCACCGCCGGAGCCGTTGCCCAGTGGCTGGCCTCGCCCGCTGACCTGGTTAAGGTGCAGATCCAGATGGAGGGCCGGCGACGGCTGATGGGCGAGCCGCCAAGGGTCCACTCCGCTGGCCACGCCTTCCGGGAGATCGTCCACCGGGGCGGAGTGAAGGGCCTGTGGAAGGGGAGCATCCCAAATGTGCAGCGAGCGGCGCTGGTAAACCTGGGCGACTTAACCACGTACGACACCATCAAGCACCTGATCATGGACCGTCTGCAGATGCCCGACTGCCATACGGTCCACGTGCTGGCCTCGGTATGCGCAGGATTCGTGGCGGCGATCATGGGCACGCCAGCGGATGTGGTGAAGACGCGGATCATGAACCAACCCACTGATGAGCATGGGCGGTGAGTAAGCCTGGTTTGTCCATTAGAATCCCTAATCAACTCTCACATTCCTGAAGGGGCCTGCTGTATCGCGGATCCGTGGACTGTCTGCGTCAGACGGTGGGCAAGGAGGGATTTGTGGCGCTTTACAAGGGATTCCTGCCCTGCTGGATTCGAATGGCACCGTGGTCACTCACCTTTTGGCTGTCCTTCGAACAGATACGCAAGATGATCGGCGCTTCTGGCTACTAAGCGTTGCCTCAATCTATGTTTAGGTGTAGATGTACATACTGGATGATGTATAGTGCAGTTCGTTCATTGCCCCGCCTCAAAGTTGGTCCTGACCCTCTTTCCCGTGCCTGAATACCTTAAAGCCAGGATGTTGTGCGACTCCTGGCAAAGCTTAGCAAATGCTCTGCTCTGTCCAATTTTAGTCTGTTATGCCAGAGGGTTTTTCCTACTCAGATCTTTCGGGTTTCTTTTTCCTATATTTTGTTATTGTTGTTGCCTTAAGAAAATCAAAAACCTTACAATAAAGCGAGAAACTTGTTATTTCAAAAAAGTGCTTACTTTTTAAAGAGCCTTTTGAATAAGAAAGAGACAGCAATGCTGGTGTTCTTTGCATAATCGAGTAAAATAAATTAGTAATTAGCCTTCCCTCACTGTGAAAATAAAAGATTGATTTGAGTATTTTATCAATAGATTTTTTTTGGTATATGTATATTCCTAACCAGCTCCAGTGCAATTAACTAAAATCAAGAAAATAAAATTGGTAACAACACCTAGGAGACATACACACAGGCACACATATGTACATAAATACATAGCTATGTATAATATATAGATATAGATACATATATCCAAAATTGCATTTACGTTTCGATTAAAGACTGAACAATGGAAAAGTGGGGTGCCCAAAAGCAAAACACAGAACTGGAAACCCGGAAACAGGTTGGATGGCAATAGCATCTGGATGGCCTTGTCTACAGCTCCGTCATCCGTTATCCGTCATCGTCATCATCTTTCTGGAGTTCTGGAGGAGAGCGGGGGAATGAATGGCGACGGTGCTGGTGGTGCGGGTGTCCCGCCCCTCCAATTGGTCTGTCGTTGTTGAATCGTAGTGTTTTCTGTGTGGCTACATGTGCAGGACTTAATCCAAAGTGTGTGTGCTTGACTAGACGCCGAGGAAAGCCAGTACCGGGAGCAGGACCTACTCCAGTCCCAGCATCCAGTTGATGCCTTGTACTATGAAGAAGATAAGCGGCTGCCAGGCCACTAGCCAGCGGATCCAGTCCAGCAAGCGTCCGTACAGCACATGGGGCTTCTCCCAGCTGTCAGAGATGAAAGGTTAACTAATGGGATCAAAGAGACCTCTGTGTAGCTTACGGATTTCGGAACATCTTCTGCAGATCGACCTTCTCCTTGCAGTAGGGGCACGTCTGCTTCTTGCCCACAATGCACCAGCCCCGTATGCAGAACTCGTGGAACACATGGTTGCAGGACAGCTTGTACGTGTTCTCGATGACGCCCTCTTCTTTCTCTGAGACCAGCAGCTGATTCCCACAAACGGCGCAGACATTATTGTCCAGAGTCCGGGTGGGCATGCCTTGAGGTGTGTAGTACTGCGAGTATAGGGGGTGAATGAGTGGGCTTAAAAGAGGTTCCAAACCAATCCAAACTCACGCCTATGGCTGCTGCCATCTTATCCGAACATATTTCGGATATATCCCGACCCAGGACACCGATATACAGGCCATAGAAACAGAACATCAGGCCCACGTCCATCCAGGTGTTGGGTGGCTGCGAGAATAGGTAGTTCATGCCCAGGAAGGCGGCCATGATAACCAGGTAGCCCACCAGGCCAAGGCCATAGCTCAGCTTGTAGATGAAATAGAACCACTTGTAAACCAGCCTGAGAAGCGGATTAGATTGGTTATCATCAGCATAGTTTCGTAAGGAGTGGTAAAAAAACTTATCAAGGGTGACTCACCGGGGCGTAGTGCCCTGGATGGGCTTGCTGATGGCCCGACGCATCACCAGGGCCGTGATGCAGGTGAACACCAGCCAGATGATGATGAAGCGCAGCCAGCCGAAGCTGCAGGAGATGATCAGCGGGATGAGCCACATGGCCAGCAGAGTGACGAAGGCGTACGAGCGGTAGTGTCGCTTTTTCCACTCGACCAGGCTGATCTGGGCAACGACTAGGGTGACGAACAGGATGATCACCATCTCGGAGTGCATGGCGTCGTGGCCGCGATGCTTCTCCACCATCAGTTGGTGCTCCGCTCTGTGGGATTACAGGAGAATTAGCCACCAAATACGGGGTTTTCTTTGGCCAAAGCACTCACCGCATGCGTTCCTCCGGCGTCATCTCGTCCAGGGACTGCATAGCATCCGGCGGGACCCATGGAATAAAGCATTTCACCAGTAAATAGGGCTTCCCAATCACCAGGAAAAACACTCACCTTATTAAGGTCCACGGGCGCGTGCAGGTCCATGTGCTGCTGGTGCATCTTGTTGCCGTTGTATCCGCCGTATCCTGCAGCCGCCAATCCGCCGGACAATCCCACACGTCGTCTGCGTCGCTGCGATATCTTGCCAACACTTATTTCGCTCGCTTTTACCTTTAAAAAAATTCTTGAAAAGAAAACAAATAATTACATTTTGTGATTGTGTGCGTGTCCAGCTGTCGTGGCGTTGCCATTTGTCATGGTCTGTCGGAAAATAAATATATATGTGTGACCTACACAGAGTACAAGCAGCTCGTTTGGCTAAACTTCAAATCTAAAACCAACTAGACCGGGGTTTTTGCTTGTTTGTTTTTCTTTGATGCTAACCTTGATTTAATTAGACGATGACGACTTTTTCTGATAAAACGCTCGAGGCCGGCGTTGCCAGATGCCGGTTATGGGCCTTGCACGTTTACCAACACTGCCAGCTGCGTTTGTTTTTATTTTGAGCAAACAATTGTTTTTTAGGTCAAAATACGGGAAGTAATGTTTTAATCGGAAATATAACCATGCAAGTGGAGCACTGGGGCTCGTTGCCCACGGAGGACGATGGGGTTCAACTGACGCCGGACAAATATGTGCCTACGGTGGCCAAGAAACCAAAACTGGACGAGATTCGCCTGCGCGGGGAACCGCAGCCGGATGAAAAGCAGTAAATATATCAGGATATAAGGGTAATTCGGTTGTGTTACTCATTTTTCTGCTCCACGCAGCCACGCGGTGGAACTGAGGAGCGCGTTGGTCACCCAGACCATTGAGGTGATGAAGCAAACCGAGGTCCTGCAGTCCCTCATCGAAACGTATTCCAACAAAAACGTAAGTTACGGGAAGTCCCCTCTTCAAACCCAAATGAGCCCCGTCATAAAGATAATTATCAATTTCAACCAGAACTCAACTCATAACTTAATTCTATATACAATTTTAAGTACGGAATCGATTTCCATCGAATTTTACCACCGTACATTAAGTAAAAAGTCTTATGTGATGTGTCCAATCTAATTTAATGATTTATACATGCTATAACTGCGAATCCTTTAGGAATTTCACTTATAAATTAATGAATATTTATTTCTACCTTTTAAGAGTGGCCTAAAAAGATAAAACATTTTAAACTTATTCAGTAATCATAACAGCAGAAGTCTTTAAAAGTGCTTTATATGTTAACTTCCCTAGTTGTCAAGACAATTATGGTATTGAAATCACTTCTTTTCTTTTACTGTCATACATCATTTGGTAAAATCATGCTTATCATCTTTGTTTTAATCGTAATCAAAATCATTTACAAGAGTAAATTAGTAAAATTATAACTCTAAACTTAAAATTCTTTAAAAACCAATTATTTGAAGTTATTAAAACTAAATTTTTGTATATGTAAAATCAATTTATATTTTGAGACTCACATCTTTGGACGATTTATTGTTTTAGTATGTTCTTAAAGTGCGTTTCTTTTGTGAACTATTATTTTACAATCAAAAATAACCTTATTTCATCCTAGGGAAGTTCGAACTACCTCCTAAATCCCTGCCTTATGATACCGGAGGTGGATTTTCCACCGGAAAACGCTGCCGAGCTGTTGGGCAGCCAGAAGTTCCAAAAGCCCATTTGGTTCACGCCCACCGTGGACACAGCCTACTCGCGGGGGGATCCGCAGTCGTATCCTGAGATCTCCAGCAGCACTTGTCGCCAGGCGGTGCGCAAGGTGATGTGCGGCATGCTGCGCCTGACCGGATTCACAGACTGCTCCGAGTCGGCGGTGCAGCTGCTGACGGATGCCACCGAGGAGTTCCTGCGCAGTTTCATCGGCGAGTATCGTGGCTACTATGACGCACAGCCGCGGCTTCAGAAGTCCACGACGCTACAACTGGTGCCACTGGAACGTGCCCATGCCGCGCTAACGGGTACCTCGCTTACCCAGGTGCACAACTACTACAAGCACAAGGTGCTGGCCAGGAATCGCGTGGAGATCGGGGAGTTCAACAGCGTGCTGCAGGAGTACGACAAGCTGATGAAGGAGAGCCAGAGCAGCATGCAGAAGCAGCACAACGAGTTCAATGGCCACGACTTCCTCAACATCCTGGACAACAGTGCTACCGGCAGCAGCCAAAGCATAGGTGGCAACATGGCCATGGGCGACATGCTGCAGGATCTGGGCGGGAGTACGGGCTCCAGTGGCACTGTCAGCTCGCAGCAGATGCTGTACGGCCTGCTCGATGGCCAGATATCGTCCAACACCTCCAATATGACGGGAACAAGTGGCAACGGCAGCACGAGTGGCAATGGGAATGGCAATGGGGTTACGGTCACCAACTTTCATGCCACCTTTGAGTCGTAATAAAACCAGAGAATCCTCATTTCTAAAATAGCACGGAAGCAACTGTTAAAAGGGAATAGGAATTTTCTTTGAGTTTGCTTTTTAAACGCAGTTTAAAATACCATCCCGTCCATTTTGAATCAGATTCTCTGAAAATTTAGTTCACATCTCATGCAAAATGTTCGTAAACTCAGGTTTTACCAATAGTCACGCCACTTAACACGATATAAATTAAAATGGGACCAGAATCCTGATTACATACAATTTTACAATCCGATCTTTCAAGTTTTTCTTGTATGACTAGGAACTATAGTTAAAGCCATAGAAGTCTTAGTAATTAAATAATTATTTATCATTTTGTAGAGGTTCCATGTCATTTATTCTTTTTTATTTTGCAAATCTTAGACTCGTTCCAATTGTTTTGCCGCCTTCGCTTGGTGAACTCATTTGTGGGTTCAATGGCCAGGAGTTTAGTGGCATTTGGATCGCTAGCTCTGTACTGGAAGATCTTGTCCTGGCGCGGCTTCTTCTGGGCCCAGGCGAGGAGGTCCTTGCCATCGAGTATGGATTCGCCAGTGACTACCACAGAGTTAAGAGCTTCTGGCGAGGATTGGTCTTCTTCGGCGGTCCGTCTCTTGATCTTGGGTTTCTTTTTAGGACCTGGCGGACCCTCCTCCACCAAATCGGCTATTAAATAGCAATCAGCATTGGATACCAGCTTAACTTTGTCTGGTGGGGGCTTCTGTTCCTTTAGGAGATTTGGCTCGTCCAGGGAAAACTCTATTTGGTCTTGGATTATGCCACTAAGCCTGCTCCAGATGTGTGTCTGCATCTCCTGCGTGATCTGGAGGTCTCTGGCGGGGGCCTCCTGCTCCTCCAGGTGGCGCTCGCTCCTGACGGTCGGCCTATCCAGTATCCTGGTGGTTACTGGCTGCTCCTTCTTGGCTACTTCACCTGGATCTGTTTTCGGCTGCCCCTGAAACATGGCATTTGTGAGCAGGGTGGTATCTGCCGCCTCCAGGAACTGACGCATCTGTGCATCATCCTCGGAATCCGAGTCGGAGTCGCTAGATCTCGGTTTCCCACTCATTTTGTACTATATTTAATAAGTTGCGTTTGTTTACATTTTCCACCGGACCGGCTGATAGTGCACACGTGAATGTTTTGTAGCGTTATTTAACACTATACTTGTGCATTCTAATTTAAATGTCAAGTTAAATATTAATTAACCCATTTAAAATTAAATAATTTTTTTATAATTTATAATTGTAATATTAATATTAATAAATTGTTTAATAATAGGGGTGTACTTTCAAATACCCAAAGTCTCCCTTTAAAGTTTTCAAAATATATATCTGAGTAAGAATAATTAGTTCAAAATATGATTTCTTGGAAAAATACGATATATTTTTGGATTTTTGCAATAGTTTCCAGTTAAGGCCCCTAAAATACATTATATAAAACGGTGGTTAGGTCGTCTATTAACTTTTTAAGTCTATAAATAAGATATAAGGAATAAAATTATTCTCCCTAATGTGAATTCCAAGGATTTCGAATAAACATAAGGGTTTTAAACAATTTCCAAACATTTCGAATAAATATAAGGGTTTTAAACGATTTCCAAGAATTTCGCATAAGCATAAGGGTTTTAAACGATTTAGTAGCCAAGAAGTTGTTCAAATGCTGAAATTTCTGCAAGTTGATATTTTTAATTGTTTATTTCTGAGTCAATTTTTAATAAGTTTTGTCATTGTTTTGTCTCAAAAAACTATATTGTATTAATTATAAAGAATATTATTTTCCAAAATGTCGTATAATATTTTGCTTTAACTTGTTATTGACACAAACCATTTGAATAATAAATTAAGTATATATATTTATTATAAACATTATTTTCATTTTAACCACGAAGAAATAACGTAATTCATATTATTTTTCGGTGAAGCAACTGTTCGCAGACGCTTTCCAACACTGACCGCTGAACTCCTTCCGGTTAACCGGTTCAGCCCGCTCAAAGTGAATCCATTTGAAATGCCAGTTTGAAGGTAACGCTTTTATTGCATATAACTGAGGGAACTTTGCGATCGAGCCCACTAGGCCACCGAACTGCACAGTCCGCAGTTGCTCACCGGGCACATCTTCATCTCGACATCCTCGCCAACCCGCACCACGGCGGCCATTCCGTTCTCGGAATGCGGCGAAATGTGACAGTGGAACATCCAGTAGCCTGGACTGTTGGAGTAGAATCTGAGGATGGTGTAGCCGAAGGCGGGCACCTGCACCGAGTCCTTGAGCGGAGCACCTTTTCCGCGACGCGGCAGCGGCGACTTCCTGTCGATCTGCTCGATCTGGCCGATCTTCTGCTCGCCCAGCACGCCCATGCCCACCACCCGGAACGTGTACCCATGCAGGTGGACTGGATGCGGCGTCTTCGACAGGCTGGAGACGACGAACTCCACCTGCTGGTTGGCCGGCACCTGGATGACATTCGAGCACTGGCAGTGGCGCTGCCGGCAATTGAAGCCCAGATCCGCCTGCTGGGAGCGATTGCAGAAGAACTGGCCCACGCCCAGGTTGCGGGTCTGAAGCAGGGACATCTTCGGCATGCTGAAGCTGATGTCGTCCATCTGGAAGCGGAAGCCCTCGCCCTGCTTCACCTCGAACGCGTTCATGCTCGTGTAGAAGGTGACCGCTGGCGGCACTTCCGGTTCCGGTCGCTGCGCATTGAGACTGGCCAGGGATATGCTGCTCGTGCCCTTCCCGCCACCCGCCTCCCCGTCGCCCAGCTCATTAAGCGTCTTGCCCGGCGCATCGTAGGCATAGCTCAGGGTGTGGGTGTCCAGCGACTTGGTGTCCGCGTCCCTGTAGTGCAGCACCGCCTCCTGGTGCAGCTGGTTCTTCGCACAGAAGCTGTAGCCCTTCACCCGCAGCCAGTAGTTGCCCACCTCCTGGTTGGCGTGCAGCACGAAGTCGAAGCGCTCCGCGCCGTGCAACATGATCCGCTGCACCTCCACCGGCTCGATGTCGTTGCCATCGCTGGCGATCACCACCAGGTCGTGGTTGTCGATGCTCAGGCTAATTGGGCAATTGGAGACGCCTGCAAAGGATCATTTTCAAAATGACACAACATAAGTGCGAATGTGTTTTTAGGATATTTTTAAGGGTATAAATGGAAAAAAAATCTTCTTGTATCAAAACGCGCTAAATTTGAGACAAAATAAATATAAATTAAATTTATCATTTATCTATCTTTTTTTTGAGATGACGTTTACTATAAATAAATGCATTTATTAACATTTATTAATTTCTTTCTTTCTGATATTTAAAAAAAAAAATTAGCCCACTTTAAGTTATATTGTGTATCTAATTTAAAAAAAAAATTTTTACCTATTAGATTTACCTATTAGATTGTTACCTGTTAGATTTAAGATTGGCATTTACGTAAATGATAGAATCCATGTTATTGTTTTCATTTATTTTAAAGTAAGAAATATTATGACATTTCTTTAACCTAAATATCTAGACTGGGTGATAAAAAGTATGGAAGCGTATGTACTTGAAATATTACAGATTTTAATGAGAACTAAAAACCAGTGGCTTTAAAAAATATCAAATGCATGTACCAACATTACATTCTTTGACTTTAAATAATTAAAGAATAAATGAAAATAGTTTTGTAATAGCAGAAATGTATGTGGTAGTTCTGGGTGAGTTGTGATCCTAAAACCTTTAATTTGATGAACGTTATTGTCACTCTCCCTTTGGATAAATACATATATTGTTAAGAGCAGAGCTCCGAGTGCAACTCACCGTTGAAGATCACCCGGAATCGGTAGCGTCCGCCCCTGACCACCGGAAAGTGGGCGTAGAGGGTCGGCTTGGGCGACTTGGCGCCCTTCTTGAGGTTCCTGCCCCGGCCATTGATCAGGATGTTCTCGGCGACGCTCTCCACGAAGTTGTGCACCCAGTCCTGGACCATGATCACGTGCTCCGTCAGATCGAAGTCGTAGAGATGGGCGTGGGGATTGAGCTTGGGCGGCATCCGCACCACCAGCGGACCGGCGAGTCCGAAGGCCCGCTGGTGCTCCGTGTGGCTGTGCCACCAGTTGGTGCCCCCGTGGTCCACCTCGAAGCGGTACCGGAACGCCTGGCCGGCCTCGATCGGATACTGGGTCACGTGGGGCACACCGTCCATGAACGGGGTCAGTCGCTGGTGCATCCCGTGCCAGTGGACCGTCGTCGTCTCGTGCATGCTGTTGATCACATCCGCCACCACGGTGTCGCCGTGGCACACCTCGATGCTCATCCCCGGCAGCTGCCCGTTGACCACCATCACCTCGCTCTCCAGTCCGTCCGCGTACTTGCAGTCGTCGTTCGCGGCCATCTGCTCCGCCAGTTTAATGCCGTCGATGTACTCCTTCCCACCCACCTTGAAGCGGAATTTGGACTGCAATTTACGGAGTTTAATTAAACGATAGTGCAAGATGGGAACATGTAAGTAGCGGGGAATCAGGACCATAATTCGGGTTTCTTTAATTAAAGAAGAAGCTTCATGGGTACCAAAATGGCCAACCCATTTGCAAGGAAAGAAGATTTGATAATCAGCAAGTGGTTTCCAATGGTATATAGATGGCTCTATTACAGAACTTAATTTCAGTTGCAGTTTTTATAATAATAAAAGGGTAAAAAGTTTTTTGTTATAATTTATTTGAAAGGGCAAATTTTTTTCAATTCATCAGAAAAAAGTTATTAAAGATACATACGTAAGTGAAATTTTCTTCTGCTTTTATTTTATAAATCTTTCTTTGAAGTAATGTGACCAAATTTGTTTGAAAATGTTAAAGGTCCTTCCTAATACTGTGCGCATTGGTGCATTAAACCCACATCGGAAATGTATGTTAGAAAAAAAAGAGTTTAAAAGTCTGCGCAATGGCTTTAAAGTTTATCACTCATACGAACTGTTGCCTCTGATTAAATATTTTGTTATGCAGGTGGGGCGTAGCCTTTGTTTTTTTGGTTGTCCATATTTTTAATCTTATTTGACCGAGATCAATAAGTTCACGATGTTAGAAATGGTTCCAAATTTGTTTGTATAAAATGATAAGTGGCCTACGTATCGTATGAGTAATTTTTATGGAAACTTTGAAACAATTGCGCAACGCCTAAAACTTGTAATAAAAGGGTGAGAGTAATGCTTTCTTGGAACCACCTTTTTAACGCATAAACTAAATAAATAATGATTGAATAGGAAATGCAGATTTAACATCAATATATATATATAAAATATATATCTTTTTTCGTAGAACTGTGATTCTTTGGTGGTTTCCAGATCTCACCTGGAGGTATCGCTTGCAGGTCTCCGCCATCGTATCATCATAGTGCACCACCATGTAGTAGTAGCAGGTCATCGGCTGGTTATCGGCGCAGTCGCGCTTGCAAGGATGCCGCGCGTTATCCTTTTCGGCCGCCCGCCACTGCGAGGACTCGCCTGCGCCTGAGGACAGCTGGGGATACATCTGCATTATGCGCTCATACTTGCTCACGATCCGCTTCCCACTGGCATCTGTGGGTAATATTCGTTCTTATTGTTAGTAACTTGTAGTATTGTATCACTTAAATTTGGTTTCTGTCTTTTAAAATTTTAAAACATTACTAATACCAATTAGTATCCTCTTTATATCCTGCATTATGCTCACCAAATATCAAGCAAATTCACTTAATTTGAGCATTTAGGTTAGGAAATAGTTCTGTTCTTTTAATAAATGAGTACTTTTTAATATGACCAAGAAAATCATTAACAGCTTTTTATATTAATTTTTTTATCTGTAGTTGGATTCTGTTTTTCATTAATAATGATCATCAAATATAAAAACAAATTCACTTGATTCAATCTTTTCGAGTTTTTAATATTTATATCTTTTTAAAAAATCGTTTTTTTTAATAGAATAGGAATTGGGAATTTGACTTAATTTTCAAATTTTTTCAGAGAGACACATGTTTCAATTTAAGGTTTATAACTAATTTCCTTTTCAAACTTTTTAATGGTGACACATATATTTTAATTTTAAAAAAAATGTGAGAACATTTCAGATTCTTTTTGTTGAACCGCAAATATTTATTTATTTCAATTGATTCGATAGTTATTTGAGTTCCGAAAGTAGATCTGTGTAGTTTTATTCGATTTCACTTAAGCACCTTGAATGCCATATATTTGCACGCTTATGAGGCACAAAGTGAAGACCAGTGTCTGCACCAAATTGAATTTCATGCTCGCATCCAATCGAACCGAATACAGAATCACTTCAAAAAGAATGGAATTTTAAATTTGAGCCGCCTTTGTGGCTGTGGCTAAGGCTGAGGGCCAAATGGGACTGTTAATGGGCTTCCGGCATCGGTTACCTTTTTGTAAGCGACTCCGCCCTGGAAGTCGGCTAGAAATTGCCCGGAATCGGTTGCTTGTCGGCGGTGTCGAACAAGTCGTGGCAGTTAATTGAAGATTGTGAGGCTGACAAGCCGCTTGAAGAACTGAAGATGCCGATTACTGACGCACAAACACGAATCATTTTACATGTTCCAGGAGCTACTGTTGGCGAAAATGGTTCACGGTGAAATGGTATTGCCATTGGCCTAGTTTTTAAAATTGCCAAAAATTGGGAGCCCTGTAAAATGTTGAAAAATGTTGTGGCATTGCTTTGTAGTTTTTGAATTCTGAAAAGATTCAAAAATATAACCAACTAATGATGCTCACCCTTGACTAAGATTTCTCTTAGAACTAAATTCCGTTGAAGTGATTAAAATGACAAATTCATGACTATAACCTAATATAACATTTTTTCAGAAAAACTCCAAGCCTATCATCTCCAATTTAAATTTTGATTACAACATAGAAAATGATCGCAAATATTGATCTATATATTTTTTTGAATACAAGCTTAAAGATTTTTGTACCATTTTAAAAATATCAAAGTATTTTGGTCAACTTTAAACATAATTTGCGAACCCTTGTTTTCCAAAATTCGTTCTATATTTCAAATTCGAATTAAACAGTGTTGCACAACGTGTTAACGTTGGCAGAGCTGGCCACTTCCCGCTGGACTGGCCAACGGTTCAAGCTTAAGCGAATTTTATTTTGTAGCAGTTCTTTTGAAGAAATATGCAAAACTTGTTTTGAGAAGTTTTATTCGTTATCAGCCGCACCCCTAGTTTTTCCCCCATTTGCACTAGTCATTTATCTTGGGTTTGATATGCGATGGAGAAAAACAAGCAGCAAGAGTTGTCAACGTAGATTACACATTTTAATTTCTGTGCTGACGCTAATCAGACCGCGATTGCCCACCAGCCGAGTATTTCAAAGTATTTTTGCCATTGTCTTGGGGGCACCTACACCCCGCCACCCCCTAGTTAGCCTACCATATAATGTATTTTGAATTTCGTTTTCATTTGCTTTTATCGCACTGGCAATACTGGCTGGGTGTGTGTGTTTGTGGGTGGTGGGGGGTATGATTATGCATAAAACAAACAACAAGTAGCTGCAGCAAAACATATAGCGGTAAACGAACTCACACTTAAGCGAAGTGTACGTAGGAAAACAAGTTTCGACGCCGCAAAAATCGTTCAATTGGCCGCCATGGAGTTCATTAGCCAGTTCGTGCGACTGGCGAGCAGACGCGCCACCGCAATCAGTCCAATCCTGCAGAGAAATCGGAGCAGAATCATCCGAAAACAGTAAGGTTTTTCCATTTTTGTGGCAGCCACAACGGTTATCTGTGTGTGTGTATGTGTGGGTGGGTGGCAACCCTGCCCCAACACCCACATTGATAACGATATCTTATTGCCGCAATTTGGTGAAATTTCACAACTGGCCAAGATTTTTAACCGATCGACAGGCATACAGCACCATGGACACCACAATTCACTCCGCGGGCATTGCCGAGATCCATCAGGTTCCGATGAGCGTGATCCAGAGACCCATACCCTCCGTTCTGGACGAGAAGAAGGTGGAATCCCTGATGGAAACCATTAAGGTGGGTACAAAATACGCTGGAGAAAAGTGGGGTGCAATGTACCTAGATAAGGTGAAAGGTACAAAAGTTCAGTACTCTGTGAAGGTAAAAAAACATCATCATCATTAGATGGTAGAACAGGTATTGATAGTGGTAATATTAGGTAAAAAGTTATTGAATTCTTTAAGGAGTACAGCTCCGGTTTTTTTTTATTGGTCAGTATCTAATGCTCTAATTTGAATTACAAATTTTATAAAATTCAAAATATATGTAGGTACAAGAGTATTGATCGTTTAATGAACATACATATGTAGGTTTGGTAAAGTGTAGATATACTTAAATCGAATTTAGGTATCTTTTAAAAGTGGTTTCTTAAAATTGGGTGCAAGGGGCTCTATTGATTACACTAAAACTAAGGGCCTTTCAAAACTAAATTCAAAAGTAAATAATTTCCAACTTTTAAAAACCGCTTATTCAGTTTGCTTTAATTAGACGTTTTAAAAATAAATTAAAATTCTTCCCTAAATAAGAGAAGATACATACATTTATGGCCACTAACTAAGGCAGAGACTATTAAAAATAGGTGATTGGATGAGGTGCGTTCCCAATTCAGCATACCGGTTACCTGCTCCACTGGTTACTCTACCGGTTGCACCACCCTCTCTTTTGCTCTCATTTCCGCAGGGCGAGACCAGCGAGGACGAGGTGCCCCCCATCGATCTGCTGTGGATCTCGGGCAGCGAGGGAGGCGACTACTACTTTAGCTTCGGCGGATGCCACCGGTTCGAGGCCTACAAGCGACTCCAACGGGAATCGATCAAGGCGAAGCTGGTGAGGTCCACTTTGGGAGACCTGTACCACTACATGGGCTCCAGTGCGCCAAAGTACCTGGCCTGATCCTCGTTTCAAGTCTATCAGTGTTCTGTTTTGTCTAGCAAATGCATTTTTCGTTGATTTATTTTTGATAAGACAGTCGTATTTACTTATCGCTGGATAAAGTTCGAATTTCACGGCCAAAGCTTTGTTGTACCTTTCGTTTTGTTGGCTCTTACTTTCTTTGTTCACAATCATTAAATTTGCGTATATACTGAGCTAATCGCTGGACTCTTAATTTGTTTACTTAATCTCTGATACTATATAAAATAATTCTAAATATACAAACAAGCTAAACAAAAACAGGCTCAGATGTTTGTTATTATTTTGCATACTTTGTTACGTGCTTTAAAATAAAAGCTAGATGTTTTTTATGAAATGAGTGTTGCTTTTAGGATAATCGGTTGCAAGTCGTTAATGCATTGGTCGGCATTTAAAGTAGGATCCTACATTATCTTAATTAACATTTACAGTTTCCCTGAACATATTCGAAATGCAATGGGAGGAGGGGATGGCCATCTCACCAGAGGAAGGGCGATCTCTCGCGGAGTATCCGTAGTCCGTGGCGCTGCCAGTCGTGCTGCGAGATCCACAGCTCGCGGGCGCTCTCCAGCACGGACATGATGGCCGCTCCCTTCCACGCGACCATGCCCGCGTCCATGCCCTTGGTGAAGACGTTCACCTCGGCGCCGGTGGGCTGTATCTGCTGGCTGATCCGGTGCTCCAGCCAGGCGGCCAGTCCCGGCAACTTGGCACTGCTGCCCACGAGCAGAATGGAGCCGAACATCTTGCGCTTGGTCTCGTAGCTGGACAGTCGGTTGATGGCTCGGATAATGGCCAGGTCCAAAGGCAGCACCTGGCCCTGGCCATTGTGGTAACAGCCATTCGCGCTGGACTGCCCTCCAGCTGGCTGCGAAGCCTGTTGTGACTGGCAGTTGCTACTGGCCTCGTCCTGATCCACCACAATGAGCTCCTCGTCGTCTGCGGTCACGGGCAGCTGGGGGCGTGGCTGGGATCCTGGGCCCGTGGCCAGGGGCAAGGCATCGCCACCCCTTACCCCGTTCTTGCGGCCCGTCTCCTTCAGATACTCCGCATCGAAGCAGTCCTCGCAGTCGTACTGCTCCTGCGGCGCCTGTTGCATGCAGACCGCTCTCGACCGGCCCGTAATGTTCAGCAGCTCCGTGTGGAAGAGGGCCAGCGGTGCCATGATGGCCTCGTCGCCCACCTGGATAGTGTACCGCAACCACTGGCCGTTCTGCTTGCGCAGGGTGAAGTGCTTCTCTTGGGCACCACAAACACTGGCATTCAGGTGGCAGAACTTCTCCTTTAACTCGTCCAGCAGACGGGCATCCACATAGCTGTCCTGGACGTTGCACTCGCGGTAGGGAAAGCCACACTTGCGCAGCAGCATGAGGAGCACCTGGTCCAAGTCACCGCCCCCATAGGGCAGTCTCACCCTCGCATCCAGCTGCGAAATGCCGTCCTCGATGCAGGCGATAGAGGTCTTTTGGGCGCCAATGTCCACCACACAGCCGTAGCCAATGCCGGCGCCATAGGTGGAGGCCACGCTGTCCTGAACGAGGAAGCAGCGCCGGAAGCCCAAGCGCTGCAGCAGCAGGGTCATGAGCTCCCGCAAATGCCGCCGCACATAGACATCGTTGACCACCAAGACGGCGCAGTGGGTGCCCAGCTCCCGCAGCGGTATCTTCAGACGTGCCTCCAGGGCATATGCCCAGATGCGCTCCAAGTGCTGCAGGCTGGCCTGCAATGGAAGGACTGTTAGTCACTGGCAACAGCAAGGTGGTCACCTTGAAGAATTCTCACCTGCAGCGAGCCGCCCTTTTCCTTGTGCACATTCAGCTCGCCCCTTTGCATGGGAAAGTGGATGTCGTAGTCGCGGGCATCGAAGGCGCTGAGGCGAAGGATCCTGTCGTCGAACAGGACCGGTGCCTCGCGGTCCAGCCAGGGCTGCTGGTCCTCCGGTGGGTGGCCACTTGGCGGCGGCACCTTCTCGGCCTGGCTGCTCCGGTTGAAGTGGGCCAACTGCTGCGGCGGAGTGGCCACCCGCAGGCGGTTCTTCTCATCGACGACGCAGTGCTGCAGGATACGCGACACAGCCAGCCGCTGCTCCTCAAACTCCACTTGCAGCTGGGCGGGATTGATGTTGTCCAGCGGCGGCAGGAGTGCGTCGTGGTGCGGCCAGTCGCCGTCCACCTGCCGCCTTCTGTAGGCCACCGCATGGAGCAGGGTCAGCGGATTGAGGTCGGCCGCCCGCCCGATCCTCAGGTGCTGGGACCCCGGATGGATCACGATGATCTTGGGCGCCTCCAGCGGCTGAACCTGCGGCTGGGGCAGTCCCGCTGGCGGAGGAGCCGGCTGGCGGCCACTGCTTGTGCTGCTAGCGCGGGATCGTCTGTGGCGGAGGATGGCGGGATTAGGTAACCTTCCCTGCGTGACCCGACCCACTACTCTACTCACTGCATCATTCGGTTTCCGGATCAGATCCTTGGCGGCGTCAATTTCGCCGTAGCAACAACATTTACCTCCCAACCGATATCAGGCGTTGCAAATCGTTATCGATACATTTAACCGACAGCTAGAGATGGAATGCAATAGTTTCCAATTTCTGAAAGGAATCATCGATATTCGTTCCAGTCCAGGTGCAGCCTCCAAGAACGTGGTTTGTTTTTCTATTATAACCATCACTATCAGATCGAGCAGCCCTTGTGAAATACGCCATTCCAATTCACCATTGAATTTGTCAGTCAAAACCGAACCCGAACTGAATTACCAACGGCATGTCGCACTTCACCTGCCTGAACTGCGATGCCCGCTTCGCCAGCGCGGATGTGCAGCGGGATCACTACAAGACCGACTGGCACCGCTATAACCTGAAGCGCAGGGTGGCCCAGCTGCCGCCCGTGACCGCCGAGGAGTTCCAGCAGCGCGTGCTGAGCGCCCGCAGCGCCACGGATGCTGCTTTGGAGGAGCAGAACCTGAGTGTCTACTGCCAGGCCTGCCGGCGCCAATTCGGTAGCCAGAAGGCCCACGACAACCACCTGAACAGCCGGAAGCACAAGGAGCTGCTGGCCCGCTTCGAGCGCGATCAGATGACCGCCAGTGGCGGCAGCGCCAGCACCACGGCGTCCGTCTGCACACGCAGCGTTCTGGAGCCACGCCCACATCCCGCCCTGGCCGCCGCAGCGGCTGGCAAGGGTCGACTGGCATTCGCGGAGCGGGTCGCCAAGGCAGACGATGACCAGGAGATGGACGAGGATGAAGATGACGAAGAGTTTGAGGACATCGAGGAGGAAGAGGTAGGAGAGCTAAATCCGAGTACCAAAGAGCAGTACTTTGTTTTTAACCTGTTAGAGGGTGCCCTCAGTTCTTAAAGAGTATCCCGAGATTTAGATATCCTGTTGTAGGGTTTCTTAAAATGATTTCTCATCGCCTAAAGCATTTCAATTGAGCAATTTTAGTCAGAAGATCCTATTTATCCAATTTTGCAATAATGTGTTATTTCATATTTGATAAACATTTTCTTACTGTTGTAATACTACATTCTACTTTATAATATTATCCTAGCCGCTTTTAGTTAATATAACTATAATTTTCTTTATAAAACCTTCGATCTTTAAATCATTTTAAACTTCTTATTAATATTGGAAGATCTTAGCCATTCGAGTTTTAAACGTTCAAGATGCTTTTGAACATTTGAAAAGTTATCTATTTGTAGCGCTCTAGTCCCTATTTGAAGTTTATTAATTCAAAACATGACATAAATAAACGTAATCCAATTTTCCTTGATGCTCAACAGGTGGACTCCGATGAGTGGGACAAGATACCCGAGAACCCGCTGACTGAGCGCGACTGCCTGTTCTGCGCACATAACAGCGAGGATCTGGTGGAGAACCTGAAGCACATGTCCGTGGCGCACTCGTTCTTCATTCCGGACACCGAATACTGCACTGACATCGAGGGCCTGCTCTACTACCTGGGCGAGAAGGTGGCCAACTATTTCATCTGCCTGTTTTGCAACGATCGCGGCAAGACCTTTTACTCCCTGGACGCGGTGCGCAAGCACATGGTCGACAAGGGCCACTGCCAGATGCTGCACGAGGGCGTGGCCCTGGCCGAATATGCTGAGTACTACGACTACAGCTCCAGTTACCCGGATAATGTGAGTATAGGATATTGAGTATATTGATATTAGCAATAACTTTATATAATTTAAAATCACGTATTGACTTTTGTTTTGGGAGATTTGTCTCGCTTGAATACTGAGCTTTAAGTTACCAAAATAGTTGCAAATCAAATTAGTTATATGCTTAGCAAAAAAGTGTAAACCACCGTTTATAAGTTTAAGATCTTGGGATACAACAGCCTATATTATTTAAATTATTAAAAATTTTGCGGCAACCTTAATAACCAGTTAATATCAAAACCCCGAAACCAAGTGACTAAATCTTCTCTCTTTTTTAACCCACACAGAAAGAAGGCATGGACATTGATGACGAGGTGGTGCCGGACCTGCTCGACGGCGATGAGTACCAGCTGGTGCTGCCCTCCGGCGCAGTCATCGGCCATCGCTCCCTGCTCCGCTACTATCGCCAGCGTCTCCGCCCGGAACGCGCCGTGGTGCTCCAGAAGTCCGACCGCAAGCTGCACCGCGTGCTAAGCGAATACCGGGCGCTGGGATGGACGCACACCCAGCAGCTGTCCGCCGCTCGCAAGGCACGAGACATCCATCTGATGAAGCGCGTCCAGTCCAAGTGGCAGATGAAACTGGGCTGCAAGGCCAACAAGCTGCAGAAGCACTATCGCGCCCAAGTTCTGATCTAAACATCGCTGTTTGGCTTTGGCTATTACCCCGTGTACAAAATAAATACAATTTGAATTTTGCTTAAATTAAGCATTTGTTTGCTTTCTATATTACTAGCGATTTCTCGTCAAATAAAATTACATAATTTAAATTAACAATTAAATAATGTATAATTTTGATTCGTTTATATAAAGTAAAGTTATGTCGTTACGGTTACAGCATAAAATTAAACATTATAATTAGACCAAAAAAAAAAATAGGTTCTAGTATGTAAAAAAAATAAACGCTTTGCAAAATCCTTCAAGTGGGGCGCCCACACAGGATCCCTGCCTTCATCCAGGACGAATGGGGGCGTGGTCGGTGATGTGGGCGCGGCGGTGAGAGCGCGAAGTGACTAATCAGTAAAAACCGCAGGTGAATGAGTTTTTGTGTGGGTTTCGTGGGTATATGGAGGGTAAATTTCAGCTAGTTAAAGTTAATGTATATATAGTTTGTGTGTGTGTGTATCTGTGGCGTGGTGACTTAAATCGGGTGCCTTATCTCACAAGAAAATCCCCTACTATCGTAAGCTTCGTTTATCCAGCCTTTTTCTTAATTTCCCCACTCAAAATAGTTAAAGTTATTAAAAGTGTTTTTTAAAGCCCAATTAATGATTTTAGATCCACTTAACAGTAAGTTTGAAAATAGTTTGATTGCGTTTGCCTGCTTCTTCGACGTCCAGATACGGCTATAGTTAACTTTCCACTTAGAGAATTATTTATCTTTACAAAAGTATATTTTCAAAAATTTTCGGATTTCTTGACACAATATTAAAGAAATCCAATTTTTAAATAATCTTAGAAATAAATAATGGTTTAATCAATCATATAAAAACTTCCACAGAATCTTGGAAAAACGTTTTTATAGATTTTTAGAAAAAACCAACATATTAAGTTACACAATAAAGACAGAAATCAATTAAACATTTAGAACAGTATACAATCAAAAACAAAAACACTTGAACCTAATCTTTTCAAACCACAATTAAGAACAAGACATAATACATTTTGTGTTAAGAAAGGCGCTACGTTGCTCTGGAGTTACCAGTGATATAAGACCCACGATTTAGACCACCTAGGGTTCTGCTGCGGTGGTGATTCTGTGGTTCCTTGATTGGGCGGTGGTGGCAATGCGATAATTAGCAGCAGAGAGCGGCAAAGGGTGTAAAAAAAAGTATATTAAGCGGGCAGGGCAACTAACGTTTTCTCTTTTTCTTCCCCAGTTTATGCTAATGTATAACTACAGGATTCTGTTGAACACAAACGCCCACCATGGGCGACGACGAGGAGGCATCGCTGCTGCTGGCTCCGGTGGCCGAATTGCTGCCGCCACCGGCATTTTGAGAGATGCCGACCTGCGAGGCGGGTCCGCTGATGTGCCGCCGTTGGCCAACGACGCCAACGCCGACGCCCACACCCATTCCCGCTGATCCCCCTCCCGAAGCGGAGGAGGAGGATGACGACGACGAGGGCGGCAGTGGCAGGGGCAGGGGCAGAGGCATGGACATGGGCAGTGGCATTGGCAGCGGCAGAGGCGGCAATGGCAGCGGCAACTCGCTCAGCGAGGCGGGCGCCGTTCCATAGAGCGTTCCGGCGGGCTGAGATGGAAAAAGAAAGGCGGCAGCCGACGACGGCACCGGGTTCGGTCCGGGATTGCCGCCACCCTGGCCACCGCCTGCCGCCGAGGCGCTGATCACACTCGAATCGGTCATCATCAGGTGGGAGGCCGCTGCTGCAGCTGCTGCCGCCGCAGCCACCGACGATGAGGACATGTTGCCGTAGTAAGGCATCGAACTGGGGGCATAGCTGTTCGGCTGCATCTGCAGGATCGCCGGCACACGCATCCTTCCGTGGCCATTCGGTGGCGGCGGTGGCATCTGCGGCGGATCACATTCCATGGCGTGCGGATAGCTGATGCTGTTGTGGTTGCTGATGTTGCTGTTGCTGTTGTTGCTGTTGTGGTGCCCCACCATGTTGCCGCCGTACAGGCGACCGTGGCGCGCACTGTTGCTGCTGCTGCTGCCGGGACTAATGTGGTTCAGGCTGCCCAGGCTGTTGCTGCTGTGATGGCTGTTCGCCAGCGAGGGCAGCGGATGGGCGGTGGGCTGCAGGCTCAGAGCGGAGAAGTTGTTCATCGCGTTGGCTGCCGCCGAGTGCATAAGCAGGCCTGTAAAATTAAAAAAAATTATTAGTTGAAAATACATTATTAATTATTCAATTGTCTTGGACAAGAACCATAGTTCAGTTAGCCATCCTTGGAAAACTCTAAACTAATTTGTCTTATTATTACACCTTTTTTTCTAGCACAAAAAATTATTGTAAATCTAGAATGATTTGTCCTACGGTGTATTTGTATATCAATACTCATGAATTCATATCAAATTTGTATTGCAATTGACAAATATGTACGTATTAAAATCTTGGTTTTCATTTCAATAGAAAAACAAGTTTCTATAATGTAAAATTAAATACCAAAATCTCTTAGAATTTTCCATGGATTTCAAGTGAAGACCCACAATAAAGTTTTCTAGCTCAAATTTTTTTGTTGATTATATCATAAGTTTTTATTGAAGATTTTTTTCAATTTTTTTTTTGTAATTTTTGTTTTTTGCTTTGGTTTGTTTTAGTTTTTTTTTATGAATTCCTTTTTCTGGTTTTTGCTTTGTTTTGTAAAGTTTCCATTTCGGTTTCATCAATCGTTAATAAATTATCTCGTACTTATTCAACTTAAACCATCAGCTGTTTTATGTTTATATTATATAAATGCCACACATGTTGCATGTCCATATGTGTGTCGGTCTGTTGGTTTATCTGTGTGTATGTGTGAGTGCCTTTTTGTGTTTTTTATTTTTTAATTTGGTTTGAATTTGAATTTTTTTATTTTTCATATTTTGCAATACTGTTTCGTTAAAAAAAAATGCATTATGGTCTCCCCGATTTTCCCTCTTTCTTTCGCTATTGCACTTATTTTTGTTTTCGTTTCCGCTTTCGTTTCAAAATGCAACTCTGCTCGAATAACAATCATTTATGGTATCGTTATCGTTGCAATTATCGTTAATATTGCATATTTTCTTCATCTTCTGTGTTTGCTTGTGGGTGTATGTGTGTGTATGTATGGAAATTGGATTTTTAAACTTATTCGACTTATAACTCTCGCTTTTCGGGTTTTAGTATTTTACACAAGTTTCGTTAAGTGTCTTTCCGGTTGCTGTTAAATTCTTGAATCATGGATCATTTTCTTTCGGGGCTAACCTCTAATTTTAATTAATATTTACTTTTATATGTATTTCGTATCCGTTTGTCTGTCTGCGTTTATGTTTGTGTCTAATAAAATTAATTGAGTTTTCCGCATAATTACTTGTAAGTGTTATATATAGATGTATGTATGTTAATTTATTAAATGCTAAAGTTCATCTCTTTAGTACGTACTGATTTAATTTGTTATGCTTGCTATACGATTTCGTTTGTTTTCTTATTTTTTGTGGTTTACTAAACGCATTCATTTCTATACCAATTCTTTATTTTTTCAGCTATTTTTACAAGTCTACGATTTTATACTTTTTACAAACTATGATTTGTGTTTGGTTTTTAACTCGTATGTCGCTTATTTGCGCTCTATCGATAATTATAGCTTTGTTTATCGGTTATCGCTTATCAATCATTCCAATTAAAACTGTTATGTATATATGTATATATTTACCGCTGCTTTATTTCTGAGAGTGTGTTTATATTAGCTTTGTTATTTAACAATTTTGCCTGTTTTCTTTTTATTGTAACAAGGCCCGAACTTTTTGAAGATTGCGGCAATGGTAAGGTTTTAGAAGGATAAATATTTTTTGCGGATTTTTTATCACAAAAGAAAGCGACTATCGCTTGCCTGCTCGCTCCCCTTCTTCTCTGAGGTTCCGTTACACCAAATCCTTGTAAATTCCCGATAGAGTAAGAAAGAGAGCGAGTACGCCACTGTTAGGTTAACCCTTTAATGCCCATGAAGTGCAGATAAGGTGTAGTAAAAGCGAAAATATTCAATAACTTTTCTGGGGTAAATAGAATTTTAGAGCGTTTGCAATTTGGAAAATTGCGATGAAATTGCTTTTAATCTGCATCAATATGGAATCAAATTCTTTTTCTGGTTATCAATTTTTTTCGCAGATGACCCAAATTTTTTCTTGATTATATACCTCGACGACTGTTCTCAAGATAGTTATCTAGACTTTTTTAATGAACAAATATTGGAAACATGTTTTCTTTTGAAAAAATTTTAAAGAATTTTCATTGTTTGCTTTTACCACTCCTTATCCGAGAGCAATTAAAAGTTTTAGATTACGGGAACAAAAAAATAAGGATGTACGTCTATGTTACAAAACTGGTATTTTTTCATTAAGTTCACTTTTCATTACTTGACTTTGGTTTATGTATGTAGTACATACTATATTCTTGGTTTACTAAACGACTTAATTTTTTTACCACCTTTTTGCATGTGAATTTTGTTTTTACATGTCTACTTTTTTTTGTTTTGGTTTTATACTTTTTACAAACTATGATTTGTGTTTCGTATTTCGCATATTTCACTGAGATCCATTATCGCTTTTTCAAAATTTCAAATATCGTTTTTCGCACTTATTTCTTGTCGAAATTTAAACAGCAGGGTCGGTCGTTTATTTTTACAAGAGAAACTCTGAGGAATGCATAGAAATTTGTGTTATGGGAAGAACACCGAGGGATTACGGTTCTTTGTGTTTATTAAAATTTTTTTTTGTAATTCCACAAAACTAATTGTGAGCCACAAAAATATGTAATGACTTTAAGTACAATTCAAAAAAGTAGTTAATAGTTTCCAATTTTCAAAAATCCAAAAAAAAAGCACAAAAAGTTTTTCATATAACACGTCATTGCCTACTACATTTAGACATCTTAAGAGGCGATTTCATATCACTAAATATTCTCATGATCATTTTAATTACATTTCAAATGGTATAAAAATCTGTAATTATTTTAACACTTTCGACAATTATAAGAAAAATTCTTAAAAATACTTTCAGAAACTTCAAACTTTAAATGGAAATTCACGCTAATGCGTTAATCAGGAATAAACAATTTTAAAGAGACTTTAAATCATTCGATATTTCTGTGGCTTGTTAAATAAATAAAGCGCCAAAATATACATATGTATTCCTACGAGATCCCCGCTACTCGCTGTTTTCTCTCAGTGTGATTTAACTTGTATGTCCGTTTTACTTATGCATAAATGTATATTAAGTATGTATGTATATGTATGGCAGTCATTAAGAAAGTCGTTAAGGATTCCTCTTATTATTATTCTTATGTATTCGCAAACTCTTCGTACAATTCTATGATCCTAAATGCTTAGACTTAAATAATTATTTATTTTTCTTAGCCATTTTTGCGTAATTTAAGTTGACAAAAAACTTTAAACACTTAACACACGATTGTATTTTCATCCGAGCGTTTGAAATGCGTGAGCATAATACAAATTACATTTTATATTCTAGAAAAAAAAACATATGGTTTTCGGAAACCAAGGAGGGTGTCACAATAATTCTTATAGGAAAAAAACATCTTTTTCTCAATTATAAATTAAATAGGGACAGGGACACAGACAGATGCATATATAGGATCAGGGACAGGGACAGAACAAAGACAAATATAGAGACAGAGACAGATATAAATATAGAGACAGACAGGGACAGAGGACTGAAAAGGACAGATAGTGAGTGTGTGTGACAGAGAGACATGACTATTTACAAAACGCTGGAGCTGTTTAGATAATGGATAATAACATGGCCAGCGGGTCACTGGTTGGGCTGCTAATGTTGCTGCTGCGCTCAATGTTGCTTGTTTCACGTTGCATATTGCTGGTTACTGTTGTGGCAGCCTTGAAGTTGCGGCTGCAATCGATGTTGTTGCTGCTGCGGATGTTGCTGCTGCTGTTGCCGGTCATCGGCGATCATCTGCTGCCGCCATTTGAGTTTGTTGTTTTATTTGATTTATATTTTGTGTTCGAGATCGAGGAGTTCGAATAGAAAAAGAAAGGAATTTATCTTTATAGTTGGGAACACAATCATTTCACGCTCTTGCATTGCTACATTTCGCAAACTTTCGTTTCGTACAACTAATTAAATTAGCACTAAGCGCCGAACTAAAGATAAAACGAAACACTTCTTACATTTAAGAGTGACTAGTGCAACTAAATGGTAATCAGTATCAACTAAAAATTATAAAAGCCTAATACAAACAAGATATTTTAAGTACAATTTTGTCCACAGCTAATAACTAAATTAAAATTTTTTTTTGATTGCTCACACACAAAACACACACGAAATTCAACAAGCAAAGATTGCGAATATGCGTTGGCCACAAAACCAACGCATGAACACAGTCGCCACTCGCTACGAACTACAAAATATAACTCGCAGCTTTTGCATCAAATCAGCTCACGATAAAATTATAATCATAATCAACAAACACAAAATTCTATGGGAAAGCAGCTACAAACTCGATTTTAAGGCAAAGGTTCTTAGATGCCCAACGTAATCTTCAGACTATTCTCATATTCGTATCCCCCGTAAATATAGTTCTTAGTTCTTATGACTATACTTATCTTTTTTTATTTAACGCCTCATCTTGCTATTAGATCTCAACTACATTATCTTTAATGAAAAATTGTAATTAATTTCTTACTTCACTTCAATGTGTACTGAAATCAAAATCTTTTATTGGTAATTGCACCGCTTGCCACTATCATTTAAATTACCCCGGAATTTAATATTGAAAAATATGATGTTCTAAGATTTTATTTTAAAATGTAAAAATATATAACTAAGGTCTGCTGAGATCAAATTAAGACAGTGCCTTGCTATAACCATACTTCAATTATTTTGTATTAGACTGTTCATTTGTTTCCTTAAATAAAAATTGATAAGAAGTAAATATTTTATATTAATTGTAATTTTATCCACTGCTTAATAACCCAAAATCCAAAAACAGACTATAGATTACATAAAGCACCTTTGATTCCTTCCCTTTGTATGCCAAAAAATCGAGCCACTGGCTGCGTTTAGGAGTTTGTTTCTAGGTGTGTTCCACTACTACTCACCGTGACACTGGGCATCCGACGCACCGCCAGGACCCGCGAGTGGTGGCAGCGGCAGTGGCAACGGCAGGGGCAAGGGCAGCGGCATCGCCTGCTGTTGCTGCGCCGCGGAGGATCCTGTGCCGACGTTCGATCCCGAACCAGTTGATCCCGTGGCCGTGGCCGCTGCTGTCGCCGCCGTCGGAGCCGCTGCACTGGATGAGGAGACCGCTCCGCTACTGCTGCTGCTCGTTCCTAGGCCACCGGCACCGCCTCCGCCACTGGATCCGCCTGCTCCGCTGGATCCGGAGCCACCGGCTCCTGCGTTCGCTGTGGCGCCTGCGCCGCTCGTATTGGTCGCCTCGTCGGCCGTGCGCTTGAAGAAGTTGTGCTGCAGGGCGTAGTAGGGCGTGACCCGGGTCTTGGGGTCAAAGTCGAGCATGCGCAGGATCAGATCCTTGAACTTGAGATAGTCGGAAACGGAGTGGCCCGGCTCATCCAGACGCCTGCCTCCTGGCCCGCCTGTTTCCACACCGAGTATGTCGTGGAGTTTGCGGGATCCTGGCGGCTTGTATTTCCTTCCGTTCTGATTCTTCTTCAGCACATAGGATCCATCGGCCACGATCTTGTCGAAGAATTTGCGGGTCTTGTGCGCCTGGTCGAGTAGATACTTGGGCGGCATGCCCAGCACCTCGACGATCTTGTTCATCTGGTCCACCTCGTTGCAGCCGGAGAAGAGCGGCTCTCCGGTGTGCATCTCCACCAGGATGCAGCCCAGCGACCACATGTCGATGGCCAGGTCGTACTGGATGCCCAGCAGCACCTCCGGCGAGCGGTAGAAGCGCGACTGTATGTAGTGGTAGATCTGGAAAGGGGATTCAAAGTCGTATATTATATAGGATTTCAGTCAATTCCGAGGAGTAGACTCGACTTACCCGCTGTCCCAGCTGGCAGGAGCTGCCAAAGTCAACGATCTTGATCGCCGAGCGCTTCGGGTTGCACAGCAGGATGTTCTCGGGCTTCAAATCACAGTGAATTATGTTCAGTTCGGGGGTGCTGAGGAAGAGCAGTGCGGTGCACAGCTGCTGGGCGAACTTGCGCGTGAGGTTCAGAGAAACGCCCCGGAAGTTGGTGTTCCGCAGCAGGTCGTACAGATTGTATGAGAGCAGCTCAAACACCAGGCACAGGTGGTTGCGCCACATGAAGTGCCGCTTGAGCTTAACTGTGGATCGAAAAGATGGCAATATTAAATATCGTAGTGGTTTCCGTAGTATTTAACTCTAGACTTAGTATAGTTTTTGAGATGAAATTTTCTAACATTTAAATAGAATTGTGAGATCCTTCAATGCACGAATGTTTTTATATTAAGCTTAATCCTTAATTAAATCAATCAATTGATATCAAAATTATACTCATTATTATTTTAAATATAAATGTTGGCAATTATTATTTACAAACAAATTGTTTTCATCTAGCTAAGATTGATTCTATATAACTTTGAAATATATATAAATTCTTCATAATTTTTTACCAATTTCTTTTTGAAAAGGAAACCAACCAATTCTGTGGCATTTACGTACCGATGTAGTATTTGTTTTCGGCATCCGCCCGGTTCATCATCTCGAGCAGCTTGACCTCGATCTGTGCCTGGTTTAGGAACGGTTTCTTATTCTTAATTATCTTGATCGCCACGTGGCACTGCTCCTCGTGGTCGTAAGCCTTCACCACCTGACCAAAACTGCCCTTTCCTGTGGGATTAAGGTAACATTTCAGTCAGTGAATAATTAATCACAGTATATTAGGTTCCCACTCACCGATCAGCGAGTCGATCTCGTAACGATCCAAAAACTTTTCGCCATTCTTGATTATATAGTCGTGATTATCGTCGTCATAGCCGTCGTTATAAAGTTTTCGCTCCTTTTTGTTGGACGAGTCGTCATCGCCTTGTGTCTGCTGGGCACGGCGTTTCTTTTTCGCATAGTAAACCTAAAATTTCAAAAAAAGTTTAAGCATTTTTATAATCTCTTAAATATATAACTATGATTTGATCTGAACAAATTTATAGAATTTTTTTTCTAGCCGGAAATTTTCCAAAGTTATCAACAAACAAGTCAATAATATTAAAATTAAATAAATTCATGTATTTCAATCAACAATATTAATTTAAAGTTTGTTTGCATTTTCAATTCTAAGCTGAACCTTTGTTATTATGTTTGGTTTGTAGACCATTATATTCAAATTTTGTTTAGTTTGTGATTTAATTTTTAATATAATACGTTCGTTTTTATTTTTAAAGATCATTCCAGGGATTGGCGTTACCTGTCTCGGTTTAGAAGCTCGAGATAAGAGTAACTATGGTCCAAAAACGATCGATGTTAATCGATCAATAATTCATCTTAAAATGTTTGTTGGGTAACAAGAAAAAATGAAAATGCCCCAAATTGAAGGCGGTAGAGTTAATTGGATCTTATTGGCCAGCTAGAAGTTATCCTGTTACTTCCACTTCATCAACGACAAATGTAAACACAAAATGGGGAAAATGAGAAAATAGCGAAAATGAGAGGCAAGACCGGCAAATAAAAAAATGCCGAAAGAGGGCGGACGCCCAGCTGAAAATAATGCAGAGAAAAACGAGATGAAAAATTCTCTCTTTTTGCGCTCTCTCCCACTTTCTTTCTCTCTCACGCTCCCTTTTCTTATTGGGAAAGGGAAGGAGAAGGGGGAAATGGTGGCAGCTTGGCGAAAAAAGTTGTTGCTAACGCGGCAAGCTGACGGTGGAGCGAGCGAGATAGCGCCGCATAGGGAGAGATAAAGTGAGAGAGAGGAATAGCCCCACTCTCTCGAAAACGAAAACTGTAGCATACAAAACGGCAGCGAAAAGGCTTTTGCAATATTACGGCATCTCTAACGTCACAAAATGCCAACTGCAAATGTAACAGTAACGTCTGACAAAAACACTCCAGCCTGCTCGAGAGCACCTGTCAAATTCAAATACCTGCAACCAACCGCAACGCCAGCTGTCAAATCGGCTGACTGCAAAGCTCATATTTACCAACATCAATATGTTTGATTGCAATCTCAAATAGGGCTTAAATATTGCAATTGTTTATAGTTTAAATTTAAGATAACTTGGATTGTATCAATATTTTTATATTGTCCTATTTTGCATTAGAAGAATTAAAAATTCTTCTAAATACATGGATAAAAACAACACTGCACGAAATTTTGTTTTGTCCTATAACAAGTTGGGACCATTTCTCTAATTGAATTACAAAATGTCATGTCTTTGAATTTGACTTCCGAGTGTTTTTGTCTTTCAGTTACAACAAAATCTAATCGATTCAAACAAAATATGCCTGAATAAAACTTATGTTGTGTTTTCAGTAGGTCCCACTTTCCAATCGTATTTGTTTTTTAAGTTATTTACGTACGCAACCTGCGTGCAACTCGGATTCCTTCGAGCAGCGTCAAATACTAACATCCTAATGTGGCATAGGACAATCACCCCGTCCACTCAAGGCAAATATAATCACCGATTTGGGTCGGCGGCATTTCGTCATAACGTCATTTGACAGTTTCCATGAGAGCCAAGTTATTGGGTATTCGGATTCGGGGTCGTTTTGTTAAGAACTTGGCAGGAAAACCGAGACAGTTGCGTGTGGCTGTGGCTAGCTTTCTTTACTTATTTAACCTCTTTCTATTTTTTTGGCTGTTGTCAACCGATGCGGCTGACGACGTCAATCGAAGTCAACTGCGAGTGGGCGAGGGTGGTGTGGGAGTGGGATTTGACCCCCCAAGCGGGTCAAGGACAAACGTATCTTTAGCTCAGCTCAACGCCACAAATATCCGCTGTCAGCAGATAGTCACACAACCACAAGACAAGAAAAACCCCCGACTAAATTCCGATCGTCATAAGAGCGTGACAGTATAAAAAAAGACGGGATAGATGCCAAGGCTCTTGAGCAGTTGCACAGAAAAAAAATAATAGTATTTGTTAGCTTGCAAACTGCCAAAAAACTACCACAAAATCATTTTAAATTATGTCTATATGAAAGTGACTTATTGTACAATAAAGATCTAGTTTAAAGTACTTCATTACTATATGTTTAATGATGGTAATGCGAACAAAGTTCCAAATATTACAAAAATAGGTTTTCTGGCTTGTCTAAAGAAACCTATTGTAACCCATTGAAAATTTCATATTGATATGTCACAGATATCAAACTATGACCCAATTTGTTATTTTGTAGATTTTTTTCAGGACTAACACTCACCTCGTTGATGTGCTTGTAGGTCTTTATCAGATCGACGCTCAGCTTGCGCAAAGGTCCCAAGGAGGGGTCCCGAAAGTGGGTGGGAATACGGGCCTGCATGGCGCGCACCTCCGACGAAGACGAGGGACTAGAGTGCTGCGGGATCGAATGAAAAAAATTGTTATTTATTATTCACAATCTAAACAGTAATACACCATCGATTTGCTAAAGATAATAATTGTCTTTCTTTTTAATTTATATAGGTATTTTAAATTACTTGTTATTCTTTTAAAACATACCTTTCAATGTAATTTGTTTAATGTTGTTTAAACTCTTAACATATAAGTTGTTTAAAACAAAAATATTTTTTTCGAAATTGTCTCACTTGGTGATGGCAAAAACCTGTTGTGGGTAAACCTTTCTTTTACATTTTCTTCTCAAGGCTGGGCTTACTTAAATGTGGCTATTAACCTTTCTAATTGCAACTTTAATTTTAACTGGAGCATGGGAAAAAGTTTTCTGAAAGTGGAATGGTAACTTTTACACTTGTGTCGTTTTTTCAAATTTTTGAATTATTCTTTCTGGAAATCTTTCCCATATTATTCATTTTTAATAATTACTCTTATTAAAATAAATAAACTTTAGCTCTTTTTTGACTCTTAACTGCTATTTAGTGTAATGTTTGTTTAGTCAAAATGGTATGTTGTTTTGTGGAAAAAGTATTTGATATGGTGCAAGTACTCACATGGTGCATTACATCCCGGTGCGTGGCAGGCAGATCCTCTTCGACGACGAAGCGTCCGTAGAGGGGGGCGTGGCGCTGTCTTCCGCCCCCGCTGCCCTGGGCTGCGTCGACGGCGACGCTGCCTCCGCTGGACCCATAAGCGGATACTAGAGCGAATGAGAGAAGAGATATTATCAGTTATCGGCGGGAATTATATACATATGTGTTTGCCGTATTTCTGTATTTGTTCGCTTGCTTTTTGTGCTGGTTCATTGACCGGATCGCTCGGACACCGCTCTTTTGCAGAATGCACCTGTTTTCTCGCACACCTGACTACGTCAGCGCCGAGAGTTGCCAAAACGATGATAAATGCAAAAAGGGAGAGAGGAGATGATATGCACTGAGGGAAACGTCCAATTCCGATTCCCATTTAGGGTAAAATTTATCTTAGAATCGCTAACTTATACTCCTTAGATGGCAGGATCACCCATCATTAAATCAAAAATACCTTTTCTTGATAGAACTTCAAATGTAATTTGATTAAAACAAAGCATTTAAAATATACGCATCATGAAATTTATGTTAAAATGTAAAATAAATAAAATAACTAAATAAATTAAAATAATTTATCTGAATTTTAAACTGTTTATATAAATATGAAATGACAAATTATTATTCAAATAAAAAATAAGTTTCGATGGCTTAAATACACGGCTTGTCAAAGATTTATAACAGCCATTTAATATGGATAGCAAACCTACATTAACAGCAGTTCTACCTTTCATTTTGGAAACTATTTCATTATTAACTTCCTTTTAAATTATTTCTTGTTATCATTTCTTTTCCTCTGTGCAGAGGCAGTCAGAAGAATAAGAAGCATAGAAGAAAGAAGCTCTACCTTAATTTTAGAACCAGACGGAACTGAAATTATTACACAATATGCAGGCGCACATACATAATTCTGCCGTTTCTTGATTCTATTTCCCAAGTTTCTATGACCATTTCACTTGCTCACTTTTTGTTTTGCTTTTAGCTTGGCTTGTGCAACAAAAATAGCCCCAACGATATAAACAAGACACCAAAATACACGGCGAAGGGGTTGAGGAGGGTTAGACGAAAAACCTGCAAGACGCAGCAGCTGTGTTTAATGTTAAATGATATTCTATTTCATCAACATTTGACTGACAGAAACCTGATCAATAAAAGGTAATGAAAGCCCAATTCAAATGATAAACATGAAATATTTAAGAGGAAATAATGTAAATAATGAAAAGATTACCTGCTTGAAACTTTAGCTGTGCCAATGATTTTAACAGCATTAATAGTAAAATTGAAAAGTAAATGACAATTAAATTTATAAATTTAATTTTATTTTGTGTCTATATTTATTGATCTATTTTATAGTTTCAGTTTAAATTGTGGCAAATGCTTTGTTTACAAACATAGACTTACTACCAAGAAAATATTTTTAAAAACCTGTGGATTTCTTTAAACAAAATCTAGATGGTTGACAAGAATATGATACTCAAGTTTAATAATTATCCGATTACAAGTGTTGGATAACCATTAAGAAAAAAAGACTTTTAGCTTACAAGAATAATGCAGTGGTCGTTCTTCTTCACTCCTCGATGATCCCTGAACCACCAAGAGATTGCCATCGACTCGATCCACATCGACAGTGCTCCAAACACTTTTGGGCTGGAACTTTGAGATGATTTGATGGCCATCGCCATCGTCATCGTCGTCCACCTCCTGATTGCCATTTGTTGGCCAATTTCTGACACGATGCTGGCAGCCAATTTGCGCCAAATAATTGATGTAATGAGGCGGATGATGGTGATTGTGATGGCTGTGATGATGGTGGTTCAAGTTGCCACTGCCACTGAAACTGCCACTGCCACTGCCACCAGGTGGACCAACGGCGAATGGCGCCCAATCGGTGGTGGCCTTGTCAACCGCATCGCCGCCGTTCGTTGACTGCCAATAAACCAAAGCCGCCGACATATCTTGTCTTTTTGTGACTCGCACTCGCACTCGCACTTCCCGTTTCCTCTTCCTTTTAATCTTTATCTATATGTTTTTTATTTCCCTTGTTTGTTTTTATTCAATTAATTAATTAATTGACTGTGCTATAGATCCATTTCCCTGGCTTTGAAAGCGCGATCTGTGTCGCTTGAAAATTCAGCGCAAACTGACGCAGTTTTTTTTCCCTAGCCCCAAAGTTTTTGCCACTGGTCGTTTTGTCGTCTGTTTTATTTATACGGAACCGTGTTTTCTGTCGCGGGTTCTGGCTGCTCTTTTATTTTGTTTTTGCATTTTTTTTTTGCTGCATTTCTGCGGATCACACGAACGAACGAGCGATAGCGATTGCAACGATCATCACGATCTCGGGGTGATAATGATAATGAAGGTGTAGGGGATGCCCGGCAATCTGGCATCGGAATTTGTTCTGTTTACATTCGTCTGCTTTTCAGTGTTGCACAATCTGAGTTGAGTAAAAGAGCGGAAATAGTACCCAAAGCCCAACTACTTAATAGGATTTTAACGATCCAAAACAGCAATATGACTTTCAGTGGGTATCCGCCATCGATGTCCTACTTTTTAGTTCACCTTTTTGAAAAAGCTGCCTTTTTAGTGTTAAGAAACTATGTTTGAGTTAAACAGTGTTGGCCAATTACAAACATATTTATAATAACACATATAGAAAACAAAAAAAGTAACATGTAATCAATTTTTGTTATTGTGTTTTATTAAAATTTAAATGTGCTAAGAAATCAAGCAATACATTTTTAATTTTTCGATTTTAGTGGTCTCAAAAAGACCGTATAATTTCGATCACGAACTAACTTCCCGATTCATCGGTGATCAGAAACAGATATTCCATTCTATTTGTGTTTTCTTAGGGGTGTTCCGGTATCTTTGTTGATCAAACGAGCACTTCTGGCTCCCCTTTTGTTTTTTGTCTCAGCTGTTTTGGGTAGTGAAAGGGTGAGTTTCGCTTTTTGTAGATAATGGAATTCCAATAATGACATGTGGCGGAGTGAAGTGGGTAGTGGGTGGTAAAGCGTTCGCACTTGTCTCGTGCGCGCAGAGATACAGATAAATTCATTTCTTTGTTTCGGCTTTTGCGTCGTCGTCAAGTCAAGGAAATCAAAACAAAGCGAATGAAATGAGAAATTAAAATAAAATGTAATTAACCCCAGCTAAAAAGTGTGTGCATAATACAGTGCGTTACAAAATTGTATAACTGATTGGGTTGTCTTTTAAAGAAGGGGTGTGTTCAAAATATTTCGAAACTAGTTTTAAACATGTAATACGAAAAGAGAGAATCAAACAATACATACTTGAATGATTTACAAAAAGATCTGTATATAAGCAAAAAGGACAAGCATTTATCAAACTAATGAAAAAGCAATACAAGCAAATCAAAATAATTGTTCTACAAAAGATCTACTTAATAAATGGGTGTTTTTTAAATTATATAAAATTCTACTTATAGAAACGTTATACTTATTTTTTTGAAGCCTTTTTCCGAACCAATTATAAATTTATTTGCTTTTATAAATAAATTGAACGCTTGCCAATCGATGGAAGAGTTGAATGATAAATGAGTTTGGGTCCCCTCAAAAAGGGGGAGGAGCAAGATGAGATGAGGAGGAGAAGAGTGAGCAGCCACTCTATTTATAGGGATCCGATCCTCCGTCTCTAATGTAGGATTTCCCCCGATCCGATGTTCAAATGTCTGTCGCGTCTCGGCCGAAAATAAAAATAGTTGACGACATTTTGCGTTCGTTCCTCGTCTTTTGGCCACTTGCATTTTGGCCCAGAAATGGGATCGAGGCATTATAAACCACCTCCATCGATAATTACATTTGGGAGGGGGACAATGACTATGACGATGGAATGCGGAGCAAGTGAGTCACGACCTATTGGCAAAGGTAATGTCATGAATTGCAGTTACTTGTGGCAGCCCACTTGAAAAGTTTATGAACAGACCAAGCTAATCAGATACAAAATTCTCGGTCCCCGTAACCCCACAAATTTGACGCAACATGGGGAAGTCCCACACAGAGTCACGGGTTTTCGAAATAGTACGGATTGAGGCAAATACAGACGGAGACAGTAGAGTGATAAGCAAACAGTTGACACAATATTTGTTGGATGAATGGAGTGAGATTGTTGCATTTCCAGCGGGTAGAAAAGCCGGAAAAGGTAGGAAGAATACAGCCAGAATTTGCTGCTTAAGTACTCCTGTCCTCCCCCTTAAAATTCCACCTGATATCGCCCAATTCCACGGGTATAAATATTATTTCCAAAGAAATTTTAGCCGTTGCACTACAATTGCAACTAGTAATAGTCAATTGTACTTACTTATTTGAAAAGTAAATAATACGCTATCGTTAACGTTGTCAAATTGTTTCATCAACCAACACCCTTTTTCTTGGGAAGTCAAGCCAACATATTTACACGATGTTATAACTTTAAATTGATTTATAACCCTGAGTTACAGGGAAAGGAATGAGATATAAAAGGCATGTTCTTAATAACATTTCCGGAAAATGTTTGGAAGTCTTAGTAATGTTTTCAAAAAGACTGAGAAGGTTTTTGAACAAATTATAGAAATGATCTTAAACTTGAAATATTTTCGTAAACAGTAAGGAAACTACAAAACTTAAAATATAAATTCTGAATTTTTTAACAGTTGGTAAAGTACAAAGGTCTTTTAATTTGCAGCAGAGTCATAGCAAACTTTTTGAAATTTAACTTGAAGACCCAGCAAGGATGATGAAATAATCGGCAGTATTTGAATGGGATCGAGCAATACGATCTTGAGTTTTTACAAGTGGAATCGGAGAATACTTACGTTTCTGTTTATTCTTATCCATAACGCCGCCGCTATTCGTATCCTCTAATCTATACATGGGGCTGATGTTTGTTGGTTTTGCGCTGATAAATGAATCGTTACTTTGATTTGTTTATTCCTATATTTTACTCTATATGTACTTGACATATATATACTTGTGTTTATATATATATATATATATATAAATATATATATCGGTGTATGTGTATATATATATATATTGCGTTATTTGTTCATGCTATTTGGATAGATTGAAATTTTGTTTTTGTCCGATTTTGGTTGTTTGTGATTTTGTTTTCAATAAATAAATAGTTGTTTGTGTATTTTTTTATTCTTTTCGTTATCCTTTGTGTCGTTGTTGTTGCATCTTTTTCGTGAGTACCAGTTAATATATAAATTTGCATGTGTTGTTGGTTAATATATATATTTCCGTATATATTTTTATGGGTCGAATACTTTTTGTTGTTTGTTTTGTTTTGTTTATTTTAAAATTATGAACACAAGTTTTTAGTCTTTTGTTGGATTTGCTTTGCCGTTTATTTTTATTTTTTGCAGTGTAATTGTCAAACATTTATGAAACAAACAAAACAAAAACACGTCGGTATGTGTATTACTCCTTCTCCTGTTGTTGTTGTTATTGCTCTTTCCGTTTATTTACCGTTTAGCATTGTAATTGCACACACTCCCACACAACGGGAGCGTGTGTGTGTGCTCTAATGAAAACAAAACACACACACACACGCGAACGCACACACACGTACGAGGGAAATTTGAGAAGAAAGCCCGATCTGGCTTTCTACTGCGTTTTTTGGTGGATTAATATCGATTTCTTTGCTATTCCTTATCGATTTCCTCAAGTTAATGTTGTTTTAATTTTATGGTAATTTTTGGTTGCCGCTTTTCTCAACATTTTGCTTAATCATATCTCAGCACTTTTATTATTCGCTTTATTTTTACATTTACATTTACATTTAATAATATTCAATAATTGTCGAAACGCTTTGTTTACAAAACTGTACTGCTTGCTGCTGCTGATGATGTTGTTGTTGTTGCTTGCTGGAAGAAGAGAAGAACACGTTTGTTTAATTAACTAATTGAATTATAATTATTAATAGATAATATACAAATATTGGAGAGCCGGAAAAGGTTGAAACGTACGGCGCAAATAAAAATAATAAATAATAACAATCTCGCGCTCCCTGCCTCTGTTAACTCACTGTTAACGGTTTATCTCTCTTCTGCCGCTCTCTCTCTCTCTCTCTTTGGCAGGTGAACGAACGACACGCGACGCAAAAAGCATGCGTCTGTGTGCGAGCGAGAGAGCGCGCAAGTTCAACGTGTGGCTTGGCGTTTTTTATCGTTTTTTTTTTGCTGCCGGGGCGCCGCCTCTAATACATACACACGCGCCCACCTCTGACATTGCACTCACACACACACATGCACACCGAGTGACAGCTGTTTCAAGTTCGATTTCGATTTCGATTACTCTTTTTCGACTCTGTTGTCAAGGCGAAAAATTTGTGTGCATTTTAATTACAAATGCTGATTAACCCCTACAACTCACAATATACGTGAGCAAATATTTTAATTAGCTAAACAAAAAGCACATTACTGTTGTTGTTGCGGTGAAAGTGGCGTTTATTAACGTTTAGAGCTGCGCCGCCTGCTTTTTGTTGTTGCTTCTCTGAGGCACATGTCGGCATTCCGCGATTTTGTTGCCAAGCAAATGGAATTGACCAGCAGTCAACCAGGGATGCCACCCCTCTTTCAATTTTTGGCTCTGCCTCTCGGCAAAAAAGGGATAACACAAAAAAGGACAAAAGTGCAGCTATGGTCACAACTATAGTGGTCACATATTTCAATAATTGTACAGCTAAAATGGGAATACTTGAATTTAAGTTTAAATTTGGGATGTGATTACCAGTTTTCAGTTTATTAATGAAAAACACAAAATTTGTCTTGCAAAATTGTATTAAGGAGTTTGGGATCATAAGAAAGCGAGAATTTACAACATTTGGGTCAGAATAAAACTTAAATATGAATTAAATGATTTTAACAATGTTAATATTTTAAATACATTTATTTTATCTGGATCGCAGGGAAATAAGTCCGTTAGTTATTTGTAAAAATATGCAAAATTTATAAAACAAGTTTTCCAACCGCCACTGTAGAGGCGTGTATGTTAGTGTGTTGTTGTTTCTTTGTATTTCTGTAGAAAATTATTCACACAATTTACCGGCAAAACAGAAGGAAACCAGTTCCTAAATCAACAGAAAAAAAGAAAACTGCAGCCTGTGAATGATTCTCCTGCCGTGAATCAGAAATGTATAAAAACGAATAAATGCGTCACTCCTCTCTGCAGTTTGTGACTAATAAACAAGTAATTCCCAGAGCGCGGATCTTTGCAGATCATGCGGCTAACGAGTGTTAACCCGTTGTTGTCAACTGATCGACTCGACCGCCGACCGCTTATCAGTTCATTTGACTTTTCACACTTTTCTGCAATGTCCGGGGAGAGTGTTATTTATTTATTTTTTGCAATTATTTTTAGCGTAGGCAGCAGCCACAGTTTTTTGCATGTTTCATCATTTATTTTTGGGGCCAACACGGAATCGACAAAAAGAAACAATAAATAGCTACAATAACGACACATACCCACGCACCCCCCACACGAAAAAAAAAAACAAAATAAAGCGCACTGAAAGAAACGCGAGCTAATGTTTTCGGTTTTTTTTTTGTTGGAGCATCTGGTAATCCTATCCTGTGATTGGGTGGTCTACAAATATGTCCGAGATCGAGTCTCTACTCCCGCAACTCTGGGAAAAATACTGAAAATTCCACATAAATATTCCTATAGATACAGTGATCATTCGCAAATGAATTTTATAAAACAGTCCTTAATATTTGTCAGGGGATTATAGTCGCAAAAACTTTATGAAATAATTTCAGCTAACATTTTTATAGATCATTCTAACACCTTAGTTATTAATCCTATATTTTCTTTTAAAAAGTAATAATATACCGCAGAAAATAATCAATTGTTAATCAATAGAGATTAGGCTCTTGTTTTTTGAGGGTTTGGTTGTGATTGCATTATGAAATTATAATTTTCCTGTCGAAATCTTTAAATTCCTCCTCGGAGTAACAAGTTTCAAGTGGGGAATACCGATATTGTGGCCAACTTAGCGATTATCCACTATATGTATCTGGGGCATAAAAAAATACAACTTTATGATCAGCGGCGGCCGTTTGACGTCAGAATCAGTTTGTCTGTCTGTCAGATTGTGCCCATTATACAAACGGATAGTGAACATATGTATGTATATGTGGTTGCTTCGGTGCTCGTGCTCTCTTTCTTCTTTCTTTCTCCTTTCTCCGCACCCCACCCACTACATCCACCCACCGCAGAAAAAGAAGACGGCATGTGGTGACCCAAATCGTTCGTGTGACTTTTTCCATTTGCGCTCGTTTTGTTTAATTCAATTTGCGTGCACATTAAATGCTGTTACTAAACTAATAAGTGAAATAAATCATATTTCTGCAACAGCGTCTTCCTCTGTTCTTTTTTCGTTTTATTTTTGCGCAACATGTGGCGACGCCCGAAAAAAAATAGTTTTCATTAATATTACGTACTCACACTAGTACCTAGTGTATATATTTGGCTATGTGCGTGCTCCAGTTTTCTAGGTGACTACTAAAAATACCTTGTAGGCGTTATTCGCTTCTTTTGTACTCATTAGTATCGCTGATTAGTCAAAAAACAAAAACAACTGAAGAAACTTGAACTGTGGAAGAGGAAACAAATACGGAAGAAATTCCATGACTTGAACGTTACCCGTTACTTCTTCAAAAAAAAGTTTTTTATTGACAATTGAGTTTGGTGACTAAACTTTTCTCAAACTTATCTATTTATACCAAGTATTACCTTTCATTGTTCAAGTATATCACTTCCGAGTTCTATAACTTTTATTTATTTACAAAAAAAAAATTAAAAAATAAAACCTATAATAAACATAAACAAAAAATATAGATTTTTACACAAAAAATCAAAGATACATTTGACATATTTTAGAGACTTTTGGGCCGGAGAGCTCAATTATTTCTGATAAATAAAAAATAGCGATACATTAATTAATTTTTTTTGGATCTTAAATATAGGTACAACTGAAATAAAAAAAAATTAACGACAAAAAAAAAACGGTTTTTGCGCTTTGACAGCGATTTTTCAATGGAAGATCGTGCAAAGAAAGGCGAAGAACTTATGCTTTCTTTCTTTGCACTCCCCGTAGTCCCCATAACCCTGTCCTCCATCCCGCTTGCACCCCGGCTAAGTGCGTAGTAGAGAAGGAGAAAGGGCGATAGAGAAGAATCGAAAGCGGAGAAGAGAGGAGAGCGAAGAATTTAAATGCCGCTGGCTGGCAAAGTTTATTTTATTTATTCTGCTGTTGCTGTTGTTTCTGGTGTTTTTTGTTTTTATTATTTTTTTTACCTCAGCTTGGTTCAAAGTTCAATGACCGATTTTGCCTTTGCCGAAACTGAAGCGAAATGGACAGAAATAAAAATAAAGTGAACTGAAGTGAGCGGCGCAGTCGCAGAGCTTTGTTCCCGTCTCCCTCCCACAAACACACACACTCCCACATACACTGAGGCACATGGCCACACACAAGGTCAGTTAATAAAGTTGATTTTTGCTCAATACGCAATAGCGCAAAAATGTGCAAATAAAAAATATCAACACCAACAAGTGGCAAAATACAAAAGAATAAGCGGCATATACTAGAACCTTTCATGTTTATTAATTTAAGTTATTTTTAATTGTGGGCAATGTATAATTTAATAATCATTATTAATTAATTTCATACATTAACATGATAGTTTTTTGCAATCGGTTTGTTTTGGACGTAAAACGCAGATGGTGCTTACCAAAAAATACAGAATATATTTTTAATAATAAGAAACAATTAAATTAACTGAAAAACAAATATTTCATTTACAAAAAATACTAAGGAAACCATAAAATATTTAGATGTTAATTGGGCAACATTGAAATTATATGAGTAATCTGTCTATGTTTATAAACTATTGGACGATATTTATAGTTTTATTCATTTTTAATATGCCCATGCATATTTCTTATACAACTCTTGGTATCATTCTCAATTTCTTTGAGTGCAGCTGTGTGTTTTGTATGGTAATTCAAAACTGCGCATTCATTGATGACGGATGACGTCGCAGCTTTGACAGTGGCATTGAAATTTTCAATTTCACAAGCAGACTGCAGGCAACAACAATAATACAAATATACAGGAAGAAAAAGAATAAGAAGAAGCTACAATTACTATACTAAATAACAAAGGAGAGGAATAACCGGAATGAATTTTAATTAAATAAATATCCCCTCTATAACAATTTTTATATTTTTAAACATATTACATATGTAAACATAATTATCATCAGAGATAACACATCTTTATTTTCTAATATTTTTATACAAAAATATATATTTAAATACAAGAATTAAATAAGAAAAGACATACAAAACTGCAATAATTAAACAAGCTTTACATGCTGTAATTTTAAGAAATATTTTACAACTTTTTAAAAATTCTTTAAAATTGTAAATACATTGTACATTAAATATTTTATGTTTACATAATAATGGTAATATTGATTTAAGTAAAAATAAATTTATATTTTTTGATCTTATTACTTATTTATTTTGATATTCATTTTAGGACTTTTTTTAAAATATGACACACATAAATGTCTATGAAGATTAAAAAGCTATTAAAATTTTCTTAGGAAATTCTTTCACAAAGAATATATATCTTTCTTAGAAAACAATAAATGTTAATGTGAAGAATAAATATGTACACATTCAGTCTTTTATATGTATGTCTGCTGAGAAAAGCAATGGAAATTGCGGAGCGACAAAGCCGATATTAAGCACTATTTGATAATCCAAATCAAGTCAAGTGCAAACCTATTACAACGATATTTACCAATATTTACTGTATCCACAGATCGTTGCGATGAGTTGGCGTAATTTTGCCTGCTGGTTTTCCCCACCTTTAGTTAACTGCATTTATGGTCTCTGTTTTCCATATTTTTATTTGTTTTGCTGCACTGATTAGAGAGAAAAATAATAATAACCAAAACAAATGCCTTCTCTCTCGCTCGCGGGGCAGCACGTGTATGGCATCTGGTTTGTTTTGATTAAGTGACAGTTTGGCCGCCCACTTTCTCCCCTTTCTTCCCCCTTGTCACTCTCTCTCTCTGGTCGGCACACGTGTTAGTTAGTTACTTTGCTAGTTAGTTAGTTAGTCGACTGCGTCGGCTTCGCAATTGCGCCGCAATTGGGGACGAATGAAATATTCTTGATACGCATTTAACCCGCAAGAAGGGGGAGAAAGGTGTGAAAGCTACTAACTAAGGTGTTAATTACCCATCGCTGTGGCACCCATTAATCCTGCAGGAAAAATAGAAAGTGGAGAAAGCGATAAGAGGGAAAATATGAGCAACCTCTTTATTTTCAACTTAATTAAAAATTCATTAAAGGGAAACCAGACGCTTGAAGAAACTTCATTGTGATGAATTTCACATAAAGAAACAATGAAAGCAATAAAGAAATGTTATTAACCATTTTCAAACTAATATAAGCTAAAATACTTTTAGATGGGTTTTTAAAAGGTGGTATTCCGAAATTGATTACTTAATTTGATTTTAATATAATGACTTTTATTAGGGTTATTTTAAGCTAATAACCGTTTTATATTGTAAGTTTTATGGGTTCACAGCAGTCTGAGCTTCTAAAATCAAGTTATTTCTACTACTGATAATTCTCTAAACCCTCAGAAATAATTATTTATATAAACCTAAGATTCATTTAAACTGACTTGTTTTTATCGACTACCCAGCAGCCTGAGTCAAATCCCTCGAAATGTATATCCCAAAATGAAGCCGATTCTAGCGTATACCGTACTAACGATGATCCTCCGGATAAGCAGTGCCCGTTCGATGAGCTTTGACCTGCCCTTGTATGGATTCGACTCCTACCTGGACAACCCCAGCGATGACATGTCACCCGAGGAGGCTAACTGCGATCCGGAGGGCGGCGCTTCGGTTACAATGGAACCCCCACATGGCCATGGATCGCCCTACCAGACCAGTCCATCGTGCGACAGTCATCGGGATAAGGATAACTGCGACGCTAATGAAATCGAGATGAGCATGACTAGGATGAAGGCCACCCACATAGCTCAGAATGCCGCCCAGGTGGCCAAGGCCGCCAACGATGCTCAGGCGGCGGCCGCCCAGAATGCATCGCGCCAGGTGAAAATGCAATTGGCCGACAAGGCGATGGCCGCCGCTCGGGCCGCCGATGCCGTTTTGGAAGGTAAACAAAATATTGTGGATAACTACGCAAGGGAAATCCGGGAGTCCGAGGCGGTTGTGGCACAGGTGAGCTCATCCCTGGACTCCAGTGAAGCGGATGTGGATTGCGCTTGTGCCGCGGCCAAGGCGGCTGAGGCTCAAGCCGCCTCTTTCAGGTATTTTTCCTACCTATGTATATTATCATATCCAAAGTATTTTATCCTTACAAATATCGATATTTTAAATGTTTCCCAAATATCGTTCCTAATGTTAAAATATCAGACAAATTCCAATAATTTAATTTTTTTAATATTTACATAAATGTATCATTTCAAAACACGAAGTTATCATGATTTCGATAATCGGACTTTGATATTTAATCATATGGACAATACCGTAAAATATTTTAAATAATTAATTTGTTTCCACATATTGTCGGTAAACTATCATTAATTATATAGCATTTATATATTGTAAAAATACCGATACGAATATCGACCGTCTTAAAATCGAATTGATATCGATCTTTTCCGTAATATTTCTGTCAGGATCTTGGTGGAGCACACCAAGGCAACTTTGACGGACATAGAAGGCCTGATCGAGCAGACCAACGATGACCTGGATGAAAAAACCCAAATGTTGACGGCGGCCAAGGCGCGTGGTGATCGATTGGCCCGCCAGGTGGCGCAGGCCAGGTTGGAATACGAGCAGGTGAGGGAGGCGGCCTGTCGAGCCGCTTCCGCCGCTGTGGAAGCCAAACAAAAGGCTTCTGCCAACAATTGCATGCCCCTGGGAGGCGTTGGTCCACCTCCACCGTCTGCTCCTCCGCCCCCTCAGAGGCCGGGTGGATGCGGCGTCTCCTCCGAGAGGGGCACCTGCAACGCCCTCCTGGATCTCTACAGGCAGCGCCGCAGGCAACAACTTCGGCAGCGACGGGACAAGATCCGAAAGCGGGGGATTCGGGGGCAAGGACAATCCAAATACAAGGATTACCATTACTCTATATTTTGATACAGATTGTTTATTGTACGACTATAGATTGTATTTTGTATTTACTTAAAGTTTCGAAATCATATTTTGGAATATACATAGTCTGCCTTTGGAGATTAATTTTCCTTCTTCATTTAAATCCATTGCTTGACAATTACTTTCTATAATAAAAGCCATCCTCAGAAGAGATTTTTAGACACACATTAAGAAGGATTTAAGGATATCTCCCCCGATCTACAGCACTATTATTTTTATGCATTATCTACTGTTTTGTACTTTACATTTAAAGAGAAAATTCCAGTAAAATCATTGTCTTTCAATTGATTCCATATTTTAAGGATCACAGAGGATTACATTCCCGTTTAAATGCATTCTATATTTTGATAGAGGTTCCAAGGTACACGTTCTATTTTTATAATGGTTACAGATTACATTTTCTATTTTTACAAAAGATAGTGTAATCTATACCTAAAATGCTTTTAGATTACATCAGGTTTGCTACTACATTCAAGGACTGATCGCGATTGCATTCTACATTTTTTTGTTTGAGATGCCATATTTGCCTTTTCCATTTTTTAAATTTGTATATTTTCTTTTGCCTATGGTAACAGTGAACGCCCGTCTAGCGTGCACTGTACTATTGTTTAAAGCTGTAAATCAAAAACTATTGAGGTTATTCATTTCGAGTTACCACTGTACCTGCTTGATTATGTTTACCAACAAATTCGTCTTGCAGTGCCGTAATTCTTGAGAAATAAACAATAACAATGGAGGAAATGTTGTTGTTGGGCAAATGGCACAAGCAAAAGAAAACGAGTGCAAGGCCAAAAATCAACGAATCACGATCGCAAAGAGGAAAAGAAAAAAATGGAAGTAGGAGCGTGGAAAACCCATTTCTTTCCGGTAAAAACCGAAAAATAAAACATCTGCCAATGCGACGCGTCCAGCTGTTTGGGTTTTTTTTTTCTGTTCGTTTGTATTTTTGATGAAAAAGGTGGGCGGTTGGGTGTTAAAAGTGCAATGACGGCAGGGTTGCCATCTTTTGCACCGCTGTTGCGTCGTTGTTGTTTTTATTGCTATTTTGGCGTCGCTTTTTGAAACTCGAAACGGAAGAGAGAGAAAGAAGAGGGAAAAAGAGAGATAGAGGGCGCGCGCATTTCGCAGCGAGAAAGAGAGCGAAAAAGAGAGCAAATCCATGGAATTAGAATAAATTGACTTATAATTTTTAAATCGTCAATGAACACTTTAAGCATATTGAATTAAGTAATTAAAATAACGGGCAAAAGACAAAAAACTTATTTAAAATTAAAAAACTCCAGCACAATTTCGAAGCCCTATAATAAACGAATAAAACGTATCATTTGTTTAAAAAACTTAAAAATTTATATTTATATTGTTATACCAACTGGATATCTTATATGACCATTTAATTAATTAACTACTAATTTACAAACAAATACATTTTAAAGGCATTCTTTAAATACAATAAATACGGTACAAATTTAAAATGCCGGCAAACTCTTTTCGTTTGTGGTAACAGGCTCTTTTCTAATAAATAATTCAAAAACCTACTTTAATTTTGACCGAAAATAAGGTAGTAAAATATATAATTAAATTGTTGAAAGGACCTTTAATTGCGAAATTAATAAATTGATACCTTATGTATAGCTTGACTCAAATTAAAAACCATTAAGCTAAAGGATTCATTACCCAAAATCTATTTGGACTTTAAAATGCCGGCAAGTCCAATTAGCTTGCCTTTGGGCGCCTAACAGCAACACTGTTAGCGCTTAACAGCACACTGTTAAGCTCGACGCTTAATTTTGACTCTCTTCTCTCTTTTTTCAACCTAACCAAATAGAAAAACAGAAGCATAAAAAAGGCTTACTTACATTAAATTTTCACCGTTTGTTTTTATTTCCAGGCTTTCGGATTTGTTGTGTTGTTGTTTTCGTTAGACATTATTCCAAACATTTTCGGAGTTGTTGTTGCAGCTGCCTCTGTTGTTGTTGCTGCCACAGAAAAACATGTTTCACTTTATTCCTTTTTTTCTCTTTGTTGTTGTTGTTGGTGGAGAGGGACGTCGATATGCGACGCGCACACACACACACACACACGACACAGGCAGCAAAAGAGAGAGAGAGAGGCAAACAAAAATTTTTGCCGTTTTTCGTTACTTGTTGTTGTTGCTGCTGCCGCTGCTCCTTTTTCTATGTTTCCATTTTGTACACACAAATGTACATCTTGTACTGCTTAATTAAGAAACTTTTCACATTGGGATTTTGCCTGCTTTTTATTTTTTTCTTGTATGGTAGCTCTCTCTTTGGTTTTTCTTCTTTTCCGCCCGTCTACCACAAAAAAGAGCGCGTCTCCACAGAAGTGTACAAAAAAAAGGCACACACCAAAAGAGGAAAAAAAAACACACACACACTCACGCAGGCTGACGCTCACGCACGCACACGCATACACAGACACTAGCGAATCGGGGAAAATGCTTAAATAAAAGCGTTAAATTTTCGGTTTTCCCGTTTATCGCAGCGGTTTCTTTTCTTTGGTTCACCGACTCTGCTTTTCTTCTTTTTTGGCGGCGACGGCAGCGCGTGGCTTTTTCACAGATCTTTGCAAGGTTCGGCAGCACAGCACAATAACAAAAAAGTGAAAAGTGGAAATATCGATAGTGTCAGATAAACATCGATTTTTGTTCGCCCACACTATCGATAGGCCCGGGGGACTTCTCATATCGATTAGCGGCGTTTATGGTATTTTTAGGGCTAAAACAGTATTTTCTTTGATAATGGTATACTGGCATGTGTAATGAATAATATATAAACCTTGAATTATAATGTCATATTTCCCTTTTTCTCATGCCAAGGTTTCAGTAAAAAATTTGTTTGACAAGTATAAAAACTAATAATTATTTGTTAATGTGAACAATTTTAAAGTTTTTTTTTAACTGTTCAGTGTTTTGGTACTTTTGTCAGATAGTGGCTAAAAATCCCTTAGGTTTTATAATAGCGTGATATATAGTCCTGAAAAATACTATTAACGCAACTTTATTAAGAGATCAAACATTTTAGTTTTTCGGAGTGCTACTATCGATGATTTTTGGGCGTTTACAATAGACATTTTAGCAAAGGACTGAACCATATATGTATATTAAGTATGTACTAAGCAAAGACTCAAACCAATTTAGCGGGAATTTCGAATTTAATCTGTACCTTACCAGGCACTGATTAATTAATACAGTTCAAGAAAACAAATATTCGAATAGTTGTATATTTGCTGTGCGCAATTTGAACTCTCAAAACATGAGAAGTGTGAATATATGTATGGTTAATTATAACAATAAAAATTATTTACTGATGTTATCGTAAGATAAAACTATGGCAATATATTCTCATTTACTGCGCTTTTATTTACTAACCGTTTTTCATATGTTAAAATATTTGTACATGTATTTATTTAAACAATATACAAAAAAAATTTTAATATTTGATAAATAATTTGAAAACGTAACGTATTCGTAGAGTAAGTGAATAGATGTCGGCGCTGCCAGATCGATAAGATCCGCAGTCCGTCGGCCTTCCATTCGATACTATCGGACGAACATCGATTCTTGTTCCAGCTCTAGTTTCCCATGTATTATTTTGATTTCTTACGTTCCGTTCCAACTATTATTATTTTCGTTTCGTGTCAGTTTTTGGCTGATTTCTAAATTGAAAACCCGGCACAAACCCATTAGGCCTCCAAATTCCCAGTGTGTCCAGCCGAACCGGTGTAGTGTCGCCACGGAAACGAGTGGAGCAGCCACAACAATCGGGCCCTTGTGTGTGTAACGTGACGAAATCAAATCGGGAGATAGCGCAGTTCCAGTGGTGGGTTCGAGTTCGAGTACCCGAGTATTAGAGTACTAGAGTACTAGAGTGCCAGAGAATTAGAGCACCACAGTCCCAGTACCAGACACCACACATACTCAGTGCCCAGCGAGCAGTTCCGGCGAACAGACCCGTGAGATGGCCGCGGATCGCGGTGGATCGAAACATACTCACACTGGGCTCTCCACTCCGTTTTGCAGATCCGCAGATCCCATCCCCCACAGAGAGCCATCCCGTCCGCAAGCCCGATCATGTCCAGCGACGCCAATACGCCCGTACTGCGCAACTGCATCCGCCTGCCGCTGCCGGAGGACGAGCTGCTGGAGGTGACCGCCAAGGCCAAGGACTATGCTATCATGCACGGCGCCGCCATGCGCTCGAAGACCGCCTTCAGCCCGGACTCCCTCAATGTGGGTGGTACAGTCGATCCTCGCCAGCGAGATCTTTAGTTTCAAGTTCATTTCATTTATTTATTTTTTGACATTCAATATGGTTTTCTAGACTCAAGCGCTAGTTCTTAAAGTGCTTAGTTTTTAAATATTTAAACATAAACATAAAAGTGTCCATACCGAAGAGTTAGTTAGAATTTCTTTAATTTGCATCGCGACAGGTGATTTATGATTGTTTTGTAAACTCAAGTACAGTCGTATCTCTCTAAGTATTTTTTTCGTTACATTTTCTGAAGTAGTTTCTAAATTTAAAATTTTTTTATTTAACATTAGATTTGATTAATTTTTTCTATCGGCTGAAATGATTTACAACGGCTTTAAAGATTAAAAATATGGTTTTTATAGTTTCTTATTTATATATTGTATACTTATTTTTTTATCTTTCTTTTTAATGATTTATGATTTTGAGTATTTCCTTTTCAATATATATAAAGTTTAATAAGTATAAATATAAATATTTCAGACAGTAGACAGTACGAAACCAAATTTATAAAGGTTTTACTAAATGAAATCTTTAGTTAAGGAATGAAATGAGTGGAATGAACCCATGAAATACATTTGCAGGAGATTTAACCTAGCGTTGTTCGATTGAAGTTAAAGTTACTAATCATAATTCTTTGCAGTTCGCCCCCTTTGTGCTGGTGCCCTCCTCGTTTCCGCGTAAGGAGTTCGAGAAGGCGGTGGCCCTGCAGCCGATCATCAACCGGCTGATGCACAATGTGGCCCACGACGAGGAGTTCATCACCACGACGCTGGCGGAGACGATCAAGGTGGACGAGTTCACGGCCAATCTGTTCAACATCTACCGCAAGGTGCTGGCGCACGGGTTCACCCAGGTGAGATTCCGCCAGCCGGCGTCCATCCATCTCCGATCATCCGCCCTGCACACCACCATCACCCAACGTATCCACCTCATCCCCATCGGGAGCACATCAACAGGCAGCCAGTGGGTTTCTCGCTAGAATTTATTGGGCCCCTCTACACCCGCGGTCGCAATCTAATCGCCCATCCATAAATCGCCCGGCCATAGTCTTACCCAAGAACTCGGTTGTAGTCGCTAATCTCGCGTGATTTATGCGAGCATCCTGGTCTCGCAGCTCCTTATCGTTGGTTCGCCCAGTTAGCCGCTTGTAAATCGATGTAGGACAGCCCATCCCTGCCCCTTAAAACGCTAGTTCTTTGCCGTTGCTCTTCCTTTTTTAATTTACATTAATTTCTCCTAACGAAACAGATACGAATTTGACTATTTTGAAGTCCAAAAGAACTTGATCTTTGCACATCGAAGTTTTATTCGTAACTAAATTCTCTCGCAAATAAATACAATTTGTTGAACGTTTAATAATCTTGTTTGCTTAGTTGCTAAAGCTTGTGCTTTAAAAAAACTATTTTGATAACATATTATATTAGTGAATTTTAAAATCAAATAATACCTGTTAGCGGCTTTTTCAAACTTTGATTTTAAATGAATAACGTAACTTAAAAATACCATAATGTGTAAATATCAAGTTCCAAGGGAATACTTATTTGTTTTCTGTGCAAAGTTATTTCAAGTTATGTGCTTTTCTCGTCACCACCCTTTCGAAAATAAAACCTAACCACGCAATTGTACAAACTCTCGATCTCCAATCACAATCTGTTGCTCCATTATGCGTCACTCATTGCATCGCTATGCCACGAAAAATGAACGAATCAAATCGAAACAAATCGAATCGAAGAAAATATCGCTGGGGATGCTGCGCAGCGACTTGATGCTGGAGTCCGGCTGTCCGGAGTTGTCGCCACGGGCACTGCGGCCGGCGGCAGGCGAGGATCGAGGCCAGGATGCGGCTGCTGTGGGGAGAGGAGGAGCCGGAACTGCTGCTGCTACTGCTACTGCTGCTGCTGCGGGCACTAGCGGCAAGGAGAAGCAGGAGGTGGAGGAGGAGGAGAAGCGGGCGAATCGGAAGGAGGAGCACAGGGAGATTCAGCTGAGCCGGGCCACCAAAGAGCGGGAACGGAGGGCGGCCGGCATTCATTCCGCGTACTGCTGCTGGAAACAAGTCGAGATCAATACGATAGCTTCGGGCTTTGGCCATTTGGGACCAGCAAGTAAAACCATACAAAGGTGCTGTCCACACCCACAGTCCATCAATGCAATTGTTACTGCAACACCACACCACCATCAGCAACATTACCCGAAAACCCCAGTCCTCTTATGCCCCGATCACCCCATCGCATATCTGCATTCCTGCATTGCTTGCATCCTCCGCCTAACCACACAAAACACACACTAACACTAGATCCAGAATACATCCCGTTTGCCGAATCGAAATCCAATTTGATAAACGAAAATGTGTGGCCTATTTAATATTCCTAGCCTCGTATGTTCATAAGAAGACCAATGTTAAATATATTGTTGCTCCTTAAATAATCCTATATTATATAGGTATAAAAAAAATCTAAATTTGATTAGAAACAGAAATCGCGAAGTGATGTAGATCTAATATGTTACTCCTTTAATAGATAACGTTTGATTTTAAATGTCGGAACAATTCGAACAATTTCGAGTAAGAAACCAGATTATGTCTGAAAGCAAAATTAATAAATCTAAATGTAATGTATGTTACAATCTTTAAATCAAAAACCATAAAGAAAATATTTGTTTTTTTATGGTTTCAGACATGAATTAAAATTGAAGAAGTAATATATTTTGAAAACCTCTCTTGTTATGTGTGCTTTAGTGTGTGTTGCCTTGTTATGTCCTTTGTACTTTAGTTGAAGTTGATTTTGTTCCACTGTTTCTTAGACATGTATATATATAGCTACATATTTGGTGACAATATGCCTGAACAAACATTTTTGGTTGAGTCCTTGGGACTGTTGCGTAGTTTTTTGATTTGCTGCCGCTGCCTGTTTCGCCTGTTGCCTCCTGCCTGCTCTGTACCCGATCTGATCTGCTCTGCTCCTGCCACATGCCACATGCCACCCGCCTTCTGACTCCTGCCACATGCCTCCTGCCTCCTGCCACCTGCTCCTCCCGATCTAACTCAAGCAGCTAACCCGCTTTATAATCTCCACTTCCCTCAGTGATTGTCCCTTCAGCTGTCGTTTGCTTTTCCAAATAATTTCTAAGTTCCCCCTCAAATGACAGAAATTAGTTTGTGTTTTAAGGGGGGGATTTATGGTTGTACAAATATTAGGGTGACCCAATATCATAAAAAGTAGATGGTTTATCCACAAGATGATGAAAGAAATCAAAAAATATCAAGCAAACCTAGGTAGTATAGATAAGATCTGATAAAGTGATATGTTTAGAAGATAAACTATTGTAATTTGTCATTTAAATTGTGTCCACCTTATCAGTGAATACCCCAATAATACATTTCACAACTTAAAAATTATGTTTCTGTGTCTCTAGAAGTTTCTAGAACATACATATAAATGTCGGATCTAATCAATCAAAATTGAAACAGCACCATTTCAGTAGATCATTTATTTATATTCTTAAAAGAGTCTTGATAAATATAGATTATAAATAATAAATGACCCCAAACATAGATATTAAACCCATAGTCTCAAGGTCAGAATTTCACGATTATTCGCTTTACTTTGTAGACCGAACTCACATGTATAAAGCCCCCCGTGGAGAGGCCATGGCTGTACTACAGATAGGGTTACAGATAGGGATACGGTCCCAACTGATATAGATACGCCTGGTAATTGTTTATTTAGAGTACGGGTGAGCGATAACAGGCCAACTAGGTGCATTTTTAGGTGCAAAGTATGGATAGCAACCAGAGCAATTGGTTTTTAAAAATGAATTATAGATAGTCATGGAGTTTTAGCCAGTTTTATCTGCACTTTCAATTCGCCGAATCGTTAGAATCACTTGTTTAGCTCAGCCATACTTTTTTATTTTCTTCCTTGAGAATGTTAAAACCAAAAACACCTGTTCGATGGGGTTTGGTTCCAGTTGTTTGACTGTTTATTTAATTGCCAGCAGCGGTGACGTAAACATAATCTAAACAGATAGATCAGAACATGTTTATTAAATAATAAAAGTAACAGCTGTAAATGATGATGGGATAAAAACTGGTTTATTTTGCCATACAATGCTTAGTTCCCCTTTTTTTGAAATGGGATGGTTAATAAGCAAATTACTGGTTTCATTTAATTTAATAATTGCTTAATGATTTTAAAAATGACTACATTGCAAATGTAGAACGCTGCTTATCCAAAAATAAAGCTGATTCATAATCAAGTTCGAGTTGAACAAAAAATATGACAAAAATGAACCAAAGCTCATTTTAAAGTATTTACTTATGCGCCAAATATTTAAATTTAAATATATTCTGTTTGAAAGTAATTCCTGCCAAAAAGATTGATTATCCATATCAAAGGCTATTTTCATTTATTCTTCAACTAAATTGAGATAGCTTTATCAACTTACTAGCATTTTTTTAGTAAAACAGCGTGATTGATACTTTATTGCCTTGAACAACCAAAATATTTATGATACAAAATGTTTATAATTTTAATTTTTCAACATGTTACCATCTAATATTTGGCATTTGAGACTAAATTAATTGATAAGAATTTTTTCGGGAGTGGAAACTTTCTCTGGTTTTAAAAATGAACGCAAGATTTACTTTAGTTGAGATAAAAGACAAAATTCCTCTTTTTTTAAAGGAATTTGATCAAATTGAATTGGGGAAAGCATCTTTTCATTCTATCATCTTCTGCCATTTCTCACCTCTCTCTGAATACTTAAATATACAACTGCACCTGCCTCATCCTATTTAATTAAGACCTATGGCCGAGGATCACACCATACCTAGATATATGCAAACTATTTTTTTAATCGCTTTACCGGCTAAGTAGATAATTTAAGGGTTGCTGCTGTGACGGTCCTAATGTATATATAATGTATAATGATCATAATTGCAGGCATATAGCATCGGTCTGTTGCGATCCGACTATATGGCACACGTGTCCGAGGGCTGTGCGATAAAGCAGGTCGAGATCAACACGGTGGCCTCCAGTTTCGCTGGCATTGCCACCCAATTGGTGCCGCAGCAGAAGTATTAAGCGCTCTTCTCTCTCTCTCTACCAAATGCACGAATGCACAAACACACACACACACACCTAAGAACAAAGAACACACACACCTGTCTGTCTATCTATGAATCTGTCTGTCTACCCCAACTACCTCCCACCCCCCACCCACTCACGCACGCACGCATTGATCACTAACTACTGATCACTGATCACTGATCACTGGTTCCATCTCTTTCGTTTGCCGTTTCCTTTTTGCATGCGGTTCAGTTGGTTCTGGCTATATATCCGTCTCTTTCTACACGCTGTAGCTTAACATTCTTAACACTGACACGTAAACCCCATAACCTCCCCCCTCCCAATTTCCCTAACCTATTTGCGGTTGTGGACTCAGTAATTAACCCCCATCTGCCCCCAAAACATTTGTTGTTGTTTGTTGCTGTTGTTGGTCATCAGACTGTTACGGAATTATGCTAATCTGTCTCTTTCCGTTCCGGCAATCCCTTCTCCCGTCTCTCTCTTCCGCGCAGATTTGTACTTAGCGAACTGGGACATGCGGATAAGTTGCATAATGTGAGTATACCCATCCAAAATTACTTTATATAACTATCAAAAACAGAAAATGTACAGCATTTTGTCTTCAATAAAAACAGTTTTTTAAATATATAAATAAATAAACCCATGAAAGTACTTCAAAGATTAATATAAGAACAGAATATAGTCGATACACCTATAAATGGAACTTCCTACAATCCTAACAATCTTTAACAATTATCAATACAGATTAGAAATGCACCTACCCACACAAATTCTATAATCTAGAAGTTCACAATAACGCAAACCTCTTAAGTTTACTTTGCTCACATTCAAATTAAAAAGTTTTTTATATAAAAATTATACATATTTTGTTATATTTAATTATGTTCATGAGTCCTGATAAATGTTAGACTTATTGTGATTCAAAATACATAATTCATTTTAAAACTATGTTACTCAAGTATGTACCTTAACTAAGAAATAATAATAATATATTTTTATTTATTCTAAATACAAACAAGAAAGGAAGCAAACTTCGGCATGCCGAAGTTTATATACCCTTGCAGTTATAATAATTATTCAGTGTATTTATTTGGTCAGAAAGAAAATGACAGCCATCAAATCGCGTAAATTGGCCTTATATTTTTATCATGTTAATATATAGTAAATGAACCTATTTAATTTTATCGGATTGTTGCTAGTTTCAGTGATATTTATTTCGAAATTCACGTACTCAGCCCCCACACCACGACAAGGTCTCAATCCACGAGGGGGAAACTATATTTGCTTAAATAATAAAGATAAATACAATTAGAATATATATACAATTATCTTTTTACAATTTATATTATATCTATTTATTTTATTTATTTACAATTGAGCGCTTATTATATAATAGTTATATTTCTTTACAAGCTATAACTGAGGAAAATTCCATCATGATGACTATATGGTGTTTCATATATGAGGGCGAGGGTTTCCGGAATTCGAGCATCAGTAAATATCCAATCAATCTGCGTAAGGTGTTTTGTTGTTGGAGAGCTGTTTGTTCCAAAAAGGTTATACGCATTTAAAATTGCCTCCAGAGAATCAGTTCTTAAGTATCTGCAAATATTAAAATCTCCTAATATTACCACTTTATTATTATCTATTCTGCGTACTTTTTCGACGTCAGCTTTAATTTCATTTCGAAATCTTGTAATAGGAAATCTAGGACTCCTATATACAATTAAAAATGACGTGTCAAGAAATTTAAATGCAATTGATTGATAGGTGCTCATCGGGCTTATTGATTTAGTTGTTTCGAACAAAAATACAACATTTTGCGAAATACTCTGCTTAGCATAGATGAGTATTCCGTTCTTCCCAATACCATTCAAACGATTGCTATCTATTCTCCTTATAATGTCAAAATCTCTTATATTATACTCTTCATGTGGAAGAGTCCAGGTTTCAACAAAACATAAAAAGTTTGCGGAACAAATAATTTTGTCGTTGGCAATATCTTCGTGATGAGCACGAAGAGACTCAACATTGTGGTAATACAATGAGATGGCATCATTTCTATTGAACAAGAATTCGTATTGCGTAGTCAAAGCCTTTTCCCCTCTTAAACATTGAAGTTCTTCTTGGACATTTGTTGCTCCAAATCTAGTTGGAGGAACAAAGTCTCCTAAAAGGAAAAGACCCGATGCGCATGTTGCCCTGCTGCATCCTACGTAAAGCGAAGCTCGCTTAATGCCTCTTTTAAGATGCACTGCGACTTTGCTGTAGGTTGCTCCTTGGCTTTTGTGGATGGTAATAGCCTCAGCAGGAACAACTGGGAATTGCTTACGATCAATCGAAGAATGTCCTGAATTTCCGCACTGAAAAACTCGGGCTGTTTTCTGAATGGGAGTCCAACCGGGATTATCATTCCTTCGAACTTTTGACCTGGCTATGGCCCCAACCGTAGGATCTGAAAACTTTATCCACAGTCCTGTAACTATATGGGAGCCGTTAACCATGCAATGGTCAATTTGCATTAATTGGCCAGTTGCACCATTTACTAGTCCGTCATTTGTGTCTATATTGACGGTAACCATATACTTTGCCGTTGTTTTTAGCTGAAGAATATATGGTAAGCCCTGGGTTTCTGAGGTTTTCATATTTTGGGCCATTCTTAACGTCCTGACTCTATTGCTTTCTGACATATTTGCTGATTTAACAGTATCTATGGCAGTTGAAAAGAACTCTTCAGTCTGAATTTGGGCAAGCTTAAAGGTATTATAATGGGTAACCTCATCATTAGAGCAGAACAAATGAATTGCGTCATCAGCAACCTCGGTGGCTGAAACAACTCTTTGCCTAAGAAGCTCTACATCTGCGTCTGTCATATTAGCCTCGGACATATTATTTAATGCCAAAGCAAACGCGTGATCGTCCCGTTGTCTCATTATTTCAGTTAACTCAAAAAACTTAAAATTATTCCAAAGGTTAGCTCCGGCAAGAATGTTATAGGGGTTATTACTATTTTCTAGGAATATCCACCGATCCCCAACTGGGCTAAGCTGCTTCAGATCTCCAAACACTATTATTGATTTTCCACCAAAAATTAGATCTTGAGTTCTAAAAATTTGTCGAAGTCTTTGATCTAAATACCCAAGCATTTTCGATCCGACCATGGAAATTTCATCTATAATAATTAATTGGATGTCAATTAACTTGCAATGCAAAGTGTTTAAAGAATCATTATTTAAGGGTCTTAACGGACCCGAAGATTGATTAACAGGAAGGGAGAAAACGGAATGAAGCGTAAGTCCTCCAATCCCAAAAGCAGCTTTTCCAGTAGGAGCACAAAGTAAAACCTTTGCAGAATCAGTTGCCCCAGGAAGCTTATTCGCCCGCCACGTTATAGACTGATATATTGTTGAAATCAGCCTACTTTTTCCGACTCCAGCACCTCCACCAACATATTCATAAAAAATGTTCTTTGCTGCAACATTATGCATTACATGGGCGTAATACTGGCGTTGCTTAAAGTTAAGCGACCTAGTAAGGGAGCAAAGTGTGTCTTCAGATACCAAAGGAGGAAGTCTAATAAGTTGAAGTTCTCCATCCTCTGGGTTATTTTCAATGTCATCTTGGAGTACATTTACGTTTTGCCCAACGTTTGGTACTGCCAAGGCTCTAAACTCTTCATCTAGGTATTGGGAGGCAAGCCCCTCAGCAAGATGACTGTTTGGTTCTCTATCAAAATTTTGCAATTCTTGAAGAACCCTCTCCAATTCCATATCATCAAACACATCATATTGCTCTTTGTTGGCCTTGATTATTTCAAAATTATTTCTGAATGTACTTTCATTGTCATTTAAAATAAGTTCCGATTCCTCACTCCTCCACGGAAAGAAAAGCATTACATGCTCTCTAAAATAATCAGATGGGGAAGAGTTTAAGCTAAAGCGAACCCATCTAAGAATTAAGGCATGCTTACGCCTTTTCACACTACCAGTCCCATCTAGCAGTGCGAAACATTGTTCAGCAATGGCGTTTTCCTCATCTGGTTCCAAGTCGATCGGTTCATCATAATCTTCGTTGGACCTTTCTGTTCGAGAGTTGGACTTGCCGAATTTGTACCAAGCCGCAAATTCTGCAAGACATATTGACTCTAATTGTTCATGCCTTTGTACATACCGATCAAGTAAGTTTTTCTCAAAGATATCAGTGGAGTTTTCAGGAAGCTGTTCTATTTCCCTATTAGATCGCACTATCCGCACTCTTTTATCTGGATGGCAAGTGTTAACAAAAATATTTCCTTCGCTAGCCTCTGACATGTGTAATCCCAAAATGTTGTAGGCTGCTTCTTGGGCAGAAATCTCTGTAGCGTTAATGAACTTGCTCCCGAGATGCTGCAGTTTTCTTTTAACTGAAATATTTCCGTGACTTATTTCAGTCATTGCTTCGCGAAGGAGTTGCGACACTCCACGGTTGGATTTGTTAATGTAGTTAACTATATAACTACAACACGCGTACGCATCTAGGATAAATTGAATATCCATGTTTGCTCTATGTAAGCCCAAAATATTTTTGTTGTAAGCATTTAACAACCTGTCGGAAAATTTGCGACGAAGAAATATCTGAGGTTTTTTTAGGCTGGAGCGAATGGCAAACTTATATTCTTCAAATGTAGTATCAAGGTGGGTCAGGAAAAGGTTAAAATTATTAAAAGTGCCTGCTTCTTCATCGGAACTAGACTTTAAAAGCTCTTTAATTTTTTTAAACAATTCTTTAGAATGTTCAACATTGGTTTCGTTTTCTTCTAATGGATATAACACCAATGTTTCAGGCATTGGAGGGTATGGCATATTGAAGCGGCAGAATTCCTGGCCACGCAGCTCTCTTAAACATGAAGAGCTGTGCTTATGGCGCTGGTATTGAATAAATTCTAGCAATTCAGGATCTTCTCCGCTAGTAGTAATAAACCGATCAACAAAACGTATAACTTGATCGCAATTCTCTGCTCCGTCCAGCCTTGGAGCTTCAGAAAGCCAGTACATGCCATGAGAGTGTGGCGATCCCCTGTGCTGAAACTCGATCCTCCAATAATAGTGGACTAGGGTATATTCGCCAAATATCTCAGAACTTTTGAAAACTTTCAGCAATTGTCGGAGCCTGTAGTCAAAGTAACGGGAGCATGTTACTGGGTCAGATCGGATTAAGCGAGCTTTTTCGGTACTCGAAAGAGCTGCCGCTTCGTCCTCATTTATATTTTTGCCATCCACCAAAAGAGAAATAATAACTAACAGCTCATTCCATCTAGATTCAGCAGCGGAAAGAGTTATGAAAAATGTAGGCAACCCAAATTGTCTTATCATGGCAATAACTTTTTTTTTTTCAGCCTCCCAATGAGCTGGGGCGGAACGTAGACCTTTAAGAATATGATACCCGTCGTCATGCTGTACAAGTCTGTCAACAAATGATTCATCCCTTATATTTGCAGCAGTTACCGCACCTGACTTTTTTCGTAGGGCGATGGAAATTGTGTTTTGAATTCGCTG